TAATCTTTGTCAAATTTGAAAAAATAATTATCTTCTTCTAAATATTAATCTGTTTTATGATTCACAAATGATTCTTCTACTTAACAATAATATCCTTTATAAGTATCTTTTATAATCAACCCATTATTTAATAGTAGATTCCAATTCTTTTATACTTTCAGAATATGTTAAGGATCAGTAGTTCTGATAAATTAATCATATTTGATAAAGGAGTTAGCTAAATTTTTAAATTAATTTGAAATAGTATCACAATATTTTTAGAGTGGTTCATTCTTAGCACTTCTATAAACCTTTAATCCATGCTCATCAGTTCCTGTCAGTAATTTCACTTATTTGTACTTAGCTATTGCATCTGCATATATCATAGAATAAAGATGACCAATATGTGGTTAAGCATTCACATAAAACAAAGGTGTTGTTATTATTTATTTTATCATAAAAAAATTAAATAAATTTTATATAATTATAATATACATAATCCTAACCATCCTATTTATATACTTGTTATGTTGATTAAAATTTAAGATTAATGCAACCATAAATTTAATCCAAACATTATCCATGATAATAAGATTAATAATTTTGTAAATAAATTAGTTCGATCGTCTTTTAACACCAGTATTAAAATAATCATTAAAAACGATAATTCAAACAAAACATTTATAAAAATGTTGCAAAAAGAAGCCAAAACAATTCCAATAATATAAGGTATAATACTTAATTATCTTTCCTCGATCTGAGGATTCTATTAAAAATCTTAACTCTACAATTCCAAAGGTTTGTGATAATAATCTGGAACTCCAATAGTATATGTATTATGAGATGGTTCTTATCTACTAAGATTTTGTTATCCATCATTTAACTCATTTGAAATTTCATTATTCTAAGGAATCTTAATTTATCTAAGGTCTTAGAGTTGCAATGAATAATCTTCTAATTCATCTTCAAATTTTTTAATATATGATAACACTAAATTACGAGCTTAATTTAATTGAAGATTTAATAACTTATAATCTAAAACCTTAATTTCATAAGTGATTTCAATTTCTAATAATTCATCATTCTCTTTCTATGTGAGTAATTCAGTAACATTTTTATTAAACTACAAAGAGTATGTTGGTATAACTATAGTAGTGTTCATCTAATTCTATGTATTTGTATTCAAAGCTAACAGAATACTATCACCAACATCCAAAATATCGATTGTTTGATTTATCTAAAATTGTAAATTATAGCTAGGCTTAAAGTCACTCTCATATTCATAATAATCCTCTATCTTCATATAAAATGCATAAGATCCAACCATAAATTTATTGTGAACCTATAAATTCAATACTGATGCTTAGTGAATAATCAATCTCATAGGTGTTTTATTACTATTGTTATTAATCTATGGTGTATTTTTCAATCTCTCATCTATTGCTGTTAAATTATCCTTCTCTTCCTATAGTTATTATTTTGAGTTTGCTATTTTCTGACTCAACAATTGAATTGCATCCCTATACACTTTTTCAAATTACTAAAGTGTGCATTATTTATGCTATACAACTAATTCAGCTATTTACATCTTGCATGCATTTATTATATAATTAACTTATCAATTAACGATCGATTGCTATATTTGAATTACTCTATAGTAACTCAATAAGTCCTTGTTGTTGATATGAATGCATTTATTATTAAATTACAATATATTTTAAATTATATTTATATTCAAATTATTTATTTATTACGATCTATATCAATCAACTAATATCCTACATTCCTATCATCTTAAATATCATTACTTTATTATTATTTTTATATATCTAACTAAATTAATCTCAAAATTCGCATTGTCTCTCTCTATTTTCTCTCTTTTATTCAGGTAGATTAAATGTATTTAATAGCAACTATAAATTTCATTTATTACTTTAGAATTATTATTTATATTTTAATAACCCATAATAAAAGAAATTAATTGTTAGGTAAAATAACTATTATTAAATTCCTTCTTCACTATATATATGAGATTGCCACAGTTTTATTTCCTCAATATGAACTCAAACTGTCCATCTCGTAAGTACAAAAAAGATCTTACTAAATAGGTTACAAATTTCGATAATAAAATGAGACATTTGTGCCGCAAGTAAGAAATATTATTTTTTATATTAACTTTCATTTAATCATTCTTGCAATTCTATTATCAAAATATATAGAGTATTTTCATACATTATTTTATCAATACCATATAGAAATTATGATTCAAAATAATGCTTTGATCTTAAATAATTTCAATATTAAATATATGAAATCAAATTGTAATAATTTTTTATTAAATTTAAACATCAAGGTTCTTCTTGCTATTTTTATTATGAAGAATAAGCTAACATCTTTTCGACATTTGTAATTTAATATTATTATTATGGCTATTATTATTATTATTATTATTATTATTATTATTATTATGGTAATTCTATTCCATTATTCACATTTTATTACTACTATTTATTACTAAAATTATAATTTAATGTATCCCAATCAAGCTTAAGAATTTAAATTTAATGTTAAGCTTCCTTTGCTTAACAGTTTCTTATAAAAATAGAACTATTAATTATGCTTCTACAAAGAATTTCCTCAATTTTAGAAATAAAGTTCTAATGAATATTCTAAAATCTTACAAATCTGCAAGGAGATCCAGCTGTTATAAAAGCATCTAAAAATCCTAGAGCTGTCGAAACAATTGATCCAACACGATCAAAAAATATAAAAAAAATAAAGTTCATACTAAAGAGAATGAATTTGTTACTGATGTTGAAGTCAAAAAATAATAATTTAGTTTCTTAATATGGCTACATAAAGCATCTAAATAATAGAAGAAATATACTTAATAGTGCTAAGATAAAAAAACATATTCCATAAACCATTTGAAGGTTAAATATAGCATATAAGATATGTGTTAATTTCTAAGTAATAAAATAGAGTGATAATTGACTAATTTAATTAGAGAATAAAATTGATTACATTAATAATGAATGTCTTAATAATTAATTCTATATAAAATAGGACAGTTCCTTATGCTCTCTCTCTTTCAGCTAATAAATTTTATGTGAATATAAAACTAATAAGGAAACCCTAAAATGAGTCTTTCTATATGATAGATTTTACTATTAAATAGGAATGATGGAAATAATCTCCATATTTAAGTTTTAGACAAAACTTCATGAGGAAAGAATGAAAGTAGATTTGAAATCGTTCCAAAAGTTTAAGTATCTAACATAAATATTAAGAGGGATAATGCATATAAACTCGAAGATCCAAGAGCCATGGTTATTTTAATATAAATTATAAATATATATAATAATAATTATTTCAATTGGAATTTTGAAATTAATTTTGAGATGATTCACTAAATTAAAAATAAATATCTTACACATTAATGAAGCTGTTTTGAATATTATTAATGTTTAGATTATCAAAATTAATATTGGCTCCAATTTAAATACCTTATCCTGAAAATGGCTAAACTTAAGGTATTGGCCTCTATTCTTATACCTAATTAGGTTAACGAGCTTTAAAATCCTATTAGATAGCAAAGAAATCTGTTCTTTTTTTAAAGCATCTAAAAAAACAGGAGTTCTCTAATTTTTAAATGAATATCTAATTTAATAATAGAATTTTTTGTTACTTGACTAGGTCTAAAAATCATAAATTTAAAGCATTTAATTTCAATTATAATAAGAAGAAGAGCTGCAAAGGAATCTAAATTTCTGTTAAATAGTAAATGAATGCCCATCCAAACAAATGGAATATATTTTGAAGTCATTTAGAAAGGGATGAAATACCAAGGAAGGAGAACAAGGCTTCTTGTTTCATTTGGATTGGCAAAACATCTACATTTAGTTATAAGTTTTACGATAAAGAAATGTAAACAAACAAAACATTCCACAAACCATATGAATACATGTTATTATTTTAGATTATTAATGCAAAGATTTGAAATATGAACTAATTTAAAGATATAGAATACCTAAATTAGAAAATTCTTAATGAAGAAATCAATCAAAAATACCACTGTTCCTAGAGATTTTTCTATATCTTGAACATTGCAATAAAAAAGGAAGGGCATTATAATTATTCCAAATAAGTCTATCTGTTTAAAAGATAATTTACTTTCAATAAACTGTGTAAAAAATAATCTCTATATCTCATAATTCTCAATAACCAAGTAAGGTATATCCATAAACCATTTGTTGAATATATTATCAAAAAAATAATTAACTAAATAGATAAGTACTGTTGTGATAGTTATTATTTTAATGGCTAAAGGACATAGTCTAGGATCATATGAGGATTGCTATTATTATGGTAATTAATGGATGTTCATGATTATTGTAATTTTTTATATATATTAATCTTATTAATAAAAAAAGATTCTAATAAATTAGATTTGTAAAATAATTAATTAATTCTCTCACTAAAAATAAATAATTTTTATTTTGCATGTAATCTATTAAAAGCAATAGTAATTCGATATAACCAACCATAGGAAGAGATCGATATGGAAAATCTTTATCAGTTGCATTACCAATTTCACCTGTAAAGAAATTGGATATAACTAATGTGACATTAAGAAAATATGATCGTTATACTGGAAATGCAGAAACTATATCATGGGAAAAACATTTATTATGTGAAATAAGAGTAAGTTATTGTTCTATGGTTTAAGGATGAGGATTTAAACTTTATAAAAGATTTTTACTTGAAATAGAAATCATACAAAGATGAAGAATTTTATTTTAGATATTTAGATTTATTAGACAATATATTGATTCAATAAGAACAAAATACTTAGCAGAAGCAAAGGAAGCATATACTTGAGCAAAAGATATTTGTAAATAATTAGTTGCAGAAGATCTGATCAAAAGTTAAAGATTAAAAAGAATCATAAATAAGTGAGTCAAAGAATTAGATAGACTTTAGGTACTTTTATATAAACAAAGAATGAAGATATTTTGAAATGGGTATTAATAAGTGATTTAAGAATAGAAAACTGGATTAAAAAAGTTATTTCATTAAATGAGAGATGCAATTTAACATATTCTTGATGCAGGAGGAGAAAAATAATTTTTTAGATTAGAAGAGTTAATTAAATAGAAATAACACATTACAGAAGATTTTTTAAAAGGTCTTACTAATCGTAATGTCGAAGAGATTACTAATTATTTGTAATCAATTAGATTGTTTGTGTCAAAAAAAACAGACAAATTCTAATAACACAAATTGGAACAGGGAGATGATTTTCATTTTGATGAAAAAACTATAAGAGAATTATCTAGATCTTCTTTGGAAGACGCTGCTTCATGTTATTCTGATAGACTTACTGAGATTAGAGCACAATCAAGAAGAGAAAAATAAAAAGAAGCTGAGAAAAAGATAGAAAAGTTTTATGATTTGAATTAATTAAAAAATAAATGGAAAACAAATAATGTAGATTAATTGAAAGGAAGTATTAGAAGAGTATTAGTAAAAGAAACATTATCTGAAGCAGAACATATTCGTGCAAGAGCATATCGATTAGAATAAGAGAAAAAAGGAATTTAAATTTTAAAGATTGAATAACCAAAGAAACACAGATAGACAGCTTAAGAAAGAATAGAAGAAAGAAAAGATAGAAAAGATAAAAGATCAATAGTTGAATAATAAAAGAAACACACATTAACTAGAGAAGAAATGAGGACTGAATAATTAAAATAAGAGTTTTTTATAAAATACAATCGAAAATCAAGCATTGGAGAACAATTTAGTGCAGCTGTAGGTTATAATAATTTATTTTGAATTTTTACAAATAACTATTAATAATACCATATATACATCAATTATATAAATAATTTCAAATCTTCCAATTTTTTATGTTAAATTAATAGACCTATAATTTCATGGTTTAATTAATTACAACTCTCCTAACATTCTCAAGGTAAATCTAGATTTCATAAAAAATAAATTTGTAACAATAATACTCAACCTTTTTTGGTCTCATTAAAAATTTAACTGTTGTATACCCAAGTAAGGAAAGTAAAGTTAATAATAGAGAAAATATATTAATATTTTAAATCTTTAATTATGAATAAAAAAAAATAAAAGAGACAAATAAATAATTTATGACCACAGTAGAATAAAATATAAAATTTAGGTTTTGAAGTTATTAACTCCTTCCAACAGAAAATTACAATATGACCCATTTCAAGTTGACTCCATAATTCCATATCAATCAATTATAAAAAAATAATTAAATAATATCATAGTTTCATACAAGCAGTGCTGACAGCTAAATAGCGTGGAGATAAACAATACAATTATACTATGGCGAATATATTATGGAACTTTATCTTGTTAATAAATCAATTATACCATATATCTTTTCATTTAACATTAGAATTGATCATTTCCATTTTATTTTACTCAGCTCTTAGAATTAGGAAAAAATGCTATTCGCTAAAAACTAATTCTGTTAAGCTTAGACATTATTAATATCCTTTAAAAATTGTAATAAAATGATCTTATCATACAAATCATCTTTATAAAAGAATAATAATTATTGTTGAATATTATTCCTAAACTTTTAAAATTCATTTAAATAACATTTTCAGAGCAAAATAATTACTAAACTAAAAATATTAATTTTATTAACCATATCAATTAAATCTCTCAATCTACAATATATCTTTTCAATATTTAGAATTACATCATATAATTATCATTACCAAAAGAATAGAACTGTTTTGATGAAAAATGATTGAACTATTAGATTGTTAAATATCTTTCTTATATATCTAAATTACTTACGTTTTTTATAGAGCATAGAAAATGAATGAATACTATTTGTACTCAAATGATATTGTAATTTATTACTTATTTTATTTTAATTAAAATACTTTGATTAATCAAAAAAGAGTTTATTTAGCAATTTATATAATATAATCAGTAAGAAATTAGATAAATATTTTGAACAATAATATGTATATTTAGATTCAAGTTAGACACTTCTAAAGATGTTAGATGAAGGTTTAGGTTAATGAAACAATTTCTGGAGATAGATTTATTGAATGAATTAGTTAATTTAATTCATCAAGTTTCTCATTAGGTTTATAAGACATAGTTTCTTATTCAATTTTTAAATCACAACCCCTAAGATATTATTATTAACTTACTTTTAACAAAGGTCTTTGTGTTTGTCCCTTAAATGTTTGTAATACCTGTTTTTTACCATACTATATGATTTATTAGGGAAGAAAGGAGCTATTTTCACAAATTTAGGTCCTAACTCTTGAACCAATTTAATAATTCGATCATCCTCTTCTTAAGTAAACTAAAAAAGAGAATGACCTTTCCCCTTTTAATCCTTTTACTTATTTTTCTTTTTCTATTTACGATTGATATTGTATTAAATCCTCTTCTGACCAGTTTAAACAGGGTAATCTCTTTTGGCATAAAAACCATATTTTTTAATTGATGATACTCTCTTATCTCTATTCAATTGTTCCATAATATAAATAATAAATGGAAAATAAATTTTAGATTTGAATCATGTTCTAGATTAAGATTTTTTATTTAAACAAAACAAAAAACATATTTTATAAATGAAAACATCTAATTACTCAAATTTTTCTAAAACAACTTATCTTAATTTATCAATAATAGTATTAATAACTCGTTATTTTTACTTTTTACACTATTGTTTTTTTAAATCCTGTTAACTGTATTAATTAAATTTATACAACAATATGCAGTTTATTTATCAAAGCTCTAAATAGTAGAAACTTTACATTACGTCCATCTTATTAATTTCAATCTTTAAAAAGTACCTATAATTAAAACAAAACCAATAAATTTATTAATATTCACACGTATTTTAAAACAAAAAATTCCTTTATTTATTTTTTATATTATAAATATTAGATTTTTATTGGGCAAAGAAAGTTTTGTATATAAAATCTATAGAAAACTTACTAAAATTTCAAAGTAATTTTGAACTTCTTTTTAGATTACTAGGCATTTGATTCATATGAATTAAAACAATTAATTAATTTTAGTATTTTCTCTTTTAATCATAAATTACTACTTCAAATTTATAAGTAAAGAATGTATGTTATGTTGATGAACATTAAAGAGAAATATAATAAAATAATTGATATACTTAGATTATTTTAGAGTAGATAGGTAATTTAAGATTACATTTTAATAATTAAATAAATTATGTTAATCAAAAAGTTTAGATGTCATTTATTAATTTATCAATGACTTTTTATAAATTATTCTTTTTAATTGAGATGTTGCTATTTAGTATAAAACTTTTGATACTATTATTATTACTTAACTAAGTAAAGTATTCTCTTTAAAATAATCTTTTATCAAAAGTCAATACATTTATTGGTCCTAAGGGTTCACTTTATTTTTATACATGTCCCCATAAGTGTTTGTATTTCAATAATGCATCTTTAAATCTAATGGGTTGAAATTCTAAATTTTTTGGTTCTGCTAATTTTTCTAATTCAAAATCATCATCACTGTCAGTGTCAATTTATCCAATAGATTATTTTTATCGAATATTGTATTCAATCATTCTGACAACAGCTTATCGAATCTTATTTTAAGTTGGCATAGGTTCTCCATCCATAAATTTTTCATGAAAAGCCTTTGCTAACTATTATTCTTTGGTGTAATAAAATATCTTGCCTATTTAATCATATGCATTTAATTCATAATTAGATTCATTAAAAAATAATGTATATTTGATGAGTTTTTTAGAATAATTTAAGGCTCTCTTAAAATCCTATATTAAGAGTGTAAGCTCTACTAGATGCTTATAAGCAATAATTTTGTAACGATAAACTCGATTTGAATTGCAAAATACTAAATATTTTTACCAAATTTAGATTGCTTTATCGTATTAAAACTGCTTTTCTAATATGTATGCATAAGTAAAAACGGCAACATTGTATAAATTACCAATTTTAGATTATCTTAAATACCTTATGAACATAATATAATGATTACTTCATGATAAATGTAAATCTCTCCTCTAAATCATTCATATCATTTAAATCAATTTGAGACAAAATTTTCAAAGATTATTACTTTCGATTGCCATAAGGAGAATTATCATCATCGTTAATTTGAAAGAATTTATCATTATCCCTCAGAAAATTATAATCTTCATTATAAGTGGATTGCATTTTATTTTCTTTTTTTTTTACCTAAGGTAGAGTTGTCTATGCCCAGTTCCCAACAGTTCCAACAGTTGTTTCATCTACTTTTTTTAGTGATAACATTGAAGTGGCCCTAGTTGATCTACTAAATTAAGTATGCTTAGTCTTAGGATTGAATAAATTTATTTTCATAATAATAAAGTATTATATAAATATATAATTGATCATTTTATATAGAAGTTTTCTTCATCTCCTTTTTTCATTGAGGAACCTTACATTTTAGATGTATTCATTCTAGATTATTACATAATTGATGAATTTTTCATAGTCTTATCAAGTCTTGTAATTTCTTAATTTTATTAACTGCTTAATTCTTTTCTTACATTTTAATACTTTTATAATAGTCTATTTTAATATAATAATAATACTTTTCTAATTCTTAGGATCTAATCTTTCTTTATTCTTCCTATCCTGAAATTATTCTTTATTATAAAGCACTTAATTCTGTACTTTATTTTTGTTTAAGTTAAAGTATTAAATTTCTGATTTTACATGATCTTTATTAATTCCACTTTTCATATTCATCTCTTTCCATAGATAAAATTCTTTATTAAGTTATATGAGCTTCTTGATAACTGAATAAATATTTATAATTATATACTTTTCTTATCTTGCCAATGATTCTTCAGTCTTTCTCAAACTTAATAATTCTGCTGAATCTTTAGGTTTAACAGGAATTGAATTTTCTAATTCATCTGTAAATTATTTTAATTCTTCATCATGTCTTTAAAGAACCTACTCTTTAACTCTTTAAGCTTCTTAATCAAATTCAACCATTTTCTGATCCCAAAATTCGTTAAACTAATTAAATTCTTCAAGATGTGCTTTCTCAATTTCCTATTTTTCATTTGTATGTCTATCCTTAACTTCATATTTATTTTTAGAATCTAAATCTTTTTTCAATTCTCCTAATCTTTTTTTTGCTTAATCTGCCTCCAAATATTTTCCAGCCTTCTCACAACTCTTTTAATGATCATACAATATTTGACTAATAATAATATAGATATAATCATTACATGTATTCTTCCAAATCTCCAGTTTAAATTGGAAGATTATTTGTTCCCTTTTTAACTGTTGATCTTGAATTATTCATAAATTTATTTTATTTTTCTGTTAAATTATAAATTTATAGAGTGATTTATATAAGTCCAAAAATCAAAATCATTTTATTTAAATTATTTTAAACTCATTTAAAAGACATTATTTCTAATATTTCTAATAATAGATTAAGTATATATCTAATTAATATAATAAGAATATCAATATCTGAAACTGAAACTTAATGTTATATTATAATTGTATTCTTGTAATACTAAATAATATTTGATGTTTTCCCATTTTAAATTTATTATGATTTATAATAACAGCTAAGCCTCATAGAGTCATTTCGGATAAATAGTTGCATAAACTCCTCTTCATAGATAAAATAGAACTTAAGATCAAGCAACACTTTCTAAATATTAATCACCAACATTAAGATAAGCTGTATCTCCTAAAGCTGCAAGAGAATATCTAAATAGTTTGAAAAGTTTCATTTGTCAATATGAAGCCAAATCAACAATTAATAGAATAGCTTCATAATCAACATATGAAATATAGTAATAATAACCATATTTGTATTACCCAGTAGCAAATAGAAAGAATGACGATTTCAAAATGATGACACCGTCTAAAATTGAAGTTAGAAAATTAAATGAAAATGGTACAATACATTCACTGCGATATTATTATTTGAAATAAGCAGCTTTGGGCAGTTCAATTGATATTCCATAATCACAATAAATAATGATTGTAGGATTAAAACATAGTGGCAAAAAGAAATTATTATAAGAACTAATCAAACGAATTATGCCTAAATAATTTAAATTATCCTTGTAAACTGAATCAGGAGAAAAGACCATCAACTTACAATTGAATGATGATATAAAATAAACTATTAAAAGTATATTGACAGGACTGAAACATTATTAATTAATTGTTTAAGGTGAAAAAAACATAATAGTTTGCAGGGGATTAGATGGATTCAAGAGAGACAAGAATGATAAAGGAATTCTTATTGTTTGTGTGAAACCTGGTAAAGAAGAGAAAATAGATTGTATAAAGACATTGAAATTCTTAGAAGAAATTAACAAAAATTGATTATTAATGTAATAATTATATCAATATAAATGGGTACTTGTTAGTTATAAAATTGCAGATGTGTATGCTAATAGAATAGATTGGCATGTCAATGTGGAAGTTAAAATACAATTTTATTAGAAGAATAGTCAAGAGAGATTCGTAAAAGAATAGGTTAAGATTAAATGGTAAAATAGTTAGTTCTATGTAGAAAAGATCAAATAGATTTTAAAATAATAAAAGTAAGACAGGGTCTCCTAATTAATCAAATTCAAGTGATTCTTTGAATAAGACTAAATTTTCTACAAATCTAAAAGCATCAAATCGATCTCCTAATTCAACTGAAAGGTATTTAATGTCTGAAGAATGTAATATTGCAACTGAAAGTAGTCAATAAAAGAAAATTAGAAAACCTAAGATTAGAAATTTAAAATTTAATAGATGCATAACCTACTTTGATTAAGCAGTTGTTGTCTTTAAATTTTAAGAAATCATTGATTAACCTTAAAGTTAAAAAGAAATTAAAATTGATTCTCCATAATTTTAAACTCTTAAAAATAATTTAGAAAATAAATAAACTTTAGATTAAATTTAATCATTTAAAGATCCAACAATAACAATGAAAACACCTACAACTACTGGAGCAGAATTATCTAATGTCGCTATTTAATCTGCTCCATTTTTTATTCAATAACCATCAATTTCTAGAGAAAGTTCTCCTTTACAATTATCACATCCTATAACTCAAGTTAGTATTGAACCAAATATAAACAAATAATCTTTGTCAGTAATCACAGAACAATAATAATTAAAAAATAGATCACATACTGCAGAATTATCAGATGATCAAAAAAGTATTACTCCAAGAAGTGCCTTAAAATTACAATAAAAAAATAATGATTCTTTTAGAACTTAGTAACAAGAAAAACGTAAAGTAAGATTTGATCTTCCAAATTCACATTACATCAAAGAGAGAATAAAACAATAACAAAGGTTTTTCAATTGAATAACAATTTGTTATTAAGTATATGTAAATTAAATCTCATATATTTTAACTAAATATATAACAATTATATTCAGGACTTTTTCTCAAATTACTTTTTATACATCAGAAAACCTATATAAAATTAATAATAAAAAACTACTGATATTATTTTATGTTAATTATTTAGGAGTTGCAATATTTTATCTAAAATTATTAAACTAATCATATTCATCAGCTTATGTATTTTTAATTCTATGTGAATCCTTTATTAAAATAATAATATTACAAGATCTGTAAATTCAGTTTAAAGCTTTTCACTTTGAAAATCAATATTAGACAACCCACTAATTGTTTTTGCTTATTAATCCTACTAAGTATCCATTTTTAACATACTATCATCTTCCATAGTTTTTTAAGTGACTTAGGTTTATAAAGTAGGTTAAGTTTATTTCTTTTTAATAATTTTAACTTTTTTCAAAGATCCAAATATTTTACCAAGCTATTCCTCTGGTTTTTCAAAGTGAGTACTTTCAAATGCTTAAATGGCAACATTTTTGGTATTTGATTTATTAGAATAATCAGATTTTTTAACAGAATCCATTTATACTAAGAATTCATCAGATTTAATTGATTTTTATGATAATTCTGGTTCTTTTAAAGGGATATCAATATTGTTAAATTAATCTGCAATATTTTTAAGTTATTATTCATCAAATGTGTGTTATTCTGAATCAACAAATCTAAAATTAATTTATGAAGATGATAATCTAAATTCTTAATTTTTGTCATCATAATTATAATCATAACGATTTTCAAATTAAGGAGTAGGTTATTTAATATTAGGTGAATTCTATTGTGAAAATAATTATTATTATCTAGGATCTCTTGGAGTACTACATGGTTGGAATATAATATTTGCATTATAAAGATGATTACTATTTTCTTTATCTTAGATTCTTAATTTAGTAGCAATAAGAGGTTATTTATTATTAGGAGACATTCTTTTAGGTGGATATAATATAGCTTTTTATTGTTATTGTTAATATTTATATTGATCTATACATTTGAACTATTTCATATATTTTTATTCATTAGGACTGAATGATTATAAGCATTTTCTACTTTAAGGAGATTTGCTATAACATTGTTATTGATAAACTGAGACTACTCTTTTAGTCTAACATTACAAGTAATTGGCAAATTAATTCATTATGTTTTAACGGTTATATTATATAATTATTAATTAATCAATATTCATCCATTATATTACCAAGTTCTAATAAGAGATCTTTAACATCAACATTTAATTATTCTTAAACCTCTTCGTTATCAAATTCTGGTATTTCTGGTTCTTCCCTATTATTCATAGTCTTATCTTATTATTCATTTAAAAATTGCACCTAGAATTTAATTATTAATTAATACCTCTTCTAAAAGTATGTCATCAATTAAAGCATCAAAAATCTCTTTAAAGTATACATTATACATATTTAGCATAGGTGTAGCCAATTTATTAATCAAATTAGTATTACGACACATCTCTTTTGTTGGATAATATGGTTTTTTAGTTTTCTGTTGAATTTACTCTACTTCTCTTTATAATTATTTCAATTCTTTAATATGATTTTTATATTCTTATTTATCAATTTGATTCTAAGCATTTATTACTCCACAAATATGTAGATATCTATTTTTCTCTTTTTCTTTCTTTGATATTTCTTCTTCCTTTGGTTACAGTATAAATTCATTAAAATATTGTTATCTTACATCTTCAGTATTGATTTGAGGTTAAGATTATTCTTCAAAAATTGTATTGAATTTATATGAAGGTAATTATTTTTTCTCTTCATATTAATAATATTTGACTTTATCCATTAATTATCTATGTTAAGCTTTTGCTATTGATATAAAAGGAAGTTAAGTTGTTTTTGTGTAATTAAAAGAACTCATTTACTCTAGATATTTTGTTTTTGTTTATACATATTCATAAGGATGAGGTTCGATTTATTTCAATTCTTCTGTTGTAAATAAAATAGACATTAAAATAATGCTAAAAAAAAATAATTAATTAGTATTGAAAATTCATTCTATTTATCCTTTTAATTTTACAGATTGATTCATTCGCCTTCTCTATAAGCGTTATTACACTTAATCTTCCTATTCTTACAATGCTCTATACAATAATCAAATTAAATAAATCACTTATTATGTATTCTAGTAACTCTTTATGATTCATAACCATGATACTCTAATAGTTGATTAACTTATAATTTTTAATCTTACTCTTTGATATATTTTAATTAATTCTCTACTTCTTATTATTTCTAAGATTTCTATGCAATTACCAATCTCGATGACGGAGGTAATGGAGCAATCCTCTCTTAATTCTCAGAATTAGATGTCTTCTTAAGAGCCGTTTCATGTTTCAATTCTTCATAGGCAACATTCATGCATTGATTTACTGTCCCTTTCATTAATAATTACTACGTTTTATTCTTAAATATCAAAAACTTATTGCTCTTTATTGATTCAAAATATTCTACACCAATCTTCATTAAATTATATTCATTTTACTCTATATAATTCCAATAATTGATTCACAACCTCTATTGTAACATTGTTACATTCAACTTCCATTTCTAAAAATAATACATTCTCAGCAAAAAAAGGAGGTAAATTTTTTGAATGTTCCCAAAATAATGATTTTACTACTTCTCTCTATTATCTTTCTTTAGATCCATTTCTTGAATTCATATATATAATTTCTTATTTGTAAATAAATTAATTAATTAAAATATATTATTCATCCATAACATCAATTGAAATTTAAACAATTATTTCAGTCAAATTATTCATCTTAATATATCCTTTGCTTTTTTAAAATGAATATCTATTTTCTACTCATTATTATAAAACAATATTTTTAAGAAATTGAATAATTATTATTCATACATACAACTATAAACAATAAACAATGATTTTTTTAGAATCCTTTTTTCACTTCTCCTTTTCAGCAAGAACAAAGAAATCCCCAACAACTCTTATTTTTCTATGTCTTTTACTAAATAATAGTTTTCTAAGGAGTCAATGATTGAAATATTTTGTTAAAACACTTCTGCACATTTTACCCTGTTTTAGCAGAAACGTAGAACACTGGTAAGTTTAAAGATATATTGGAATTCATATTTAAATTTTGGATGTCAATTTTATTTCCAATAAGAAAAGTTGGAATTGTTCTTAATTCATTATCTATCAAATTCCACCAACTAGTTAGTATTTATGTTATGAAGCATCAAAACATATGATGACTGCATCAATTTGACTTAAAAGTCTATTCAAAATTAGTCTATAGGTTTCGCAACCACTAGTATCATAGAGTTTAAATATATAGTTGATATTTTTTAAATCTAAACTTCTTTAATAAAAATCTATCCCTATAGTTTCTTATGATTCATAAAGGAACTCTTCACCTTTTAAACATCTCATTAGTGATGATTTTCCACTTCTAGAATCTCCTATTAAAGCTACTTTAAATTGTTTTTTCATGTATTTATATTTTAAGAGTTTAAAAATCAGAATTTAAATACGATTTAAATTATATCACATTACACACTATTAATATCATTAATTAACTAATTATTTATATTTATTATTTATTCAATTTTTATTATTATATCATTATCATTTTTTGTAAATTTTACCCTTTCATGTTTAATTAATTTAGCTAATTTTAATTCATCATATATCGTATTTTAAATGAAAATTGATTTCTAATACTTAAATTTATCATTGATTTAAATCTAAAATTATTTTTATCAATTGAATTTAATCTTGTAATTTTCTAGAAACAAAATTCAAATAGAATTGAATTCAATTAAACCAGAAAATATTGGAAAGATTTCTAAACAATATTAACATATAGAAAGAAATAGAATAATAATTAGAAATAATGATATAAATTATTCACTTAATGTATTGTTTATGATAGAGATTAGGATAATTTGTTTATAAATAATAAATAAAATAAATTAAAGAATGTCTTTCAGATTATAAGTAACAGATCCTGTAAAAGATAAAATATCGATCTTAGAAGTGGATTAAACACTTACTGTATTGGATTTAAAAGCATTAATAGAAGTAGAAGTAAGATTTTGTTAAGATTTAAGTTTTAAATAGCTGTGGCTAGATAATAATTGATTTATGGAGGAAGAATATTGAATGATAATGATACTCTTTCAAAGTATAATATGTAAAATGAAGATTTGGTTCTAATTGAGAGAAAATAAAAATAATAAAGGACTCCATTAGAATTAGAAGCAATAAAGTTCATAAAACATTTTTAATAAAATCCTCATTTAATAGAGGCAATAAGAATAAAAGATCCAAAACTGGCAGAATCAATATAAAATAAAAAATTAGCAGGTGTAATGGAATATATATAGCAATAAGTATTAATATTATTGATTTTTAGTAATAAAAGAAATTCTAAGAATAATAGGAATACATACGAAAGATGTAATAATTGGAGTAGGATCCTCTAAATCCTGAAAATTAAAAGTTAATAGAAGAGATGATCAACAAGAAAAACATAGAAGAAAATCGAGAATATGCTGAAGAATACATTCCGGAAAGTTTTGGCACTGTTACAATGTTGTATATAGAATTATCAATTAATCGTCATCCTGTATAAGCTTTTGTTGATAGTGGGGCACAAAGTACCATAATGTCTAAAGCTTGTGCAGAGAGATGTGGAATTATGAGATTAGTTGATACTCGCTTTTAAGGTATAGCTTAAGGAGTAGGTACATAAAAAATAATAGGAAGAATTCATGTAGTTGAAATGTAAATTCTAGATCAAGTAAATTTATTTATATTATAAATTAGTTTCTACCATGTTCTTTAACTATTTTGGATGGAGATGGAATCGATTTTTTATTTGGATTAGACATGCTTAAAAGATATTAAGTAATTCTTCTATATTTAAAAATAGTGCAGTATAAATTTGAAAGATAATTGCTTAATATTTCCTAATGAAAAATTGAGTGTCTAATTCCTTTCAGAAGGTTAAATTAATAAGAGAATCAGTATTTAATAGGAATAAGAAATTTTAAAAAGATAAAATAGTGATTCCTAAATATAAGAAGAATAATAGATAAAATAATCTAATGAACCATAAAAATAATAATAATAACAATAATAATAATAATAATAATAATCATAACCATAGTAATAACAATAATAATAACCAAATGCCAATAGATCAGGTTCTAGACATCCAGAATAATCAATATAAGCAATTATTAATATAGGAGCAACAAGAGCAGAAGCTATAAATGTATTAGATTAGACAAATGGTAATGTAGAATTTGCAGCATCTATAATTATGTAGTAAAAATATGGTTTTAATTGATAAGATCATCATCGTAATTATGCTTCAATTATATTTAATTATGCTTTTAAATCTGCAATCTATTTAGCATAATTTCTTGCTACAGCTAACATTTATTCTTCTAATATTTCTGCCTTATTCTCTGCTTATTATATTTCCAGTTAAAGAATTACATTATCTGAAGTACCTTATGATTTTGGTCTATATGATTATTATTAAATTGGTGCTTATCTAGTTTCTGCTAATCCTTCTTATAACAATTCAATTTCTTTCAATAACATTTCTGCTCTCTTTTGAAATTTATTCACAATTATTGGATTATCTCTAAAAAATTCATCATTTTTGAATTGTTCAAAAAAAGATCTAGGAATTTCTCCTTTGTTCATCTCTGAAATATGTTACAATTAAACTTATTTCTATTTTAATAATTGTTGATCAGCTTTTAACTTATCTAAATTGTAAAATAATTGTTATTTATCTAACCTAGTCAAATTTCTAGATGTTTCTTTAATAGTTTCTTATAGACTTAAAATAATATGTTCTTAATTTTCCATAGTCTCTTTCAAATTAGTAAGAATTGGTCTTTAATCTTCTAATCTTTTTATAAGAAAATCTTATTCTTAAATAGTATCTTTAAGTGTTTATAATTCTGAAGTTTTACCTTTGGCTTGAGAGTGAGCATTTTCTATTTAATAATAATGATTAGATAATTCATGATATATTCTTCTTTCAAATTCTAATTTATTCATTAATAAAACTAACTTTTTCTTTAAAATATCTTATCCATAATCTGTATTACATAATAAATCTATTTAAATATGTAGTTCTTTCACATCATTTTTTTAATTAACAATTTTTTAGAAATAATTATTTTCTTCTTCAATTTAATCTTTTTGTTATCTCAAAGTAGCTAAATCAAAGGATATTTATTTATGAGCCGTTCTCAAGAAATTAAGTTTCTTTTATATAGGTTCCATAGATAAATTCAAACTTGTCAATTTTAATTCAACTCTTTATAATTTCCTTCTAATGATTTCTTGATCCTTCTCAAATGGATCATAATATATTTCTTCAATTCTTTCAACATCGTCTTCTACTTAAGCTTTAAGATCATGAGATTAATGTCTAAGTAAGATTGATATTCTCCCCTTCTCTTTCCTTTGATCTTCTGGATCATAAAGAAGAGATTCATGTTACAATTAACCTTCTATTCGAAGTACTTCTAATAATTTCACTGTAAGGACTAATTACATAGATCCAAAAAGAATTGAATGTTCAAGTAATTTTCGCTATTCCTATGGTTCAGAAGTCAATCTAGTATTAAAACAACCAAGTTTAAGAGTGACTCTATCTCCATAAGATAGATTTGTGAATTAAAAAACATTCTTTCTAAATTATGGATGAGCATTTGTAAATTGCACTTCACTTCTAAACTTTTAAGTTTTCTTTTCTTTTGATGCATATTATAATTCATCAATTTGAACAACCATAAAAAAATTACCTTAAGTAATTAAAACACAGTTTTAAATGATTACTTTCAAATCCATATTATATAATATAAATAATTATAAATGAAACTAGAAAACATAAAATAATTATTATATTATTATTAATACCATATATATTAAATATAAAGCCTCACTTAAATTTCCTATTTTACTCTATATGATATCAAAACTAAAAAGTATACTGAACATATTTCAAATAAATATAGTATAAAAAATGTAATGTAGCAGAGTCTATAATTTTCCATTTAATTTATGCTATTCATTTTAATGTTTGAGATTCTCTAAGAAAGAATATTTAAGTACTGAAGTATTTGAACTGAGATTCATAATTACAAACATATTATATACAATTAGTTAATTTGTTACAGATAGGTAATATTAAAAATCAAGATCTTGTGTCTTATAAATTATAAAATGAGGGCTTTAATTAATTAAATTTATAATTTTTTATCCATTTTAATGTTAAGCTTCGTTTTAATTTCCATATTTTAACAAATAGGTAGATGCTAGATGGTATTTTCTTATTAAACTTTTACACAAAACTCGTTTTCTACTTCAAATGGTTTAGATTTATTTAAATAATATAGGATGGAGTGTTATTGGAGGAAATGCAGGATTTGAGGTTAGAGATGGTTTGACAATATTTGGAGGAAGTAATGTTTTTGGAGGAGGAGTATCAATTTATAAAGAAATATTGATATCACCTCGTCATCATACAATAAAATTAAAGATGAAGATTTGGGCGTATATATATTGAATAAAAAAATGATAGTATAAATACATGGGATAATGAATCTATTTTAACGAAAGTAGATGGAGAAATTGTTGATGAATAAACTGTGAGTTCAAATAAAGGAAATTCTTTTGGGTAATTTATATAATAAGAAATAATAATTCNTTCTAATAATTTCACTGTAAGGACTAATTACATAGATCCAAAAAGAATTGAATGTTCAAGTAATTTTCGCTATTCCTATGGTTCAGAAGTCAATCTAGTATTAAAACAACCAAGTTTAAGAGTGACTCTATCTCCATAAGATAGATTTGTGAATTAAAAAACATTCTTTCTAAATTATGGATGAGCATTTGTAAATTGCACTTCACTTCTAAACTTTTAAGTTTTCTTTTCTTTTGATGCATATTATAATTCATCAATTTGAACAACCATAAAAAAATTACCTTAAGTAATTAAAACACAGTTTTAAATGATTACTTTCAAATCCATATTATATAATATAAATAATTATAAATGAAACTAGAAAACATAAAATAATTATTATATTATTATTAATACCATATATATTAAATATAAAGCCTCACTTAAATTTCCTATTTTACTCTATATGATATCAAAACTAAAAAGTATACTGAACATATTTCAAATAAATATAGTATAAAAAATGTAATGTAGCAGAGTCTATAATTTTCCATTTAATTTATGCTATTCATTTTAATGTTTGAGATTCTCTAAGAAAGAATATTTAAGTACTGAAGTATTTGAACTGAGATTCATAATTACAAACATATTATATACAATTAGTTAATTTGTTACAGATAGGTAATATTAAAAATCAAGATCTTGTGTCTTATAAATTATAAAATGAGGGCTTTAATTAATTAAATTTATAATTTTTTATCCATTTTAATGTTAAGCTTCGTTTTAATTTCCATATTTTAACAAATAGGTAGATGCTAGATGGTATTTTCTTATTAAACTTTTACACAAAACTCGTTTTCTACTTCAAATGGTTTAGATTTATTTAAATAATATAGGATGGAGTGTTATTGGAGGAAATGCAGGATTTGAGGTTAGAGATGGTTTGACAATATTTGGAGGAAGTAATGTTTTTGGAGGAGGAGTATCAATTTATAAAGAAATATTGATATCACCTCGTCATCATACAATAAAATTAAAGATGAAGATTTGGGCGTATATATATTGAATAAAAAAATGATAGTATAAATACATGGGATAATGAATCTATTTTAACGAAAGTAGATGGAGAAATTGTTGATGAATAAACTGTGAGTTCAAATAAAGGAAATTCTTTTGGGTAATTTATATAATAAGAAATAATAATTCCTCATTATTCATAATCAATAATATTAGAAATTACAACTACATTATAAGCTCCATCATCAGAAGTATTTAAATAAATTAGAATAGAAATCATGGGGAGTAAGAGATATCTATATTTATACATACAATTGTCCAGTGGGATGCTATTTCTGTACTTATTTAGATACTACTGTTGATTAATGCTTACCTTATATATAGAAAATAAATCATTTTTTAGGAGCGTTTTTAAATACTAATGAAGGTTGGATGGTTACAAATGAATAAATAAGTTAATTTAAGTGTGATTGTAATGAATTTATAATATTTGAGAGAAATATCAACATTTGGAAAATATAAGACAGGAACAACAATAACAAAAGAATACTTTTTTGAACCTCATTATGAAATGAGAATAACATTTTAATTTTGGAAGTTTGATGCATTAACAACATCTTAGTATTCATTAAAAGTTGATGAAATAGTTGTTTGGTCTGATTATAAAACAAAAGCTGGTAAGATTGAACTATGTGGTAGTAGTACAAAACCAGAATAATTTTATAATGTTGATTTAAGAATCTATCATGTAAATTAATACACAACAATTAAATTTGTAAGTGATGCAATAACACCAACAGATTATTTTGGAATAAGAGAATTAGCTATTTTTTTATTAAGATGTGATGCATCTTGTGAATTATGTGAAGCAAGTCCGACAACTTGTATCACAGGAACTAAATTAACAGAGAATTTGTTAGAAAGTGATTTAACTGAAATAAATTTCGCTACTTAATCATAATGGGGTAGTTATACTCCATCTGATGCAACTGGTTAGATAAAAATGCCATATTTAACTGAAACATACTTTTCTAGTATGAATTATCTTTCTTTTTATAATCTACTGTATAAAGATTTTGAATTAGAAGATCATGAAAAAATAAAAATCTAATTTTAAGCTTATGCTGCTGGTGAGGCATTAAATATAAATCTAAAAATTGATGAAGATTATGATGAAATTGTATCTATTGGTGAAACTCTTCCGGTTTCTACTTGTACACCTTCTCTTACATATAATATTGAAGATTATTCATTTTGGGAATATACATTTGATCATACTGGCAATTTTGTTAGAATTTAATTTGAATCTCAACCTTACATCTCTGGAAATTATAAATATGGATTCAATCATTTTAATATATATTCTATCAAAGAAGATTGTACTAATAATCCTTGTGTCTAAGTGGAATCATTAATTAATTCGAATTTCTTTACTACTACCTTTACTGATCCTTAAAATTGGTAATTATTATCCTATTCACCTATGGCAATCTCTATATGTGGTGCAATTAGTGTTGTTGGAGGGTACAATATAGCTCATAAGAATATTTTCTTATAAAAAAGAAGTTCTATTTCACAACCACATAAAATATTAAGACTCTTACTTGTTATTTATTATTTAGATTCTTGGACTTCTAATAAATCTCTAAGAATTTTAGCTGATAAAGTTATTATTTGGGATTAAACTGTTGATTATAACAAAAATCAACAAAATTTTTGTTCTTCTAACGCTTCTTATAAAGACTAAATGGTTACAGTAGATGTATCATTCCCACATAATAAAGCTAGTCTTACATTCTAATTTATGATTATGAATGGAGATGGAACTGGTATATATATTAATTTAACAATCTAGAATTCTATGCTATTAAAAATTATCAATTATTTTACAGTAATTGAATTAAGACATATGCATTAATAAATATCAAATTTTTTAATTAAGTAAAATATTCATAAATTCTTTTTCTGTTATAAATTCTTTCGCATTACATTCTTCTAAAATCTATTCCCATAATTCTTAATCCAAAGTACCAATCATTTATTCTAATTCCTATTTAGAAATCTTGCCATCATCATTTGCATCAAATACTTTGAATGCAGCTTTTACTTTCTATAAAGAAACTAATTTCTCTTAATTCATAGCTGCCATTAAAAACTCTAAATTTAATCAATCTTAAAATAAAACCTGAAAAATCCACTTAACCACTTTGATTCAAATCTATTAATTGCAGTATCTTTATAACTTCTTATTCAGCTTTCTCTTTATCTTAATAGATTGTATTATATCCTTCAATAAGTTCCTCTTTTGATAAAATTCCATCATTATTCTTATCGAGACTTTAAAATGTTTTTAATAATTCATCTTATTCTATATGATTTGTCATTTAAAAAGCAATATATGATAATACTGCTTATGAGAAAATTGATTTAGCCTAAAACTCTAAATGTATTATTAATACTTAAAATTTTTAGAGATTCTATAATACTCTCTAATTAACATTAGTATTAATAATAGTTTATGAACAATGTTTTATAATCCAAGCATCATTCAATGCTTATTTTGCTGAAATTCTAAAATTAGGATTCACATGTAACATTCTATTAATTAGATTCTTAGCCTCTTTGGATATTTAATTCCAATCATCAGCTGCACTTAATATAAAAACGATAAAATTACCATCAAATTCATATTTCCCTTCTCCTACTTTTTTCATTATTTCTTTTTCAGTTTTACCTGTAAATGGAGGATATCCACACAATAGTATATACAAGATTACTCCACATGACCAAATATCACATTTTTCATTATAATCTTATTTCAATACTTCTGGTGCTATATAATAAGGCTAAAATGATATTTATTAAATCAATTAGTTACAGTTCCCAATTTCTTTGTCATTTTTTTTGATGGATCATATTTTCTAGATGTTCCAAAATCTATTATTTTTAATGGTGAATTCTATGTATCATTAACAAATAAAATATTTTCAGGTTTTAAATCTCTATGAACAATCTTTTATTCATGACAATACATAACAGCAGATAATATTTATCTCATATATTCAGCTGCTTTCTTTTCATTAAATATTGTCATCGCTTTAATTCTCTCAAATAATTCACCTCCACTCAAATATTCTGTTATTAAATAATAATTTTATTCATCTTAATACAATTCATACAATTTCACTATATGAGGATGATCTAAATTCTTTAGAATATTCATTTCTGCAAATAACCTCTATTATTCTTCCTAAATCAATGATGACTTCTTTATCTATTTCATAGCCCTTATTAGCCCTATTTTTAGTTAACTTCATACCAGTGCTTTTATGAGTTACTTTCCATACTTTTCCATAAGCTCCTGCTCCTAAAGTAGAACCAGTTGAATAAAACTTTCCTATACTCCCCTACTTTAAACTTACAAAAACATCTGCCCCCAATTTAACTGTACCTATTGAAGTTATTGTCTTTCTCTTATATGGTGTAGATTGTGATCGATTATTGTAACCTTCTTATTATTTTTAATCTTATTAATTCCCTACATTATTGCTTGATTTTGGATCTTAAGCAACTGTTAATTATGATAATGCCATTTGTTGTTTCTCCTTCTCACTCTCATTTACTTTACTTACATTCTCACTTATTTCAGGAATCCCCATCTAACTCTCTTTTTTCAACTCCAATATTTCATCATTATTGCATGGCATTTAATTCGTAAATGGAAGGCTATGTATTGATTATTTGAATAAAGAACTGTTCTTTATACTATCATTTACAATCTCATTATTATTCAATGATTTTTGCTATCCATTACAACATTAAGAACCCATTATAAACAATTAATTTTATATTTAAATCAACAATTAACTCTCCACTTTATTGAAATCTTATTTCTTTTTAAATAAAACAATAAATATTTAACCAAAAAATACCAAAGATTAAATTCTATCTAAAATTACTAATATTGTTATTTCTTTTCAATTTTCATTATTTCCAAAACAATCAATATATAACTAAAATTACTAAACAAAATTTTAAACAATTTTCTTTCTCCAAAATTTTAGAATTGATAATAACATATTCTTGATATCTCAATTCTAAACATTCAAATTAAATGTGGTTCTTTCAAAATAACAGATTAGAATATATGATTAAATTTTAATATTCATTATTTTTATGAAATAGCCAATTAAATTAATTTATAATTATTAATTTGATATTTAGCAGAACTCAATTTGAAAAAAAAAAATAAATAATAAAATGGCAAAAGGATCAAAAGGAGCAAAAAGCAGAAGTTAAAGCAAATCAGGAAAAAGTAACCATTTCAATAACTAAATAATTAGAAAGTGGATCAGCAACAAAAAAAATAAAGAAAGCAGTTTAAGCTGCATCTCCTGCAAAAGTTGATGTTGCAGCAGCAGCACCAAAGACTCCCGTTGCATCAGCAAAGAAAGATTCTGCAAAAAAATCAACTCAAAAGAGTACATAAAAAAGCACATAGAAATCAGTAAAGAAGAGTGCAGCTAAGAACTCAGTTAAAAAAGTAAGTGCTTAAAAAAGTGGCAAGAAAGCATGATGATTAATATTATATATATAATAATTATAAAATGTCACTTAAAGATTTCAAGATTATGTCGAAATTAGGTTAAGTTTACTAATATGATAGGTGAGGGAGCATATTCAACAGTTTATAAGGTAAAAAGAATTGAAGACAATGTAGAATATGCTTTAAAAAAGGTGAATCTAACAAATTTGAGTGATAAAGAGAAATAGAATGCTTTAAATGAAGTTAGAATATTGGCATCTATCAAACATCCACATATAATAAGTTATAAGGAGGCATTTATTGATTTAAATAGTAATTCATTATGGTAAGACAATTGATAATATTAAAACAGTATTGTAATGGAACTGGCTGATAATGGTGATCTATTCTAATAAATATAGAAATGTATAAAATAAAATACAATGATAAATGAGAATGAGATATTAAAAATAACATTTTAGATTGCAAATGGTTTAAAGGCATTGCATGATTTGAAAATATTTCATAGAGACTTAAAAAGTGCAAATGTGTTTTTATAATCGAATGGTGATGTGAAATTGGGAGATATGAATGTTTCAAAAGTAGCTAAGAAGGGACTATTGTATACATAGACAGGAACACCATATTATGCAAGTCCAGAAGTCTGGAAAGATTAACCATATGATTAAAAATCAGATGTATGGTCATTAGGATGTGTAACTTATGAAATGGCTGCTCTTAAACCTCCATTTAGGGCTGAAGATATGGAAGGATTATACAAGAAAGTTATTAGAGGTTTTATTTTCAATATTCTATAGGTTTATATCCAAGACTTCCATCATAATATTCATAAGATTTATAAAATGTTATTCGAATGATGTTATAAGTCTAAACCAATTTAAGACCTACATCTTATGCAATTACAGAACTACCTTATTTTAATAAATTTAAAACTCAAACTTTTGATGATCAAAGTAAATTATTAAATACAATTATATTCCCTAAAAATTAAATTTCTATTGCAAATATGTTACCTAAAGCCAATTATAATAATCCTAAATATAAAACTGAAACTCATCAAAATAGTGATACCTAAGAAACTATTAATAGAAATAGATAAAGTACTCTTGGAGGTGGATCATAATAATCATCACCTAATCCTACTAGAATTTCATAATATCTAGCAGAATAAGAAATGCTTTTAAGTATTTATATATTAATTAAAGAATAATAGTATTCTGTTAATTACGCTGGAAAACATAAAAAAATACATAATTATTCTGATAGGAATGTTATTGCCAAAATCCTATTAGAATATTAAAAAGATGTCCCAATTCATAAATAAATTAAATAAAGACATAGAAGACTCTCATAAGAAGAAACTCCTTATTTATATTAAAGAAGGATTAATCAATTACCCACTTTAGAAGAACATTCTCCAAATTAAAAAAGAAATCCTCGTAATTAGAGTCTACCAACTACTAATTTACCTATAATATGAATATAAATATATAAATATATATATATATATACCAATATACTTTATGCTCATTTCTTTATTATTCAATTGCATTAATTTAAATATTTATAATTTGTTGTCATTAATATTTTTTTATTTAACGATCTTAAATTTATGTAAGAGTTAGATTTCTTAAGGATTCAAAGAGAAAGTTAGAAATTTTTAGAGATCGATAATATCTATAACAGATTGGCATCTAATTTTGTAGAAAAAATATTTAGTTTATTCAAAGAGATTTTCCAATAAGAACATACATACACGATCTAAGTGAGTTAAACTTAACATTATAGGAATTGTTGAAATTAGCAATCTAAAAAGAGATACCATTAAAAGATTTTAAATTAGCAGAACATTACAAATTGAATTCAAATATTTTTAAAGCTAATTTATAAATGATTGTCAATGTAATAATCGATGACATTTGGAGTGCATACAATAAACAAATTGTATTAGATGAAAAGAGTATAGCAGAACCAAGACAATTAACTTAAATAGATGAAGAATCAGCTATTGAGTAATGTTAAAGTTTAAGTGAAACTTCTATTATTAAAGATAAAAAAGAGATTGAAATCTAAAAGTAAGTTCATTCTGCTAGATCTCCACTTGCAAAATTGTTAGCTGGTGATAAATCTCCTTAAATTATATCAATTGCTAGTTCTCCTAGACATTCTCGTGATAACAGTTAAAATATGCTTATAAAACAACAAAAATAAGTTATTTAAAATTCTAAAAAGAAAAATTCATCTTTAATTAAAAATAAAAGCATGGATCTTAAAAATTTAGTTGCTGAAGGAATTCTTTAACCAAGATCAAATAATCGATAATAAATGAGTTTAAGTAATTTACATCTTTTGATGTAGAAAATGCAAGGTTAAAAAGAGAATTTAAAATGATTTATAATTCATTAACATTATAATAAATATTTTTAAACTAAATAAAAATGGATCAAGATTTGAATCAAAATTTAATTAAGTTAGGATTACTTTTGAGATAATAGAATGTTAAAAAACCTATTTACAATCCTTCAAAATAGTCAAACTTACAATTATTGTTAGCAAGATCGATAAGTATTAGTACTGAATCATCATCCAGAATGATTTAAATGAAATCTAATTTTAATACATAAAATACTAGTAAAGCACAATATAAACCAAAAGAAAAGTAACACCTTATTTTATTATGATATCCAGATATTTTGTCAGTAGAAGAACGTCATTGGCAAAATAATTAAAAACTTGTGATTCGTATTTATAAAAACGCAAAATTGAAAGTCAATTCATGAAAACTGATAATCTATGTGGGTTAAAAAAGGTATTCGAAATTGGAAAGACCGTTCTTTTTTGATTATAATTATTTGATCATAAATATTAAATTGTTATTAAATATAGAACAATATTTATGGATCTAATTGTAAAGCAATGTACCTTATAGAAAAGAAATATAAGAAGGTTCCATATTATAAGTTAAGAATCCTTTCAAAAAGACAGAACTATGCCATTTAAAAATACAGAAAGAAAAATCTCAACCACTTGATTTCATTCTTAAGCTGATAAAAAATATAAAGAATAAGATGTAGTTGTGATCTTTTTGAAAATGCTTAGATAACAAAGACTTTTTAATTTAATATGCCTCAAATAGAGGATTTTATATAATCCTCACTTTTCCCTGATAAAAAAATAGTTAAAAATAAAAATGGTTTGATTATATTTAAGCCAATTCCTAAAGAATTTCATCTAAAGAATTAAAGTTCTTAAAAATTCAGTATTTAAAATAATGCATGATAGAGAGATATTAGATAAAAGAAAATTATGTATACTGAAATAATGAAATCAAGATTAGTGAAAGAGAAATGGTTTACGGATAGAAATTGTCGTATATAATTTAATAATTTATGTGCTGATACATATTTTCATTGAATTAAATTGTTGAACTTCTCATATTTTATTATATAGTTTAGTTCTGATAGGAAATATGTTAAATATATATATTATTAATCTTAAATCTTGAGATGTAAGATGTAATTATGAAAATATCATAAATAGAAAAAAGAACAAACGAGGTTTGAAAATTTTCTAAGACAATTTAGAGATTTAATTGATTCCTATTTAGCACCAACACCTGAACCAGAAGAATAACCAAAACAATAAATTACAAAACAAAAAAAACAAAAAAAACAAAAAGATCCATTAGCACCTAAGATGCCTAAATCAGCGTTCATCTTTTATTTTTAAGACAAAAGAGAGAAATTTTAATAACAATATCCAAGTCTTTTTTAATGCTATTTTAGATCTACAATTTTAAGAAATCACCAAATTAATTGCTAGTGAATGGAAAGATTTACCTAAAGAAATTTAGTAGGTACTTAAACTATTTCTTTCATGTATAGTCATATCACGATTAAGCCTTTAAAGACAGAAGTCGCTATTCATAAGAAAATGAACTCTATTGCACATAAACAGGCAAGCAAATCAACGGTAAGAGCCAATCAAAAACCAATAAATCAAGTGCTAAAAAAGAAAAAGTCTAATAAAAAGTTGATTAATAAGATGAAGATAATGATTCTTTTGGAGCAGATATAGGTTAGGAATGATATCTATAAAAAATATACATCTAAAATAATTCATCAAAATATTCAAAGGAATTTAGTTTTTTTTTATCTCCTTAAAATATAATATTACAAATTTCTTTATTCCTGTCCTTTCTTTATAAATAAAATTTGCAAAAAATTTAATTTTATTAGAAAAGTCTTGGAGAAACGAAAGTAGAAAAAATAAATAAATGTTAAGTTGAATGAAACTCAATTAATGAATTTTTAATAATTTTATGAATTATTCAATGTCTGTTCTTAATTATAAAAAATACTGCTAAATAGTTTTCTGAATCTTTTTTTAGATAAAGTATTAAATTAGCATTTGAAGCTTGTTGTTTAATAAAAATAATTTAAGTAATCGATAATCAAGAATTTGATTAAATTATTTGTGTGAGAGAGTGAGTATTTAATAACTTAAATAAGTAACTTAATAGATTTCGTAATATGATTTTATATATAAAATATTGTATAATATTAAATAATCACTATTTAATTAAAGTATTAAAAATGCAAGTAAATTAAAATGATGAGTTTTATTTGAGATATTAGTAAGTTTATAAAATATATATGGATAGTGTTGGACATAAAGGAATATATGGACATGAATTTCTTGAATTTGAGTTTAGAAATGATGGAAGATTACGTTATGCAAATAATTCAAATTATAAATAAGATGTTTTAATTAGAAAAGAGTGTTTTGTTTCTGAGTCAGTGATTTCTGAGTTTAAGAGAATAATAGAAGAATCAGAAATAATAAAGTATGTAATTGAATATAATGAAAGAGAAAATGATTCAAAATGGCCAGCACCAGATAAAATAGGAAGATAAGAATTGGAAATAAAATTGGGGAATGCTCATATATCATTTACAACATCAAAATTAGGATCAATACATGATGTATAAAGCAGTTAAGATCCTGATGGTTTAAGAGTTTTCTTCTATTTGATTTAAGATTTGAAGTGCTTTGTATTTTCATTAATCGGACTTCATTTTAGAGTAAACTTCTATTAAAATTATAATAGATAAAACCTGTAAATTGAACGATTATTATTATGTGTTAATTTATATTTATAAATATTAATTAATAAAGTATATGAATTTATATATAAGATGAATAATGTCTTGATGATTATTAGAAAATAAAGAATAAATAAGGATAATTATAAATTGATTATAATTTTAATATGATCATACCTTAACAAGTCCAAATAGGCTGCTATGCATAGGTAATTTACAAACTCTGCTTTTTTCTTCTTCTTTTCTATCTTAAATAGGAATATATTATCTTTAATCTTCTCCTACATAGAGTTACCTTGGTCTACTGATTCTTTAGACTTTTTCAGACATCATTTCCATCCATTAACAAATCCATCCAATACTTCTTTATACTGCAAACATGACAGTAAACATAGAAGTTGGAATACTCAAAGCTTCATATACAATTCCAGTGTAGAAATCAACATTGGGATACAATTTACGTTATATGAAATAATCATCTTTTAAAGCAGTTTATTCTAATTGAATGGCTAACTAACATATTATTAATAAAGATATATACTTCTAAAATATCATTAGCTCTTTTTGTTTTTTCTAAGACATTATAACACATTTCCTACATAACTTTAGCTCTTGGATCATAATTTTTATAAACTCTATGTCCAAATCCCATTAATCTAAATGAATTATCTTTAGATTTAGCCATCTGAAGATATTTAGGAATATTTTCTTTATTTCCTATTTCTTTAAGCATATTCAAAACAGCTTCATTAGCACCTCCATGATAAGGTCCCCATAAAGCTGTAATTCCAGCAGCTATACAAGCAAATGGATTAGCTAATGAAGAACCAGCAATTCTAACTGTAGAAGTAGATGCATTTTATTCATGATCTGCATGTAACATAAAAATAGTATCTAATGCTTTAACAATTACTTTGTCAACATTGAAATCATTCATAGGAGTTGAGAACATCTTAAATTATGTTAATATAATTACCATATATAAGAAATTCTCAATAAATGAATATTTTTTATTAGGATATACAATAGGTAATCCTAATGCTGTTCTATATGCATAAGCTGCTAGAGTCGGCATTTTAGCTACTAATTTAATAGCTATATATTCTCTATCTCTTGGATCATTTACATCAAAATCTTTATGCATAAAAGCACTCAATGCTCCTACTACACCAACCATGATTGCCATAGGATGACTATCTGATGCAAAACCTTTATAGAATTCTATAAGTTTTTCATTTATCATCATTTCACTCACCATAGTTTCTTCAAATGATTACAACTCTTTTTAAGATGGAAGATGTCCATAAATAAATAAATAACACACTTCTATGTAAGAAGAATATTTAGCTAAAATTTCAATAGGATATCCTCGATATAATAATTCTCCTTTATCACCATCTATGTAAGTCATAGTTGACATGCATCTAATTTCATTATTATTAATTTATACGCTCCAGTTGATGAGAATCCAGGATCTAATGTAAAATACCCTGTTTTAGAATATAACTATGTAATATCAATCATAGGAGGACCTTTTGTTCCTTTATAAACAGGTAGTTAAACACTTTTGCCATTTGGTAATGTTAATGTTGCAATATCTGATGATAGTGGACATATTGGTACAGTTTTTTCCATCTTTGATTTATGAGAATCTATTGTTTCTTGATGCCATTTATTAGGAGATTGCGACATTTGAAATTAAAGATAACTTAAATAATTAATGTATTACGCATCATTAATTCATATTTTTAATTTAGTATGTTATAAAATTTATACAATAGATATTTTTTTATTCATTTCATAATGTACCTGCAATTTAATTATTTAAATTAATCATTTTTGTCTATATTTCCTTCTTTCTTCTGCTATATCTTCCCAATGATTCCATGCTTTCATTCCATACATAGCAATATCATCTCTTGCTCCACATGTAACATAATTCCCTTCTTAATCAAAAATGCATAAATGTGGTATTGTTTATGGTTTACAAATTCTAGTTAAATAACTTATAGCCATCTTTTCAGACCATGGAATTGCCAACCATGGCATTTTCTAATAATATTTCATGAAATCTCTTTCATTCTCATCATGAGTTACCAATACTATTTCAAAATTCTTTGTCTTTTTTATTTCATCATAGAAATTTTTTAACATTCCTGTAAATTATCTACAAGGTGGACACCAACTTGCTGAAAAGTACAATCCCCAAAAATTATACTTTGAAAAATCAGGTTTTGCTTTTATTTCATTACCTTATTGCAAATTTTCAGATAAAAACTAAGAAAAGTTTTTCATTAAATAATTACTTCAATTATAATTTATTTTTTTTACATCATTCCTTTTTATCTATCATTTTTATAATATATAAACTATATTCCTTTTTTTAATAAACAAGTAAGTATCCAATACAATCAATTATTAAATTTATTCAATATAATATAATCTAATGCAGAAATTGCTTAAATAATTTCATCTTCTAACACACCCCAGATAAAATTATAATATCCTTCATGTATTAGTGAATATCAATTCTCTAGGTATTTTTTGCTATATACTCTATAAAGAAAGCTTAAGAAATAGCAATTTCAAATGATATACTATTTTCATCAAATTCAAACTTCAGGTAAAATGTTTACGTTATCTAAAAGTCCATTAATTTCCCTCATTTATTATTGTTTTGTTGCAACATCTATAACAAACACTTAACTTATTCTTTTAATACTACTTATTTTTATTTTGAATTGCCTAGCCTTAATAATACTATCCATTCTCATATTTAAATAAAAACCACCTACTGTAATCTCAATTATCCTTTAATAATTCCTATTTTATTATCATTAAATTCTTACAATGCCAACTATCTATATATCACTGTTATTCATTTATGATACTAATATTTGCAATAGTAGTAATTTATGTTCTAATTATGCTTATGTCATACTAATAACCATAAGTGTTGTAAATTTTATTGTATCGATGGCTATAGGATTCGTTTTTATATATTTTGGAAGATGTGAAAAATTGATGGAAGATAACATTATCTTCACCTTAGATTAAACAATTATAATCAAATCAATAAATTAAGTCTTATAATTGTTCGTTCTTATCTTTAAAGTCATAGATAAACTTTAATTATTAAGGTTTGCATTTACTATCATAAACAACTTCATTTTTATATTATTCAATATCAGAAAAAATAACTATTTTGGATATTTAGTAATAGAAATAATTTTTATGATTATCAATATATCATTTAACTTAAAACTTAGTATTTATGAATTATTCATTATTGTAACACTTATGATCAATATCTTATTCTAAATTTAATAATAGTTTGTCTCGTTTTACTTAACAACTAAAAATTAAAGCAACTTATTAACTATATAAGTATATTTATTTTACAAATTTAGAATTTAGAATAATTCAATTAACAAGGCGACAAAAGATCCCAACTCCTAATTTCAATATTATAAATAAATCATAATTGCTTAAAATGTTAATCTCCCCACTCTATACCCGAATGTTTGTTAAGGAAGATGTCTAACATTAAAAATAAATAGTTAATTAACATTTTGGTATATTGTAATTATATATCTAATAATGCACCTCTTAAAGCACTTATAAAATTAATTTTGTAATAGGCAAATGATATTTACTTTAAGCAATCTTTTAATAATCTTTCTTATTATTTGTACTAAAGAGCAAAGTAATATTAAAAAGAAGCTATTCATAAAAATACTATTCGTAATTCAAATGAACATTAATCATCTTTGAATGTTTAATCTGCATTTATGACTAGTCATTCTTCAAATATATTATTTCCTCTATTAATTGAAACAATTTAAAGTAAAATTAGTTTTTGGAGCAAATTAATAAATGGATATTAAGACATAGAACATTATTTAGTTGAGACACTGAAAACAACTGATAAAATGTTATAATGTAAACATGAAATTGAGTAAAGATTTGATATGTTTAATAATAAATTAAAATCTTAATAATAATCAGATATATTGACATTAAGAATAATTTAAATTTATCATTCAGGAATATATTCAAATGCATTTTAGACATATTAAATAGAGAAATAAATTGAGGAATTAATAAAAAATGAAAGATATAAGTAAGATGAATCTTTAGATAATATGCAATTGATATAAAGTATAAATTAATAATTAATTGTTAGATAGATTAATAATTCTTAAGTCTAGTCTAGTAAGAAGAAGAGGAGAACTTGCAAACCTAAATGTTAGATAATTAGCTTTATTTTTAAATGAAAATGAAGATAGTGTAAAAGGTATTAGACATTGCAATTAATTGATGCCTAGTTTTATTTCATCAATTCATGAAAAATTGATGGATAATTATTTGTAAAGAGGTCATTCTAAACTTATGATAAATGGTGAATCATCTTTTTGTTAAAATGTATCAGGGTATTTAGAATTATGTAGTTTAAATTTATTTAATTTTTTTGATGATAAAGATGATTTTATTTTAAATATGATAATTACTAAGTAATAATCAAATAATGAAATCATTTTATTTGGTATTGATGGTAAAATATTAGGATTTACTAAATATTTTTATGAAGAAATTTTACAGAATACTGTAAAGATGAATTTATCACATTAAAATGATAAGGATTAAAATGAAATCAAAATTACAGTAAAAGAATTCTTAAATAAAAATCCATTAATTTAATTTTATATTCCTGGAATATTTAGTTAAGTTTAAGAATTAAGATAATAAATAGAATCATCTTCTAATTATTTGATGAATAATTTAAAATCTTTTTGGATATATCCTAATAATCATTTAGAATGTTTATAAAATTCTTAATTAATATTTTCTTAATTCAAAAAGAGAAGTTATGGATCCTAATAGAATTTTAGATCATATAAATCTTAGACTTATTCAAAGTATTCTTATAATACAATTAATACATAATTTGATCTTTAATATGATAATTCTGATATGTCATCAGAATTAAAATCAAATATTTCAATTAATGGAATTCCTATATTATTATTACATCCTGAAGTTGAATAGCAAATATAAAGAATTATTGATTTAAGTGAATCTTAGTCTAAAATGCCTTAAACAGGACTTTTTTATAGTCTTTAATTTAAAACACTGAATTTTAAGAGAGGAAATTATGGCTATTTTATGCTGACTATCAAAGATTTTAAAACTATTGCAAATTATACAATAAATGGATAACAAACATCTAGAACTTAACCTACACTCTATTAATCATTAATTCCATCATAAGAATTTTCTGCAATTAATATAAAAAGCAATTAAACTTTTTCTTAAGAGATTAGAAGTGATAATCCTGATTCTCAAGATCCAGTTATTTAAGAAATAAGATAAATGAATAACAATCAAAAACTTAATGATAGTAGTGCAATTGATAATAGTTTCAAATTTTAAGTAAAACAATCAGATAGATCTAATCTATTTGACTCTAGTAGATAACCTTTATTTGCTAGACCTAAAATATTTGAGATTGATATAAATGAAGAAGTAGAACGAATTGAATAAGATATGCAAGTATATATTATAATTATTCCATTTAAGATAATTAAAGAGATAAAACAAGATTAAATAGATGAAGATTAAGAGGAAGGTGAAAGAAAAGTTTAATCAGTGAGTTAAAGTTAAAAGAAAAGTTCAAATATTTTGATGAAGTTTCAAAAAAAATAAATTAAAAATAAAGAAAATGACTTTGCTTCTAATCCCTCTAGAACATCAACTAATTCTACTTCAAAAGAATCTTTACTCATTGTATAATAGCTTTATCATAACACATAACTTATCACTCCTTTGAAAATTATCTCAATTTTACTTTTTACCATATGTTCAGGTATTTTTATTTGTAATTTAATCAATGTCTAATTTATCTCTGAAAACTTAATTTCTTAAACAAATTAACTTGCTACACTAAGGTAACCCTAAAACATCAATTTTTTCTATACATCTGAAATTTTATAGGAATGGTATTTAATATTAATAAAAAATAAACTTGTAAATGTTAGTCCTTTTATGTATTAAAGAAATTTGGAAACATTACAAGGAATGTATGACTATGCTAGAACGACACTAGTAGATTTAGCAATAGTTGTACCTAAGTTATCGTCCTAATAAAATTTAGATGATTCTATTCAAACTAAGTTTTTTTAAGAAAAATAAATAGTAACTATAGATTATCCTTTAGAGGAATTTTATACTGTATTGTATTAAAAAACAGAAACATCCTATAGGTAATTTATTAGCGATGGAATCTTAGAATTTTCATAAATAATGCCTTTAGGTGTTGTTAGATTAAATCTATTAGATATGTTAGATTTTCATAATCGATTAATTTAAGCTATAATTAAAAACACTATTGATTAATAATCTTAAGTTAAATCTTATTTTTTATAAGTTATGTTTTTCGAAATGTTTAGTATCTTTTTAATAATTGGAATATAATTAAGATATTGGCTTTTTATTGATCATATAATAAAGTCAATATTATTTCTGGTTTCCAGATTAAATGAAAATCAGGCATTAGATTAAATTAATAGATTATCATTAATTAAAGATTAATTAGATAATCAAATAAATGGAAATTGGAAGTTATTTAATTTTGGTGATGTTATGTATGGATTTTCTGAGAGAAAGGCGAAAAAGGCAATTTTAAAAACAAATTTGGAATTAAGTTAAAATAATATTAAGGCTACTAGTGCTTTATATTCTAGAATATAGAGAACATATTATTTGAATAGAAAAAATGCTTTTATTACATTTTTTATAACTGCACTTTTAACAATATATTTTATGACNACTAATTCTACTTCAAAAGAATCTTTACTCATTGTAGCTTTATCATAACACATAACTTATCACTCCTTTGAAAATTATCTCAATTTTACTTTTTACCATATGTTCAGGTATTTTTATTTGTAATTTAATCAATGTCTAATTTATCTCTGAAAACTTAATTTCTTAAACAAATTAACTTGCTACACTAAGGTAACCCTAAAACATCAATTTTTTCTATACATCTGAAATTTTATAGGAATGGTATTTAATATTAATAAAAAATAAACTTGTAAATGTTAGTCCTTTTATGTATTAAAGAAATTTGGAAACATTACAAGGAATGTATGACTATGCTAGAACGACACTAGTAGATTTAGCAATAGTTGTACCTAAGTTATCGTCCTAATAAAATTTAGATGATTCTATTCAAACTAAGTTTTTTTAAGAAAAATAAATAGTAACTATAGATTATCCTTTAGAGGAATTTTATACTGTATTGTATTAAAAAACAGAAACATCCTATAGGTAATTTATTAGCGATGGAATCTTAGAATTTTCATAAATAATGCCTTTAGGTGTTGTTAGATTAAATCTATTAGATATGTTAGATTTTCATAATCGATTAATTTAAGCTATAATTAAAAACACTATTGATTAATAATCTTAAGTTAAATCTTATTTTTTATAAGTTATGTTTTTCGAAATGTTTAGTATCTTTTTAATAATTGGAATATAATTAAGATATTGGCTTTTTATTGATCATATAATAAAGTCAATATTATTTCTGGTTTCCAGATTAAATGAAAATCAGGCATTAGATTAAATTAATAGATTATCATTAATTAAAGATTAATTAGATAATCAAATAAATGGAAATTGGAAGTTATTTAATTTTGGTGATGTTATGTATGGATTTTCTGAGAGAAAGGCGAAAAAGGCAATTTTAAAAACAAATTTGGAATTAAGTTAAAATAATATTAAGGCTACTAGTGCTTTATATTCTAGAATATAGAGAACATATTATTTGAATAGAAAAAATGCTTTTATTACATTTTTTATAACTGCACTTTTAACAATATATTTTATGACGGGATTCTTATTACATATGTTAAAGAATGATAACTTTTAACCATCTCTTACAGTTACTTTGAAATTTGTTCAATTCAGACATAATATGGATTCTTTAACTCTATTGGCTGGTTTAATAAAAACAGAACCAATAGTACCAAATTTGAATCTTGAATATTTAAATTAAACTTGGGCTTGTGAATAATTAATTTAGTATAAAGATAATTTGTCACCTTTAATTAATGAAGTTGCTCAAGTAATTTTAGAGAATGCAAATGCTAAAAATGAAAAAAGTAGATTTGATACTATACTTAATTTTGATTTATGTCTTTCATCTAATTCAGATTCTATGCCTATTTGTGATTTATCAACAATAAAATAGTAATATGATTAGTAAGTATATTAATCCTATTTTTAGAAAAGATATATATAATAATATAATCAGTAATGGGGCATTGGGATACACAGCAGCACTAATTAAATTTATAAATTAAGAATTTGATTATGAAATTTAAAATCTAAAATACAATTCTAGTGAGTTAAATAAATTTATAATACAATAATAGAGCTTTTAAAATTTTATTTTGCAATACTTTACAGACATTTAGACTGTAATGAGATAATTTCTAGTATTATTTTAATAAGATAATCTTGCAATTGCAGAGGATATAATAAGTGTAGTTCAAATCTATTATTTAGGTGTAGGAATATGGTATTTAAATGTATAAATTAGTTTATTTTTATCTTATATATTGTTGAGCTTTGTTTGGGTTTACAAATCATAAATGAAAATATAATCTTTGAGATAAATTTTAGTATTGATACCTCCTGATCATATTTTGACAACAAATGTAAGAAGTTAAGCAAAAAGTATTCATTAGATGTTGTATTGATTAATTAAAATAATAAGAATAATGATTTAAAGATTATTAAAAATGGATGTTATTTTTATTTTATTAATCATTTTTGTAGATATTATTTTATTTATTATATTGCCTCATAATCTTATGGGACATTTTTACTATTTGTAAATTTGAATCTCGAGTTACTATTACCATCTCCATCCACTAAAAATAGAAAAGATAAATACTTTTTAGAATAACAGCTTCCACTCTTTTTTCAATATCAATTGATTTTTACTATATAGGTTATAATAGTTCTTATTGTTATTAAGTTTCTTTAATTTCTTCCCATTAAAAATTAATTTATTATTGTTATTAGATTGGATCAACAATTCTTTCTTTTATCATATTATCTAAAATATTTTATGTGGTTGGAAATATTGATTTTTGGAGAGCATTTTTGTAATTGATTTTTGTGTAAAACTTTTTGAAGTTAGTTTAAGCTAATTTTTATGAATAAGAAAATAACCACTTAGAATTATTCATTTCTTCCTAAATATGATTAAAATTACATACTTTTTTTAATACCTATGTATTGTCTTTGTCTTTTGGGTGTTAATGTAAGTAGACACAATCTTTAATTTTACATTATTGACCCTTTAAGAAGTTTGTACAATATTTGGTAGTTCCAAAGGAAGCTTTAACTTATCTGTCGTGTAATGGAAATTTTTCACATGCCAAAACAAATAAATAATAATTATATTTACTAAGATTGCTAAAGATGCTTCTTATTCATTTCGATAAGTAATATAAGCAGCATGAGATGGAGGATTGAAAGTGTTACTTTGTATCACAATTAATTTTTAGATTTATCCATATTGACCAAAATATTCAAGTTTTTTTAATTGCTGTAATAAAAATATGAAATTACATCTTCTTTAGCAATATTAGGTGCTAATCCAATAACATAAATTAAATTTTTGCAAATGATTCTGATTTCAGCTAATAATGATTTGTTTTGTAAATTGATTTCTTTGAAAGAATATAGTGTTTTAGGTTTAGGTGAATCACAACTATCCCAATCATCTTAGTCTGAACATTCACAATCACTTAAATTACAATATTAACAAATCTCTGATTAATTGGTTTAATTTTTCATTTTTTAATTTATATTACTAAGTAATAAATATTAGAAAAATCATATACATTTTGTTTTAATATTATTGTAAATATTTAATTTATATTTTCTACTCAAAACAAATAAACTCTTCTTCTTTTAAACAAATGGGTGCACTTTGTGACAATTCTTAATAATTTTAAATGGATTTCGATAGAACAAGTAATTTTGATAATGAGAATTTCAGATTTAAAGAGATGAGTATTTTAACTCATCGAATTGATAATAAATTCAAAATCATTCATGGAATTCTAAGTAATAGAGATGAGAGAGTAATTGAACAGTTAAAAAAAAAGACTTAATATGCTAATAGTTTAAATATTCATCATTGGTATATTAAAAATGATGATTTACATATATACTTTGATTATCCAGTGCCAATTTCGTAAATTGATAATTTTGAGCATTTGGATGTTTGGAAATTAGTTAATCATATAACTAAAATATTATCACTTTTATAAGATTTAAAAATGCATTATTGTGCATTAAATCCAAATGGAGTATTTAGAGTATATACACTTTAATAACAATATGTTTATAAAATAGCTGATTCATTCTTATTCAGACCTTTATACATGAAATATTATTAAAGTCCAACAAATTATTATTAACATGAATAAATAGAATATTTTAAATCAGATGTATTTGCATTAGGATTAGTTTGTTTATATTGTTTAGGATTGAAAGAACTTAAATAATATTTTAAATAAAAATAATTTGATTTTAAAGAATTGTATAATAAAATAAATGAAATGAATTTACCAGGATATTTAAATGAATTTTTAGAATAAACATTAGCCGAATAAGATATATAAAGACCAAATTGTTAATAATTATTTTAATTAGTTATAAAATTAAATGAAAAATATAAGATTGAAATAGGTAATGTAGAATTAAGATTATACAATTAAGCATTTTAACCATAAACAATAGAGAATGAATAGATTATAATAAAAGATGGAGAGAGAATAGAGATCGTAAATAAATAAGCACCATATGAATGTACACATTATGATCTATCAACTTGGTGTTATTTTATAGGTCGTGTTTCTAAAGGTAAAAGAAATGGGAAAGGAGAATTAAAATTTAGAAATGGATGTAGATTTGTGGGTACATTTATTGATGGATTAGCAAATGGAACGGGAATATATTATTATGGTTAATAGGAAATAATTGGATATTGGAAAGATGATATATTTATGAAATGAAACTAATTATTTATTGAGTTAAGGCAAATGGCGTAGATGGTTATCGCGCTGCATTTACACTGCAGAGGTCCCGAGATCGATACTCGGTTTGCCTATATTTTTTAATTTTTTAATAATATTAATATTTAATGTATTCAGATAATAACAATACACATTCAGAGATTAGAATCAGATAACTGTTATACTTTAAATAACCTCCTTTAAGTATATTCTATTTATATTGTATTTAGCTACCTTACCTACCAATAGAAGTGCTATGAAACTTTAAACTCTAGAACATAAATTAGGGCGAACTAATAAAAATTTTACAGGATATTCAAAAAGTCAAAGTGATACAAGACCATTTTTCGAAAATTTTATGGAAAAAACAGATTAAATTACAACTTTTGGATTTAAATATCCTTTCAATGTTGAAGATTTTTAAAATACTAATGCATAAATCCATTTTTTAGAAGTCTTTACTCATTCTTAACAATTAATATAAGTAAACATTTAACAAACAAATTATTATAGAATTATATTTTAGATAGCAAACGAACTTTAACTTAATTAAAAGAATAGTCTAAATAAATTAAAGATGAAATGGATTTAATGAAAGAGAAAACGGAGAAGAATATTTAAAAATTAGAAGATCAATTTAATGAAGCAGTTTAAGTTAAATAAAGATAATTGAAAGAAGATTATGTAGCCTATTCAACAGAGTCTTATAGATTAAATAAAGAAATTAGTAAATTAACTAAAGATAAATTATAAATGGAAGAATAATCTATTCATTTGTTGTAGAAAATAATTAAATTAGAAAAATAAATGTAAGGAGTAGAAATGGAATTAATGTGTGAAAATGAATAAGAATTATAATCTTAATTAAGAGGCACATTTCATAACACAAAAAGCATAACACACTGATCATTAATCATATTTAAATAGTTATGCCTAACTTCTTTAAATCCTCTATTTTTTTCTTTACTCTAAATTAATTCATTAGATTTTATCCTAAATAGATGGTTTTAATATGAATTTAGGTTTGTTTTTATATTAATTATTAAATTGAATCTAAAAACCTTTCTGTAATTACATTTGATTATAAATGTAATATTTAACAATGTAATTCTAGTAATTTACATGCTCCAGTATCACTAATTTTATTTCTCATTAACTTTAAAATCTTTAATTTTTTATTTTTGATAGATTCTTCTAAAAGAATCATCCCATCATCTCCAAGATCTAAATGAAAATATATGAACAGATTATACCTTATTAAGAGAGATCTAAAGTATCTCCATTACAATTTAAAATAATGGATTCTACTTTTGTATTAAATTTCTTTTTAGTAGGTCTTTTAGGAGACATTGATGATTATCTTCTAAGTTTCGGAGATACTAATGTATCATTCTATGATGATTTTTTTTCATGATTAGGACTAATAGTATTTTATGAAATATTATTAGATGATGGTTATGATTAGAGAGCAGATTGAGATTAATATAATGGTTAAGGATTTAATAAATTATGTGTTAAAAATTCATTATGAGGAGGTTTATCATCTATATCTTTTAAAAAACTTTAATCTATCATTGACATATCTCTTAAAATATTAGGATCATCAAAAAATGATTATTAAACTTATGGATAATTATATTCAAAATTTCCCATTAATTCTTTAGTTAAATGTATTTAAGGTGTAATTTAACCTTAAGTAACCTCTTATAATCTACTTTAAAATTTTTTCATAAATTCTTCTAACTCTTCAATAATTTATTTAGCTTGAGAATTCGAAGTATCTTTTTAAAGTAGAAAGAAAGCAATTTCTCCTTTTTCAGTTAAGGAGGCAAATTAATTGATTCGTTCTTAAGAGCTATAAAAAAGATTATTATTTAAGAAATACGCTAACATCCATAAATCTGCTTTTTCGATAACTTAATTAACATATTATTGTTCACGCTTAATTAATTAATCTTCTACTTATTTATATTTTTATTCAATCTCTTCAACAACTTTTCTTTATTTCATCATAAGTTAAGTAATCATTTCCTTTAATAAAGTTGAAATATTATAATACTTTGAATTACTCTTCAGCCATACTTTATTATTATTTGATACAGACTCTAATTTAATCGCGTATCTTTTTATTGATAATTGGTTATTTGAGTGATTTAATTTTGGATTGAATTTACTACATTAAATCAACAGTTTCTTTTAATGAATGTTAGATTTCTGAAATGACTTCCTATATTTAAATTAAAAAGAGAATGTAATACATCAATATTTCTAACATTATGATGTTTGTGTCCACCAAATAAGGCACAATTAACACATATTTTATTATGATCCTCTAAACACACTAATTCAATTCTTTTATTATGTTCTTTACAAAGAGTAGTAGATTCAATGACTTCAAAGAAATTTTCACATTTCGACATTCTCACAGTTTCACCTAGCTCTGTAGAGTCTATTTAAGAGTTCTTAAGACTTGACTTGTTAATTATTTTTAAAATGGCTTAATTGACAGGGTAAAGATTTAAATCTTATGGTTAGACAATTCTTGAATAAATAGAGCTACTGATTTACCCATCTTCAGGACAGATTATTTTAGTTTGTTCACGAAGACACTACATACACATTGAATGACCACATTTTGGTAGCATTTATGGTGTACGTTCATATATATCAAATGAATTCTCACAGCGAGGACAGTTTAATTCTTAATGCATTAATTAAATAATAAAAAAGATTTAAAATGACTAATTCTCAAGAAAAGATGTAATAAGATTATATCTGGATCAGAGATTAATCAACAGGAGATGCAGATGTCAAAATGAGAACATTTGGATAACATTATTTATATTATCATGCTCCAAATAAGAGAGAACGATTAGAAATGATATGGAGATCTATGGGAAAAGCTTATGATTGGGAAATGGAAAAATTTAGAGTATTTATCTATATTCAATTCTTTTTAGATGCAAAAAAAATTTATTGATAGAGGTAATAAAAGGAGATTCTTTAAAAACTTTTTCAGATTCATTAAAAACCCATTTGGTTATATTTATTGGAAGACTTACAAAATTAGACAACCTAAAGGTAGAATTATCACTACTATGCTTGGTCTTGGAGTTATTGGAACATTATATAAGTATAAATTAGAATCAAGTATCTCTTTCATCTATTCATAGATCAAATCTAAAAAAGAGAGTATTATTTATTGACTGCTGGTAAAAATTCAGAAGGAAGTGGACTTATTAATACTGGTTACAATAATGATAAGTTTCTATTTTATTGAATACTTTTAGATTGGCTCGTCAAGGAATGCCTCTGACTCAAATGTTCTACTCTTATCTTATGGCCAAAGATATCGTTGTCTCAAGATCTAGAGATTAAAATTATAGAAAATACTTTGAAATGAGAAAAAAGTATTAAATCAAAGAATGAAAAATATATTATACACACATAAATAATAAAAATATATAAATCAAACAAACATATGTAAACTTTCTTTCTATTGTCATTCTGTACTAATGTTTTCATAGTCAATCTTAAACTCACAATTACTTATCCCAGCCCAATCTAAATAATTTATAGCATCTGATGCATTTATTCTTAACTCAGGATTCTCATGCATCATTTTTTCCAACAAATATTTAAAAATTGGGTTAGCTATATTCTAAGTAAACTCTTTTGAAAATATATAATCTTTATTTAGTCTATATCTCTCCTCTAAATCTCTTCCTTCTATAAATCTTCTATTATGAATCCTTTTAATTATTTAATTTTATTTTACATTTCCCACAATAAAACTCCAATTCCAAACATATCCATTTTATTATCTACATCTGTTTCCAACTTAAATACTTCAGGAGCCATGTAACCTGGCGTTCCACAAATAATTTCTCTTTATTTTTAAAGTTCTCTTAAAGGAATTACCATTCCAAAATCAATCAATTTCAAAGTTTTTAAGTTTCCAGATTCAGCAAATAAAATGTTTTCTTATTTTAAATCTCTATAAACATACCCTTCTCTATGGATATAATTAATACTATGCAATATTTACTAAAAATTATAGAGAGATATTTACTTTTAAAATTACAATAATTTCTTGGTCATTAAGAATTTTTTATCTTAATAATTCTCTCAAAGACTTTCCTTCTAAATATTCCATTATTATATAAAAATGTTTATTTTCCATATAAAATTCTTTCATCTTTACTATATTCGGATGTTTTAATATTTGCAATATCTTAACTTCCTTCAAAAATTCCTAAACAAATTTGTATAAAGATTACTTCTTATGTATTTGTATGGCCTATCTTTAGTGATTTGCATGCTACTTATTCACCATTTATACGATTTTAATATTTAAACACCTAAAAATTTATCAACAATATTTACATGTCCATATGAACCTCTTCCACAGAATTATACCATCTTATATATTTTATGAATGTTCAAATAAGATATTTTGGCATCTAGAAATTATTTTAGTAGTTCTAAATGGTTTTATTCCATCTCAAAATATTCCCATTTCCCATTCAACTAAATACCAAAACCCTTAAATTTAGATTAACATTTTGATAATTTCCAATCAATACAAGAATTCTCAAATAATGGAATAGTGTATTAAACCATCTTCTTAGTCTAAGCTTATAAATAATTGTATTACATTTGATAATTTTACACTATCAGAAAGTAGCTACACTTTAAATTAGTCATGAAAAACAAGGTTTTTCTTTATACAAATCATAAATAATAGTTTTTGAAATAATTAATAGTTTTAGAATGTTTAGCTTAAAATCTAAATATGAAATTTCCAACCATAAAAATAATAACTAACTATTGTTATTCTTTAACTTTGAATTTATTAAAATTTATTATTAGTGATTTAATTAATCACCTACCCCAACTTTATTCTTACTATTAAATAAAAAAAAATTAATTGACCAATGTTAATATTGATAAAGAAAATAAAAAAATAAATAATTGATTATTTTTTTATTTATTGTTTCTAAACATCTAAGTAACATGAAAACAGGAAAGTATAAATTTGGATCGAAGATAAAAATAAATAAAAAAAAATATTTAGAAGTTTAAATTGCATTATTAAACATGAAAGATCTATTTAAAAATTAATATTTTNAGTTTTTAAGTTTCCAGATTCAGCAAATAAAATGTTTTCTTATTTTAAATCTCTATAAACATACCCTTCTCTATGGATATAATTAATACTATGCAATATTTACTAAAAATTATAGAGAGATATTTACTTTTAAAATTACAATAATTTCTTGGTCATTAAGAATTTTTTATCTTAATAATTCTCTCAAAGACTTTCCTTCTAAATATTCCATTATTATATAAAAATGTTTATTTTCCATATAAAATTCTTTCATCTTTACTATATTCGGATGTTTTAATATTTGCAATATCTTAACTTCCTTCAAAAATTCCTAAACAAATTTGTATAAAGATTACTTCTTATGTATTTGTATGGCCTATCTTTAGTGATTTGCATGCTACTTATTCACCATTTATACGATTTTAATATTTAAACACCTAAAAATTTATCAACAATATTTACATGTCCATATGAACCTCTTCCACAGAATTATACCATCTTATATATTTTATGAATGTTCAAATAAGATATTTTGGCATCTAGAAATTATTTTAGTAGTTCTAAATGGTTTTATTCCATCTCAAAATATTCCCATTTCCCATTCAACTAAATACCAAAACCCTTAAATTTAGATTAACATTTTGATAATTTCCAATCAATACAAGAATTCTCAAATAATGGAATAGTGTATTAAACCATCTTCTTAGTCTAAGCTTATAAATAATTGTATTACATTTGATAATTTTACACTATCAGAAAGTAGCTACACTTTAAATTAGTCATGAAAAACAAGGTTTTTCTTTATACAAATCATAAATAATAGTTTTTGAAATAATTAATAGTTTTAGAATGTTTAGCTTAAAATCTAAATATGAAATTTCCAACCATAAAAATAATAACTAACTATTGTTATTCTTTAACTTTGAATTTATTAAAATTTATTATTAGTGATTTAATTAATCACCTACCCCAACTTTATTCTTACTATTAAATAAAAAAAAATTAATTGACCAATGTTAATATTGATAAAGAAAATAAAAAAATAAATAATTGATTATTTTTTTATTTATTGTTTCTAAACATCTAAGTAACATGAAAACAGGAAAGTATAAATTTGGATCGAAGATAAAAATAAATAAAAAAAAATATTTAGAAGTTTAAATTGCATTATTAAACATGAAAGATCTATTTAAAAATTAATATTTTATGTTAATCATTTTTTTTCCAATTCTGCTATTCTAGCTTTTAATTAAGCGTTTTCTTTGAGTAATAGATTCTAAAATAATATACAAGATGTTACTTCTGATTAAATTAACTCATCAATAGCCTTTGTTAGATGACCAATTCTATAAGCATATCTTCTATTCTGATCTTAGAGTGTGGCTAATTCTCCTTAATTCTTGTAATTTAATAAATTATTTTACTTCATGTCCTGTTTAAGCCTTTTCGAATTACTCATTTTATTCATTTTCTAAATCTTAAGGTTATAAATGTGATTCTGTTTAAGTTGTTGCCATTATTATTATTATTTTTAATATATAAATTAATCATTCAAATTATTTTAGTATGATAAATAGTTCATCCTTAAGTTTATTTTATATATCCTTAGAAAAGGACTTTGCTTAATATTTTTTAAGGATATCCACTTATTGCAATCGAACTCGTTCGACTAAATCATCCACATGACTGAATCTACGAATAGAGTATTCTGGTAATTTTTTGAATCCAAGCCTTCTACTTTTAGGTGGATCAAGATATTTTGGTAAAGCAACAACTTTACTAATAGTGATTGAACCAACCTTGACTGATTCTGTTCTAAAAAGAATGTAAACAATATAAATCTAACATATGAGGAAGAAGCAATGGTGGCTTTGGTGGTTCTAAATAAAGGTTCATACTTAAGTCTTCATTAAATTTAAGACGGCTTCCATTCAAAATTTGTTTTTCCATCGGCTTAAGATCATATACATTTTATTCTGTTTCATCAAGATATTTCTTCCTATTTTTTGTTAATGATCTACTATAGCGTGGTTTAAGTTTATCAATTTGATATGATATTTCTTACACTCTGTCCGTTTAATTAATTAAGATAGTTGGGGTTTAAATGTTATAATGTTTGTAACCCCTCCAAGGAGTTGGAAAAAGGGGTTTATCAAGAGATGAAAGTGTAAGTTTATTAGTTGGGCAGACACTAAAGTCATTGGTGGGATTTTCAATTAATTATTTTTGTTTTTTTAACATAAATTAATATAAGTATATCTATACAATATTTATTATGAAATATATGAAAATAAGTTTCAAATGACTCAAGTATAAAATCATCAAGGAATTTCAATATTAAAAGAAATAAAGTTAATTTAATATAGATAAGAATATTATGGAATAAATTGTAAGAATCATTAAAAACTATTCATCTTTACCAAAGATGGAGCATTGTTATATTTTTTAAAACTTTCATTAGAATACTTTTCATGAATTTAAGGAATTTAGAACTCTTCTCTTAAGTCTTCTTGTTTTTCTTTAAGAGGAGATTGAGTATTATTGTTATTATTTACATTTCTCTTCCCTTTGATCTTTTCTGATGACAAATAAGAATCAAATGGTTTAAGTTCATACATTTCTTGGATCATATTCTTAATTTCTGAAATATATTTATGCTAAGATAGAATGAATTCCATATTGTACTTTTTATTCGATTGAACTAATTTTATTATAATGAATGATCTAAAGAGTAGCTTCATTTTGAAGAAAAGAAATAAATAAATCTTTAAGGAGATTCTTACATAACTTAGATTCTTTGGGTTCGTTTACTTAAACTTGAAAACATCGTTGCAAATCACCCAATTCAAACCGCTATTATTTTGATGTCTTAATAAATATATGTTTAAATAACCTTGGATTCTTATATATTCTGGAGGTATTTGTAAGCTGCATCTTGTTCCAACATTTTAGCCCATTTCTTAAAACGAGATAAAAAGAAGTGAGGTATACGTCTAGATAAAATTAAATAATTAAGATACCTGCGAAAGTCTTAATCCTCTTTAATGTCAGGATTGGGATTAGCAAAAGATTAATTATTTGATTTCTCTGAATCAGAATTGATGGCCTGTATGGAAATAGGATTTTTAGTCCTTTTTTAATGTTAAGAAGCTGCATTGAATTGGGATTTTATGTCATCATGAAACTTTTATAAAATGGAGAGAGCATTTGTAAATTGGTTGAATTAGTCTTCATCAGCTTCTAAAACAACTTTCTTGTTCTTTTACTCTAGAATCTAATTTAAATTTAATGAAATAGATACTCTATATTTGAATAAAGAGGGCTCGTTAGTTGTTTTCATATAAATTAATTAATTGTGTTTTGTATATCTACCCATTCTTAAAGTGGGCAAGAATCATAAATTATAGGAGGAGATAGAGAGAAGAACAATTTGATGAGATTAATTGTTTTAATATTAATATAATATGGCTTACAACAGCGATTTCTAAGATCAATAATAGTACGATTAAGAAGAGTTTGCAATGAAGATGCCAGTGAAAAATCATTTACAAAGATTGGATGTATATTGGATTTTTAGTTGTAGTAATTGTTGCAGCAGTTAATGGATGAGTAAGATATGGCCAAGAAAGAAAAAGAGCAGTTGCGTAATAATCTAATTGAATTATCATAAATTACAACTGATTCATTTGATGATTCCAATAAATACTTAAATGAAGAGTATAAGAGATTGATGTAGGAGTTTCATGAACAAAATGCATTACAATTAGAATAACATTAATTCCTAAAGCAATAAGTGGATTAGATTAACTTGGACAGAATCAAATTGCAATAAAATACTATTGTACTTGAAAACAGAATTCAAGATTCAGAAAAAGAATTGGGATTTGTTTGATTTTAAATAAATGATAATTAACTAGAAATTATTCTTTTACTTAGTCATCAGATTAGATGTCTCTACAATTTACAATTTTTAAAATTCAATGTAATTGTGATCAATTATTGACGCTATCACATCTGATTGATAAAATTAAATCTAAAACTGAATCCTCCTTTTTTGTTACTTCAAATGTTAAATACTGCAATTCAATTTTTGATACATTGTGCAAAAATATAATTGGGCTAGTTTAGTTTGGTTTAATAAAGAATTTTAACAATTCTTAAGTTGCATTACATTTAACTATACAAATTATACAAAATTTTTAAATCTTTAAAAATTATATACTTCAAATGGAGTTATTTTTTAGATTTAGGAAACTATTCAGATTATAAATCTCATTATGTATTTTTATATATCACAAGAATGATTTATGTGAAGGTCAATGTCGTGATATTTAAAAATGTAATTAATTATTTACTTCGTATAAATTTAATAAAGAATATAGGAACCAAATATTTAAAGTACTGTCTAGAATCAAGAAGGTTGTAATATAAGGGTAGAACATTTTAAAGATCATAAATTAATGTCTTAATTTAATAATTTTTGAGGAATAATCATAAAAAGAACATTTCTTTTAATCTGATTATAAGTGTCTCATTATGAAATATCAAATGGATATCTATATATTAAAAACTCATTTATATTGTTTATAGTTGTAAACTTCACATTCAACCTTATAAAACTGAGAAAGTACAGATATGATATAATATTTATAGTGGATGGCAGATTAAAGTAATAGATCTAAATAGTCTGGATAAATTAGATTTATTAGATATCAGAATATGTATAAATTTGGAATACAAATCAGAGAAGATTTAAATCTTATAATTAGCTTATAAGATAGAGACAAGATCAATAAATAATGATTTGATTACATATCAAATATTAATAATATTATTCATTCTCCTTAAAGATAAAATACCCATTATGGTAAATCGCCACAGGAAATTATTAATCTGCCATTATTGCTTGTGTTTGGAACTGCTTTATAGGTGATGTTAATGCTTAATACTTTTTTACCCTAAAATGTAAATATGATTTATTTTTACATCGACTTTGATTGGGGATTTGACAGATGAAGTAAAGGCAGGATTATCAATTCTCAAAGTAAACTCTTAAGCTTCAAAAAATGGATTTTTAAATTCAATAGCTGGAGGTTTAGCTCCAGATAGTTTGTATGGACCTTTAGGTTATGGTGTAATACCTTATCCAATTAATAGACATTAATATTCTATAATTATATAATTTATAATTAATTACCTCCTCCATCAGGTGATGTGACAACTAAAATACCTCTGCTTTCATTTAAACTACTTGGTTCATATTTTACACTAATTTAACACTCAACACCATCAAATGATTCTGATTAAGGTGCTTAGAATTAGACTTATTCACAAATGAAATCAGTAGTTTAAGCAGGTGCTCCTTTAGCTTTTGGATCTATATTCACAGGTAGTGGTTTTCCATTTGGACCCAGTTTAGTTGCATAACATGTATATGTAGTTGGTTTCTTTGTATAATTCATAAATTTAAATGGTAAAACCATTTCAGTTCCTAAAGAAGCTTTGAAATAGAGTGATCTTGACACATTTTATTATAATCCCTATAATTTGAGAGGATAAATAAATTCTCCTAATTGAACAGATTTTATAGTAATTTTAGATTGAATATCTTGAACAATTAAAGGTCTATATGCAATTTCAAGACCAAATTCAGATTTAGGTGGAATCACAAATTATTATGGATTAAATGAGACACTATCAACTTCAGCAATTAATTAATCTTTTTTGAATTCAACAGGTTAATTAATGGGATTTTCTATTGTAATTAATTTAGTAGCAACTTCTCTAACAATAGAAAACAATTCAATTTTAGGTAATTGATCTGGTGGTTGAATATTTAAATTCTAAGAATAAAATAATAATTTATACTATTTTAAAGAATACAAATTCTTATGTAATAGCATTTCTAAAGTAAACCGTTACTTTATTTTATGCTTATTTGAGTCCATAGACGGTGAGTTTATATTCTTTTGTTCCTTCACTAGATACTTCAAAAGTATTAGCTCCATTAAGAATAATAGAAGGATCATCAGGATCTAAAGTCCAAGTTACTTCAAATCTTTGACTAGTTTTTAACCAATTTTTCACTTATAAGACTTGGGTAGTATTTTTTTTAGCTTTCATGGTTGTATCAACAGTTTATGGTAGAGGTGGTAAACTCTTACCAAATAGATTATAAAGAAGTGCTTATCCATCAGGAAGTGGGAAGAAGAGTGATCCTTCATGTTGATCCTATAAATTTTAAATTTATGGATTTGATGTCATAGTCAAAGGTTTATAAATAACTTCATACTCTGCTTATCCATTAGCTGGAACTTCAACATATTCTTTGCCTTCAAAATAATCTTTAAATTAAGGTAATAGAGCAGATACAGATGCCTTAACTTTCCAAGGTTTTGGAGTGGGATTCTTAACCATTACTTTTTTAGAAGTAGGTACTCTAACGACAGTTTCGAATTTAACTTCTTAAATTTATTCTTTTGGTTATTCAATACATTTTCCTAAAAGATTTAAGTAAAGTGGATCTGAATTTTAAATTAAACATTTCACTTTATCAAATCTGATATCATTATCAATAGCATTTGGATGGAATGTTATTTAAAATTGTAAATCTTCATGAGCAGGTAAAGTTCCTTATAGAGGAGTAATAGTAAAATAATTTTTACAAAATGATGTATCCCATTAGAACTTAGCTGCAACATCTCCTAAATTACTCAATTAAACATTCTTTGTAAGTCTTGAATTAATGACTACTCCACCAAATCCTATGGTATCTTCCATTAATTTTAATTCTATTCCATGACAAGCTCCTGAGATCGTTAGCAGTTTTCTTACTTCATTATTTTCAACTATCTTAAAGAAAAGATCTGTTTTAAAAGAATGTAATCTTTATTATGGTTTAAAGGTGAGAGTGATCTCTTTTCTTTCTCTTGGATTAATTACAAATTCTTTCTTTGGTCTAACCTTAATGTAATACTTTTATTTCAATTCTTTTAATAAATCTTATTCAAATATCAAAGTAACCATCTTTTATGAATTATTAACTAATGATATTACTTCAGATCCTACCTGTCCAACACCATATATACCAAAATCTACAAATTGATACTCTGTTTTTAATAAATCAAGTTTTAAAGGAACTCCTTCTCCTGTAAATCTAACTTCAACTTTTTATAATCCATTGATATCAAATATAACACTTTCATCATATCTTATCAATTCTCTTGGTGTAAAAGTAATTGGAATTTATAATACATTCAATTCTTTAGTTTGAATGATTCCCTTCTTATCTTTATGTGTCTCTATTTGAATAGGTAATAGAACTTAACCTGATGGTAATTATACTCCAAAATATGGTTTCTTTTCATATAATGCTTCTATTGCCATTGCTTAAACATCTCTATTCCTTAATTCTAAATGCTTCGTTATGGGTAATGGTTATCTCAATACAAAACATGGTCCAAAATCATATTACAAAAATGAGAATTCTACTGCTGGTTTCTTAGCAGATCCAATCAATTAGAAATTGTAAGTAGGCCCACTTGAAATACATAAAGAAAATTATTGATTTAATTTTTAAGGTGCTGTTGGTTAATATCTAATTTCAATATTAAATTTCTCATTCTTCTTTACTGTCCCATTCTCAGGATTTATAACAACAATATTTGAAAGTTAAACTGATTTCCTAACACTAAAATCAAAATTAAAATCTCCCTAATTCTCTACAGTAATCTATTTACTAGATTTCTCATTTATGTACAAATCTCCTAATTCAACAACTGTACTTTATTGAGTAACTGCAACTCCATTCAAATATACATTATTATGCAAAATGTAACCAATACCCTTGACATTCAAAGTAACTGGTCTCTATCTTCTCTTCACATTACATAAGAGATTATAATTATATTCTCTCTCTACTTTAGGTGCAAAACAAATCTCAATTGGTTAATCTCCAAGAGCTTTAATAGTTCCTTAAACTGGAGTTATTGTAAGTGAATCACCATAATCTGGATTATGGAAAGATTCTTTATCAAATTAAAATGATAAAGGAACATCCTCAAGATTCTTTAGAATCACTGTTTCCTTATTCTTTCCTTAAACCAATAAAGGTCCAAAATTAACTTTACCAACATTAAATATTACATTTGGTTCAACAACACTTCCAGTTATGAGAAAATATTAAACTATATGTTCTTATGGAATCTCAAATACCCAATAACTTTCATGTTATCCTTGTGTGTCAGGAGAATATTCAAAAATTATTTCAGATTTCTTACCTGACAACACTACACCTTTTATAGTTATACATTTAAAATAATTAGCATTTTAATTCTTCTCATCATCAATTCTTTTCCATTCATATTCATATCCAACAGATGTTGGATTCACAACATAAAATCGCTTAGTATTTTTAACTTTACATCCCAAACTCTCAAATTCAATCACATTATATTTAGCTTCTAAATCTGGTTTCTTGTCTCTATAATTGCTAGGAGGTAATTCAAAATGACAAATTGGTCTTTCTGCCTATCCATCTAATTCAACTATCAATTTCTCTTAATTTGGATCCAAATTATCTATAGATATTACTAACAATCTCTCATTCGATTCATCTACTTCAGTTGGACTAAATTTAACAGTAAACATCTCATCACTATTACTAGCTATCTTTCCTTATTTTGGATAAACATAGAAATATCCAGGATCTATAGCACCAGTCTCTGCTGAAACTATTTTACAATTATAATTTATTGATATTAAAGAAGTGTTCTTTAATTTTAATTAATGGACCCTTGTTGTATACATCAATGTCTCCTTAAAGTAAATACTTCTTTAATCTATTTCATATTTAGCGAAATCAGCAATTGCATTCACTTTCAATGGCATACTTTTATCACTCTTATCTATCGCTTGATATTCTGGTTCTGGTAATGGATCTGATATTGGAATATTAGCTTCCTCTCCAGGTTCAGGCTAAGGTGGTTATATTATTTCTTATTTAGCTGCTTTCTTATCAACCTTCTTAGCTCCCTTCTTATTAGCAGCCTCTTCTGCTAATCTACGAGCCTCCTCTTCTTCTCTTCTTTTCATCAACCAATTATATTCTGTTAGTGTGACATATTTAGTTGTTGCCATACTATCATCCCATTCTGATTAAGTTTTCTTATTAATTTATTTAGTGTCACATTACAAGGCAAATGATTTATGGATGATACTTCTATTAGATTTGAATATTAATGTAATAGGTTTAGATTCCTTAGTATTCAAATGACCCTATCTTGGAATAAAAGAAAAATCTTCACATCCTTACGTGTTCCATTAAAATCTAATTGTGTTGGGTCCATTATTTTTCAAATAAAACTGTATTTTCTTTTCTGCATTGATAATACAATCTCCAAATTGAACTTCATCATCTAAATTTTCAAATACAATATCTTCTTAAAATGCTTCACCTGTTACTGCTACTTTAGTAACTTCATATGGATTCAATAAGGTTTACATTACAAAATAATGTTACTTAAGTCCAACATCTTTTGGAGTGAATTCAATATTAAATGTAGCCGTAGTCTTAGGTGTTAAAGTAAAAGTGTTTTAATCTAAAAATCTAAAATGTTCATTAACAGCTGCCAAATCCCATTTAACTGTAGCTGGAATCTAACCATCATTCTTTAATACAATTGGCATTGATAAAGTTTTGCCTAATCTAACTCTGCCAAATTTAACAACAGGTGTTCTTTCATCTAACCATTCTTTTGGTTTCTCTAATTTTAATGTTGGTAAAGCACCTTCTCCTCTTAAATCAAATAATAATTTATGAGTTTTAGGGCTTTGTTCACCATTCTCAACAATGGCTTCAAAAATACCATAATATTGAGCCATTATTGTTGGTTTGAAAGCTACTTTAATATAGACACTTTCATGAGGTGCTATTTTAACTTATTTTGGTAAGACTTCAAATGCAAAGTTATCATTTGGATAATTTTATCTTCTTCTTGTATCTAATTTAACACTACATGGAATTTTATTAGGATTTGTAAGTTTAAATCTTTCAACCACTCCATCAGGAACTTTAGATGGAACCAATGTTCCAAAACTGAATACTTTCTCTTCTATAAAGAATACATTAGAATTAATTAAATTAGATAGATTATTTAATTATGATTACAACACTACTTGCTCTTCAAAAATAGATTCATAAGTTATTGTACTAATTCCTGGTATACAACTTTCACTTAAAACTTCATATTCAATTCCATTTGGTTAATCTTCTGGATTACGATTAATAATATCAATCGCTAACTTTTATTCATAGTTTTTCTAACCCTATCCTGCAAATGTGATTTCTACTGTACAAGATGAATCTGGTGCTATTGTACCAACACTTGGTAAAATTGTCCATTAACCTATTTTCAATTATCCAGGAGGTGGATCATTCTTTCCTGGTTTCCCTTATTTCTTTTCCTATTTCTTATCATCTTTCTTTGGTCCTTTCTTCGGATCTACTGGTGCCAATGAAGAAGGCATTGCTTTCATTAATTCTTTCTTTTCCTAAGCTTCCTTATTCTATTGTTCAAGTAATTACTTTCTAAATTCTTCATTTGCATAGTCAAATATAGTAAAATTGAATTCAAATTATCCTTCATTTTTTATTTCTAAATGTCTTACTTTTGATTCATTAAATTATATTGGACCAAAATTTATATTTTTTAATGGATTTATTGAATATTTTGAATAAACACTATTAAATTATACATTAATAGGAACTGGTTTATAAATTTCTTACGTTTTACCTTCCAAAATTTCTAAATATAAATCAGTTGTATCATTTGTTGTTTTCATCTTTATTTCCTTTACACCACAAAATCTTATTAAAATATCTTTTTATTATCCAGGATTTAAATCTGTTTCCATAGGTTCTAATTAAAATAATTAAGTGAAAAGTTTCTTTTTGATTAGACATTTAATTTTAACTAAATATTAACCAATATTTTTCACTTATAAAATTTGATCTTTAAAATCACCCACTTTGACACTACCAAAATCTAAAATATTTTCTGGTGTTGGATATTTAATATCAACTTAAATTTAAAATGCCTCAGCATCTACATTTATAATTTTAGGATCTTATTTTATATTCATATTTTCAACATCCTCAACTTCAAGTGTTATTTTTAGATTTAATTTTCTTTCCTTGATAGCCCTAAATCGAATTTCAATTTTAGCTTCCATTGTAGGTGCTAATTCACCTGAAGTATTTATAACTTAAAATTCCTCCTCTAATTATTCTATTCCTGTTAATTTCCATTTTGCATTTATCATTCCTGTATTTTTTATAGTGACAGTTCTAGCATCAGATTAAGAAATTAACAATCGTTCAAATTTGACATCAGGATTAATTAAATCAATAGTTGGTCTACAACCAGTACATACCATAGGAATAATGAGAGGTAAAGGATTATCTTTTATTTAAACAATCAAATCATCCTTAAATTTTTAAGGTTTATCTGGAAATGCCCAAACTCTCAATTCTAATGGAACACTATTCAATTAGATTTTTGAAATATCCAAATCTAATGAAAATACTCCTTTTTATATTTCTTTATTCTCTTGAATACTTGACAAGAGAGAAAATTGTAATTCTGTATCAAATTTACCAGAATTTGATAATCTAAACGTTGTACTATTTATTGCACGATTTGCTACCTTATCAGATTTACCAATCAACAAAGGTCCAAAATCAAAGGATTATTCATTTTATACATAAACTTTATTTAAGTATGAATCAGGTGCATTAATAGGCCTAGATTTCTTTACAGTCCAAAAGAGTTATTTTGGTAATGTACTTAAAGATGGATAATCAGCAATTCCTTTTACTTCAGCAGCAGACTTTTTAATAGAAAAGAAATTATCAAAATTTAATCGCCCTTCAAATCCACCAGTATGCTTAGTAAAGAATTATATGACTAAAATTAAAGTTCTTCCAGCAGGTATTGTCCATCGGTATTATTTTTAAATTAAATCTTCAAGTTTAAAATTATACTTCTAATCGTTATTTTAAGTTGATTCTGCGTTCTTTTACTATTGTGATCTTTTACTTACATTTGCAATTGATCTAGAAGTAACATTAGCTCTTGCTTTAACAGATGGTGTAATAGGTTTATTGAGTTGATCAGGATGCTATGGCTATTCCCTACCTGGTGAATTGATCTCTTCTAAATGTTTATTTGGTTCTTCTTGAAGATTTTATTTATCCTCATCGACATTTTCTGTTTTTTATTGTGATTACATCTTTGGATCTTTCACGTACATATCTTTAGGTGTGAGAATATTAAAATATTTTAATGTCTATGTAAGTGTTGTATTAGATTAATGTATAGATGACTCTTTTGTATCTGTCTTTTTTCTACCTGTTTAAATTGATTAATTAAGATTATCTTTCTTTTTCATTACAATCTAATGATAAATTGGATCAGGTATTGGTAGAGAATTAGGATTTGGATATATTGGAGCTGCTATTATCTATAATCCTGTTTGACATAATTATGGTAAATTATAATGAAAAGGAACTTCATTAAATTATCTTTCTCCTTTTTATAAATGTGTATAATCTATAATTTCTACTTTTGGTTCTTCTGGTTCAGGTGGTTTATCACCTTTCTTTGCTGGTTTCTATGGTTTCTCTTCTTTCTTTCCTTCATCAAATACAGGATCATGAATTTTACTTGCTATCTCTATTTTCTCATGATATGTATTTTCTATTAAAGCTTTTACTTTTATTATTAATTCATTAAAATTCTATCTTTGTATTTCATCTTCAAAACTACCAGGATAAAATACATCATAATAATTTTATTCCACTAAATTTCCTGCTGATTTAGGTTATGATTTTGGTCTTGACTTCTATCTTGATTATTATTATTATTATAATTATAATTATGTAACATTAGGTTTCTCTTGTTTCTTACTTACACTCTAAGATTGATCCTTTCCTCTTTTAGTTTATAATTTATTATTTTTGTCCTTTGATGTTGGAATAGGTTCAACTATTTCTTCTTTCTTTGGTTTATCATCTTCTGCTAATTTCTCCATTCCTGGCCATTCTATTAATTTCTAAATCTCATAACCATATTGATCATACTATTCTTTTAAAACAACCACTTATAAATGAGAATCTATTTCCATTATACATTTCATCAAATATAATTCATTAGGCCAATATTTAGATTAAAGATTATCAAATATTGCACCAGCACCACAATCTTCATGAACCAATCTTGCTTTTAACAATTTTACTATGATCTCTTCACTTAAATATTCATACAAATGTAAAGGAATAGGTCCCCATTTATCTTCTAAATCCTTAGACTTCTTTCCTGCTTTCTTTAATAATTTTTCTCTCTCTTATTATACAAATTGAATTTCATTTTATCTTTATTATAAATATTACTCTAATTATTGATAGGCTTATGTCTAATTTTCTTAATTCCATTGAACTAACTCATTCAAATTAATTACTTTTCTTCTATGTGTTTATTCCAAATAATTAGCTAAATGAGTCTTACCACACTTTGGAGGCCCCATGATAACAATATTTTTCAAAACATCATCACTAACTTTCTTTGGATATTCAACTTTTATCATAGTTTCTTGTACAACGATATCATCTAATTCCTTTTATAATTATTCTTTGTTTTCAACATTGGGATCTTATAACTTATTCAAAATTTAATCTTTTCTTTTACTTCTAGAAAATGCTTTTTAGAAATCTACCCATATAGGTTAACCAGGTTATCTCACAGGCATTAAAACAAAATCTGTATGTTCTAATTAAGGATAACTATTAATAATTTCATCATCTTAAAGATATTGGGTATCAAAATCTAATGAGAATAATTCAGTATCAAATTCAGTAGGGTTTTTAATTTCTAATATAGAATGAGCAAATTTATCATATGGTAAGATTGGTCCTATATTAATCAATGAAGGATTGAATTATAAATTAATACTTGTACCAGTACCTTTAAGATTTAAAATATAGGGTGTAGCATTTTCTTTAATATTTAAAGTGAACTTTTAGGAGTAATTTCTTTCAATTAATGGAGTAAAATGTGCTTCAACCAATTATTTATCTCCTGATTTAATGATACCACTATTTGGAACTAAAACAAATCTTGGTTCTTCTTTTTTATCAGCAGTCAATTCTTGTCTAGTAGATTATGACCATTCACAATCAATTTCTTTATCATTTACAAATCTCAAGAAAATGATTTTCTTTTATCCAATAAGAACTTTTCCAAAATCGATTTAACCATCAGCAGAATTCTCAATTACAATTTATGGAATAGTGATATTGGCAACTAATTCTAGATGAAACTTTGGTCCCTTCTTCAATTCAATAGGCACAACAGTTTTTGTAGGACCAAATCCCATATTCTTTTTTGTTTAATATTAAATATTCAAAGTGATGTTAGCACCACTAGGTAAATTCAAAACTCTTTCTGGAACAATATTGTAACCTTAAGGTTTGAAATACTTACCATCTAAAACAAATTCAACTGGGAGTGTTCCAGGATTATTGATTGTTATTGTTTTTTATCGAATAGAATTTAAAACCACATTTCCAAAATCACAAATATAAGTAGCCAAAATTACATTATCATAAAACTTTTCTTTTTAATCTCTTGAGTGTGTTCTCTCATCTTATTTATCTAAAACAGTTTTTTTAATTTATTCACAAAATACAAATCTATCTATATCTCTTTCTACCTCTAATTATACTTATTCTAAAGTCTTAACTTAAACTTTTTAATTAGATGTTTTAGCTAATAATTAAGCTCTCTTAATTTAATTTTCTAAATCAGCTTTTTTCTTTGTAATTTCAACATCAAATTTTTATTAAAATAATGGATTCTCTGCTCTAGGTAATTAGACAACCATAGAAGGATAGACACCTCTACCTATAATAGTAATTGGTTCTGGTTCATAATATCCTATTTACACCAATATTATTTCTTTGAATTCAGCAGGTATAACAGGAGAGACTCTTACTGTGATTCTAAGTTTCTCTCCTCCTGCAATTTTTCCATTTTATGGTTATACATCTACAAATCCTTTCTTTTTAACATGTCTTAAATCTATTTTAAATTCGAATGTAACCTTTCCTGTATTTTCAATTGTAAATTCTCTAGAAACCCACTCACAAAATCTCACATCACCTAATTCAATTAAAGTTGTGCTCATTTTAGAAGATAATAAACTACTATCACCAACTAAAGTAACTTCATATTCAGGACCACCATCTACATGACAAACTGCTGTAGTTTTAAATCTCTATCCTCCAATTGCATTATAAACAAATTCAACTTATTCTTCTGAACCAGGTTCCATATATCCACTTAATGGTAAAATATCAAATATTTCATTTATTGGTATATTTGGTTATTATCCTTATGTTGATAATTCCTCACTTACAAATGTCCATTCATAATTTAATGCCATCTCACTTTAATTTTTCATCGTCATTACCATCTTTTTAGTTGTATCATATAAAATAGAACCAAAATTAATTAAGTTTGTTTCCATAATTAAATTTGGAAAATGTACTTAACCAATTAAATCAATCAAATCCTTATGAGGATGTTCATAATGAGATAATTATAATTTTCCTTCTAAATCTCCTGATTTACGATCAGATTTAAAAGCAGGATCAAAATCAATTCTAACAACTGCATTTTTTCCAGGATTCAATTATAATTTATCCTAATTGACTGTAAAAGGTTATTAACACTTTAAATCAAAATTAACTGGTAGAGGACAAGCACAAGTGATTTCTAGATTTTTTGATATAGGCATAAACGGAACACCCTTTTCCCAAGAATATTTAAAGAAAAGTTTTCTCTCTGAAAATTGTAATGTTGGTTAAATGAAATCACCTTCAATTGTAGTAGCAAATAATAGATTAGCCTTTCTTTCTGTTCCAATAGTTGAATTTAACATAAATATCTCTTATATCTTACCCTTTTTTTGAGAATATCCTCTAAATTAAAACATAATACCATGTTTAGGTGGTAATACAATAGTATCAGGAGCAATAGAGAATACTGATTCTTCTTCTGGTGGAGGAGGTGCTTTATTATTATTATTATTATTATTTTTTTAATCTTAATCTTCTTTCTTTTATTACGGTTTTTTTTAAGTCCATTATAATTTTTATTATTTCCTTCCTTTATTTTCTACAAAGATTTCTTTAGTAACTTTTCTATGAGTATAATTAACTCCCATATTAACAGATGATAAATCATCTTTACAAAATATTGTAGAACCTATGCCTTTAGCTTTTAATTAAACTTCAACATCCTCACCTTCTTTGATTACAAAATGAAGCACATCAGAAACCTTAACAGCATCATCAGCACTACAAAGAACTTCAATTTCACAACTTTCTTTTGGTTTAATAATTCCATGTTTTTAGATTGGTTTAAATATAGATATTTTATTTTTTGTAAATGCATGGAAATCAGCTTCAATATCACTATCATTAGTTAAAGTTAATTTGAGAGAATAATCCTTTAAAACTTCAACATTTCCAAAATCTAACTCTGTTTTAGATGTTTTTACTTTAGGTCCTTCTGAAAATGCTACTATTGTTATTACATGTGGTTATCCATTATTAGTTCCTACAATGTTAATTTATAAAGGTAAAGTAATATCAGATAATTTTTTAGTTGTCAATGTTACCTCTAAAGACATAGTAGAATTACCATTAATCTTACCACTTGATGGTTCTACTGTATAATCAGCTAAAACTTTATATTCATCATTTTAAGGTAATACTACAAATTTAGCAGGTAATTCAGATGTATTAATTAAATCAACTCTTGATTTACAAGGATTTCTTAAAAATACTTTTTAATCCTCTCCTTTATTAAAAGCCAATCTATCACTAGGTCTTAATTCTACTCTTGGTGCTTAACAATCAGCTGTAATTGGAATAGACAACATATCTTATCCAACACCTTCAATATCAACAACCATAACTTATTCATAAGTTTTAATTTATTTTGGGATAAAAGTAACTTTTATTACATCAAAATTTTTAGGTTAAATAGTATTTCTTCTTGGCTCAATTTCAAATTCTCTTTCCGCTAATTTACCATCTCCAGGAATTTTAAGTTCATATGTAAATGCCACAGTAGATGTGTTAGTCATTTTAATAGTCTTTGTTTACTCAAATGAATAACTAACAGTACCAAATTAGATTTTCTCATCTTAAAAATTAAATGTAGGTGCTATAACATGTCCTATAAATAGTATTGTTAATTAATCTGTTGATCCTTCCAATTTCCATCTAAAAGTTTCTTTGAATTCACCTGGTATACTAGATTTAAATGTAATTGTAAATGGCATTCTTTAACCAACAGCTAATACTCCTCTTTCAACATCAAATTTAAACATTTTACCAAATGCTCTTTCATTAGGCATTAATTCAAATTTACATTCTATTTCTCCTCTATTTTCAATCACTACTTCAGTCTTATGAATTTCATTAACAAAAACATCTCCTAAATTAACTTCATAAACACTTAAAAATGCTCTTGGACCCATACCTTATCCATATAAATTTAATGGTAATCTTTCTTCTGAACATGATATATTACAATATGCAACTGTTTAATACAGAAATGCACTTCTTGGAACAAATGTTACTGTTACTGTCATCTCTGAATTTGGCCAAATTTATCCTTAAGTTGGTTCTATTGTAAATATATCATCAATAAATAGTAGTAAATCATCTTCAATTGCTTTTCGAATATTTCTATATTTCCTTGCCAATTATAATTCAGCTTTTTTCTATCTCTTTAAAATAATCGCTTTTTCATCTCTCTCTTCCTCTTCACTATCTTCATCTTCTTCTAATTCTAATTCTTCATGTACACCTTCATTTGATACTAATTCTTTTATTAACATCCTTTCTTCAGCTTCTTCCTCTTCTAATTAATTTCTTAATCTATTCTTCTTTTCTTATTCTTCCTTTTCAGTTGCAAATGCTCTCCATTCAAAATCTACTTTCACATTAGACTTATTTATTATTTATAATGTTTATTGTAATTAGAGACCAATAAATGCCTCAGTCATATTAATCTAACTCTTAGATAAATAAACATTTCCATTATGAGCTACACCAATTATTGGAACATAAGCTTCCATATTATCATACTATAAAATAGCTTTATTCTTATAAGATCTAGCCTCAGTTGGAAAGAATCTATTTATTATACAATAAACTTTATTACTTGATAACAATTTATTCATTTTTACCATATTCTAAAACTCCTTCTCTTTTATCAGCATCAAAACCTAAGGGAAGTTTTAAAAACCATTTTGTAGTCTTTTCTCCTAAGTTTCTAATGATAACTGGTTTTTCTGTTGTATATTTGACAGGACAATTTCCAAAATCAAGAGAATCAGGAAAGTCTATAGAATTTAAATAATGTCTTACCAATCATTGCTCTTTTACCTACTGCTACAATTGGAACAACAAATTTCTCTCTTTCTGTTTCAACAATAACATCATAATTATAATCTGATTTTGATTCAGGAGAAAAACGAATAATGAAATTAGTTTCCATACCTGGAGCTACCTAATTGAATATAATTATAAAATATATGCCTTAGTTCCTGTTCCTGCATCTTTTCCATTTGTACCTTAAGGCACAACTTAAAATAAACGAGAATCAGGTTTATATATTTTAACCCTTCTAGCCACCCGATCTTTGTTACGCAATTTGAAAATCTTCTCCTTTATTTACAATGGCTTGTTTGCTTTTAAAGAGGAATTTGTACCTCATAGTCTGTAAATTAAATAATCGGTGGAATTGGATCAAACAATGGTTCATCAATTGGTACACTACTCACTGGTTGAGAAGAGAAGTCAGCAAGATTCTAAAATTCAATTATTTTTATTTTTGGATGAGCATCTTCAAAAATCTATCCTGATAATTGTTTTTAAATCAATTAGGATGGAGTCTAGTTTATGAAAAAGGAATACGAATTCTTAAATTTTAGCTTGTCTATTCGTCTAAGTAAGCTTCTTCTGCATCATCAGTTATTTAATTTAATAAAATATTTTTTCTTTTTGTATCACTAAATCATTTACACCAGGGACTCTATAACATTCTTTTTTAATAATTAATATATTTCCTAATTAATCTTCTTCATTATCTCAACATCATACATATAATATATCATTATCTCTTTCTAAGTTATCACTCACAAATACAGGAAACAGTTTTCTATCATTCAGATGTTTACTTAACTAATTATTTAAGTTTAAAAACCAATAATATATTAAAATTATAGCCCTAAAAGCAGATTTATATTGTAAACTATTTCTCTTATGTCAACAAATAATTCTTAGTAGCTAAACTTTTGATATCCCTTTTATAATACCTTATTTTGTAGATAATTATTTCATTAACTATAATCCTAATAAAATTTTGAATTCCACCCAAAAAAATTAATTTTCCAAAAATATTAAGAATATCAAAAAGAAAATACTATTGAAAACTTTTTCTACCAAATTGATATTTGTGTAAATTAATTAACAAATATAAGCTAATAAACAACACCATACCATATTCGATCTCTACAATTACTCTTTTAATTACATATTTTGCTAAAGTTTCTATTGAATTTCCTCAAAATCAATATGCTTTGCTATCAGAATTTCTTTGTGATAATATTTGATGAATTTAGTTAATATTTCACCTAAGTACCAAAGTAGGTTACAAAATAAAATGTAATAGTTAAAACTTCTTCATAGAAACTTTTTTTATCTTTATTAATTCGATATACAGTTTATAATATTTTTTAAAGTATTTTTCGTTGAATCTAAGACAAATGCATATAAGATTAAATAACAAACATAAATTTACGATTCAGGTTTTATTTATTTAAATTATTCTAGTTTATACAATTTTAATAATTAACAATAATAATATTCCAATCAAAAATATATTATCAATAATCTAAAAATTATGTTATAATTTTCATTATAATTATTTATTCTGAATTATTTAAATATAATCTTCTTTATACTTTTTATTCAATATGAATTAAAGCTTATATTCATTAATTCAATAATATAAATTTTAAATTGTCATTTTATAAATAATTTTCTCAAATTACCAAATTTAAGATGATTTTTTTTTCATTTATCCACTATAATGCAATTGAATGATTGATAATATGTTTATAATTTAGACAAAAATAATATTGTATCAACATTTTATATTTTTTATTATAATCTTTAAAATTGAACAAAATATTCAATCAAAATGAATTGGTTTGCTAAGATTTTATAATTCTTCGAATAAAGCCTTAATCTATTCCTAATCATCAACTTCTTATTTTGGTGACTCAAATAGTGGCTAATTTAAATTAGTTTCTAAAGTGTGAAGTTCATTTTGTAAGAATTTAGTTGTAAAATACTAAGAGATATCTTTTTTTAATATATATGAATTACTTTTGAATTTTTTATGTTAAGACATTGCCCCAATAATGATATCTATTCTTTCCAATTTATGATTCACTTAATCAAATTGACTATGCAATAACTATTATAATAGGAGCTTAAACCTTTTTGAGATTCCACATTTCTTCCAAAAGTACTCCACTCTTTTATTTTAATATTTGCATGTCTTCATCTAATCTTGTATTTGTATCTTTAATATCAGATGCACAAACTCTTAAAATATTTTATTCTTCTTTTAATTTAGCAGCTAATTAAAATAATAATGTAAATAAAATACATGGTTGATTAGGATTAATAGATTCTTAATTTCCATCATCATTATTTCTTCGTTTAATGAATTACAACATCTATCTATTGATAATACTTAAATATTATACTTCACTCCTTTACGAAAACATTTATGTTTAAACTCTTAGCCTTCCTAATGTTTACTCTTTTTAAAATTATATAAATTCAATTGTCTAACTAATCATTCTTGTCCTTACCTTAGAAAACTAGAATAATTTCTATGTTTAAAATATTATGGCAGAACTTATTATTGTAATAGCTTTTGACTTTTAACTACAAAACTTAATCCTTCTTCAGTCCAAGAAACGATATGAGAAATCGATTAATCCTAGATTTTTAAACATTAATTACTTCGAGCATTTCAAAAGTTTTCATTATAAAAGTTGGAACTAATGAACGAGTTGCCATTGTGATTAATATAATTTTATTATAATATACCAAACTATTCATTTATTTATAGTAATTTAGATAAATACAGAGACCAAATTATTATTACATTTTTCAGATTCAATCTATATAGAAGTAATATTTTATTTTTCTCATAAATTCATCCACAAATTAAAGTTTATCATTTTAGTGCTACTCTGCATATGGGACAAGTTTATCGATATTTTAACCATTGATTTAGACATTCTTTATGAAATATATGTTTACAATCTGTTTAAACACATTGCTCAAGTGCTTTTTTAGTTGTTATAAAATCAACTAAACAAATTGAACATTCTCTATTACTCTCTATATCACTTTACTAAGGAATTTAAAATTAATATTTATTTTATGATTCAATATTTTGTCTTCTAAAACAATAAATAAGTATGGATATAATAATAAAAATCAGAAATAAAGCAAAACAAACAACTAAAATAATAGTTAATAGTTCTTCTCCTTATTAAAAGTATTATGTTTAAAAGTCTATTATTATTTTATAATTAATCTTTTCTTAAGATTATAATTTAATAACTAAAAAACTTTGAGAAAATTCTCCACTACTTTAAAAATAATTATCCTTTAATAGCTTAATTTCAATCCTTTTCTGATCCTAAACTGTTTAATTAAAGTTATTTTTGATATTGTATGGAAGATTATGATGTTATGAAACTAACATTTATATATTAATTTTTGATTTTGTCTTATTCTCTAAATCAAATGAAAGGCTTAATCTATAATTAGTAGTAGTGTTGAAAATTGTATAAATGTATTATTCTTAAGATATTGAAATCTTTGACTTTATAAAAGGTGAAAAAAACTCTGCAGATTAAAAACAATCCTCATCTATAAATCCTTATTTACATTAACACTTCCCTTTCTTTGTAATAATATTAATTAATATTTTACTATACATTATCCCCTATTGTTACAATTATTAGGACATTTCTGTATATCAGAAACTGTAAATACTAACTAATAATTTAAAGTCTTATTTGTGAGAATTGTCAAATATGATTCTTTATTTCTATTCTCCTCCAAGTTTAATTGTAAATAATGATATTTTTTTGATAACTATTGCCTTACTTAATAGTCAATAATTTTTACCCATTCACATCAAAGTTATCACAAAGTATTCGTTTTTTTTAAGACTTTAAATCATAAAATGGAGCATTTCCATATTACTATAATAAAACTAAGTTTGCTGATGATTTAGATGTAAATTTAACAAATAACTCAATTAATAGATATCTAAATGTTTCTTCTTTTAATATTTTCAATTAGAACGTCTAATTAAATCGTTTTTAGGTCAGGTTAAATATCGTCACACCTTACTTTACATCAATTTCCTAAAGTTGTAGTGTAATAATTGATTAAAAGTGAATAATTACGATTAGAAATCTAATCATATTTTAGCAAATATAAATTTCTTTGAATATTAAACAATTAGTATTACAATCATATTTGGAATACTCAATTTTTGACTATTTATATTCATTTTATTTTATATTTTAAAAAAAAATGAGATCAATAAATAATTCAATTGATACTCCCTCTATAAAAGTTAAATTTAATCAAAATGAGAAAGTAGATGAAATGAAAACAACAAAAACCATAAAAAAAAAACATGTTCAACCTTAATTAAATATAATTTGGGAATTTTATATGTATATGATTATGGCTATCTTGGTTGAAATTATTGTATTAATTTTTAACAATTAGACTACAATTCTCAACTTTATCAGAATTATTGTATTTATTCTTATTTTAATGCTATCCCTCATATACATAAAGAAAATACAGTAAAATTTATTATTATGCTTGATATGTTTGATAAAAATATTTTAGATTTCAACCATTTGTTTAAATGATGACATTAATCTATTTGCTATTTTACCATTTGCATATGATTAAATTGATAATAACAATAAAGTTGCAATTAAATTAAAGGTGATTGAGAAAATATTAATAAAAGTAATAGGTGTAAGTTTAATTTGTATTTTTTCTAAATTGCCTTTAGCAATAACAATAAATTCATGTTTAATAATTTTAGAAATTTTTAGAAATCGTTTCGTTTTTAAGAAAAAAGAATAGAAATAATCATTAATTAGTTATAAATTACCTATTGATTATGAATAAGTAGTCCAAAGTGTAAATTTAAGAGGAGAAAATAGTTAAAGGGAAGATGTTTGGAAGAAAAGATTTTATGCGATTCCGTTATCAATTTTAATGATATCTAAAGAAACTTTATAAATTACATATAAAAATTAGACTTTATTTAAATAATTTTGTGATAGTTTTATCAATGAAGAAGAATTAGAGGATTTAATATTAAATAAACTACATTTTTCCCTATTATCAGATCACTAAGAATTTTTATAATTGTCTTCTACAAACATTATTAAATTAAAATAAAAAAAATCAAATTCATCAAATGTATTAAATTAGAAATCCTGCATAACGTAATTGAGTTCATATGATTTAATGCAAAAAAGAACTTTGATAGAAATCTTGAATTCAATAAAAAGCGAAACATATAATTTATAAAAAGACGTTATTGAGCTATTTTGTCAATAAACAGAAAAATCAGGAGCCAAATACTAATTAGAGGCTAAAATTATTTTAGCTGATAAAGATGATGAATTTTTCGTAACAATAAATGACACAACAAAATAAAATGAAATTTAATAATTTATTGTTAAAGAGGAATTTAAAAGCAAAGTAAATAATTATAAATATTTGAGATAATAGAATCATTTTCACATGAATTAAGAACACCATTAAACAGTGCAATTAATTTTTTAGAGGCTTCTATTACTGATAGTTCAATTGAAGATAAATTGAAATTGCAAACTCTTGAGCCAGCAGTGAATTCTTTAAAACTATAATCATACTTAATAAATGACATCATAGACTATTAAAATTATAATGCAAATTAATTAGAACTCTATGTTACTGAATTTTCTGTTTAGGATTTCTTAAGTGAATTGACATCTTTATTTAGTATTTAATTTGATATGAAGAAAATAGCTTTTAATTTAGATTTAAAAAAAAATTATTTATAGTATTTTAGTACAGATCAGACTAGACTTACTTAAATATTAGTAAATCTTTTGTAGAATTCACTTAAGTACACTTCTAGTGGAGTTATATAATTAAAATTTAGCAGTATGTCTAATGATGTTTTGAAAATAGTGATTTAGGATTCAGGAATAGGAATAGCTCCAAATGTGTTAGAATAAGTTAGAGTTACTCTTAAAAATGTAGAAGAAAGTAAAGACTTTTAAACTTTTAAAGCATGGAAAGGTTTTGGTTTGTTGATTGTAGCATTATTGCATTAAAGTTTATGTCCATCAAATTAAAAATCAATTTAGATTGAATCAACAGGATTTAATAAAGGAACTAAGATAAAATTCTATATTTTAAATTTTAATCATAGTTCTAAATAAAATACAATAAAATAATCATTGAGTGCTAAAAATACGCTTAGATAATCTTAAAGTGTTAAGAAATCTTTAAAATCTAATTCTCTTAGTTAAATATTACCAATGAATGGAACAATTTATTTAGCATAAGATATTACTTAAGTAAATTAACATATGAAAAAAAGTGAAAGATTTCTGAATTCGGCTTTTAACACTTTGGATGATTTTTCAGAATTGTCAAAAAGTCCTAAAATTTAATTTAGTTCACCTGATGCTAATATATCTTAATTAGTTTAAATTTAACCTATTTTAATTACAGATATAAAATCAAGTTAAAAAATAGCAATAACAAATAAAAATCCATTATTTTAATCATATAAATCACAAAAATCGTAATTAGTAAATTTGAATTAATTTAGAAAGATGGAAACTTAATATAGAGAAGATATATTTAAGACTTTGGCAACTAAAAAAAATAAATGTAATTGTAATAATATTTTATCTGTTGATGATGAAATATTTAATTAAAAATCAGTTGAAAGACTTTTATAATAAATAGGATTTGATGTTAAATTAGCATATAATGGTGAAGATGCAATTAATTTAATATTAAATTTAAAACCATGTAGTTTAGGTTGTAATATATTAACTATAATATTAATGGATTATTAGATGCCAAGAAAAGATGGAATAGCAACAACAAAAGAATTGAAAAAACTAATGTCAGAATCTATAATCCCTGAAATTCCCATTATTGGTTTGACTGCTTTTACAGGCCAGTAAGATATTAAAAATTGTTTAATAGCAGGTATGAGCGATGTTTTATCTAAACCTCTAAAAATTTAAGAGTTAAAAGATGTATTAGCATCACTATGATTATAAATACTCTATATATAATAAAAATAATCATAATAATGTTAGTAGCTCACAAAAGTCATTGAGCTTTAAAGGTTTGAAAAGTACCTCAAGCATTCCAGCATTTAGACAACTTTCAATCTCTAATTTACTAGTAAATGCAGTTAATCCTATAATATTTATATTTGGAATTATTTTTTCTTTCATCATTCTCTTTAATTAAATTGTACATTCAATACCATCCATTATTGGCATAGAATAATCCATTAAAATGAAATTCAAAAGTTCGCATTCTTATGAACATTTTTATAATTACTATATTTTTTAAATTGCCTCAAAACCATTATATACCTTATATAAGAAATCTAAATTTACAATTATCACTTCAAAACCAAATCTCTCTATTAATAATTTTATTGAATTTTAATTAAAAATTTCATCATCAACAGACATAATCCTTCTACATTTACAACATAATTTGTTCTTAAAGTTTTGTAATGCAGAATCATTACTTTATCTTTCCATCATTTTTAACTAAGTATAACTTAAAATTCTTGATCTAATATTGAAAAATATTTATTACTTCATCGATGATGATTTAATAGATTGCTATTCTAAAGATCCACTCAATTGCTTTTCATTTTTTATATTTAAGATAAAATTGTGTTATTAATTTTCCAATAAAATATATTGTTCAGATAAATTCTATTATTTGTTCTCAGATTCAATAGATTATTAATCATAATCAGTACTTGCTTTTAACATCCTATTCAATGAAGTTATTTACTTACCATTTAATCCAAGATTCGAAGAAGTTAATGCATTTTCATTACCATAGATAACTGTGCCAACTAAATTATTATGATAGTTCTTTTTTGAGTTTCTAAGAAATTTAACAGATTTTTTATTTGAGATGTCATCAGTGAAATTATTGAGTTCATCAATCAAAATTTATTTAATTTTAAATTTGAATTTTGTTCCTTTATTTAATTTAGATTTTATTGAAAAAGTTTCTTATAATTAAGGATTCAATTAATGTAATAAAATACTTGAAATAAGTAAACCAATTCCATTCCATGATTTTAATTTTGAAATATGTTTTAAATTTTCAACTTAATTCACATAAGTGTTTAACTTTTTAATCATATCTGATTTAATACCAATTCCAGTATCTGAAACAGAAAACTAAATTACATCATCTACCAAATTTTTTATTTTTAAAATTGCCCCACCTTTATATGTGTATTTTAATGAATTTTAAATTACATTTACCAAAATTTACATAAGTCTATTATAATCAGTTGACATACGGGTTGAAGTATTCTTAGTTAAATCGATTACAAAATTCAATCCTTTTTCCTAAAACTATAAATTGAAAATGCTTGTAATTTCACTTATTACATCTTTTATTTCAAATTCTTTTACACAAACATCCAAACTATTATTGTAAAATTATGAAAAGTCTATTACATCATTGATTATATACGATTACAATTGTAATGCAATTGATGCAGGTTCCAAACATTATTCTTTAATAGATAATGGTAATTACTCATTGGCTATTGCAGATTTAATAAAGTTTATTGAACTATTTAAAGGTGTTTTAAGTTCATGAGAAAGTGATTCTATGACCTAAGAAATACCTTAAAAAAAATACTTTCTTTTAAAATTCGTCTTTTACAATAAATTATTACAATTGCATTTATTTAGAAATATCTGATAATATTATAGTTATTTCATCATCTCCTTCACTTGAAAATATTGTACCATTTATTTAAAACTATTGAGAATCTAAAATTTAATGACAATACAAATCTACAGAATTTGTTTAAAGTTTTATAAGATTATTATAAGTTCCAGCAAGGAAATTTTTTGAAATTTAGAAAAGAGATAATTTTTTCAAATTTTCTATATCAAATTAACTAGAATGTGATTGATTAACAGGTTTATTTAAAAATTGTTTTCTTATAATATAACTACTAGAATTTTTCAGCATTTCTAAACTATCTTCTAATATTGTAAATTCCAATTTATTCATTATTAAATCATTAATTTCATTATCATTATAACATAATGTATTAAAATTTTTTCTAGCTGTCTCATTTTTGAATTTAATAGCCAGTGTTTTTTTATTTAAAATAATTATTGAAATTGGTATAGCATGCATTCTTTTTATCCAAAGATCTTCATTAATAATTAAATTCTCATTATTTATATAATCTTGATTTTTTATTATATTATCATTCCTTTTTAATTCTTCATTTTTTATTTGATTTTCCTACTAATTTATTTTTTCATTATTTATTTACAAATTCTCCATAAATTATTATTTTTTTTTAAATCCTAAATTATATTTTTATACTTGCCTATTTGTTGCATACAAGAGAATAATTTAATAAGTTTCAAGTAAAATAGTATTGCATAAAATTATGATAAACACCTAATTGCTCCAATATAGAGAAATGTAAATTAAACATAAAACTTTAATGATTAGATAATCTAATAAAGAATTATAATCTTCATGGTTTTTAATTAAGATTCCCTTATCCAATACAAGAGATAGTATAGCTAAACTATTCCATTCTTCATACGATATTAATTAACTGATTGAAACTATTTCACAAACAAATTTTATAAATCTTGCAATTATAGGGTCAAGCTTCTTCTATAAAGTTATCTTTATTAAGGTTAAACTTGATGTTATTATAAATTTAATAAGAACAAATTCTGAATAGGTGTGATTATATATATAAAAGGCTAGATTACTGAATGAAAGTAGCAATAAATAGAGTTCCACATTATAGTTATTAACACAACATAAATTCTAGAAACTTGTTATATCTACTTCTTTTACAACACTTTCTGTTTTTATTTTAGTATGACTCATAAAGTTTATTTTGAAAAACTTAAATAAATATTATCTGTGTAAAAATTAATCAATTGAACTCAACACATTTTTAATTAGTTACATAATTTAAGTGCTTCAAAGAGATTCAATTTGTCAAAGTAATATCCATCGAATTGTCAATTCTAAAATTTTGAAGTTTTTATAACAAGGTGTTGCTATATTTAAAATCTTGAAGAATTTATTATGATTATTCTAAATTTTTAACAAGCCTAATAAAAAATATTTAAAAACATATAAATAATGATATCATTCTAATTCATGTAATTATTCCTTAATCTCATTTTCTACAACTTTTATAAATCATCTCATTTTCTACAACCTTTATAAATAACTAGCATGAATACTCAACTACAATAACTCATATTGTAATTAAATAAGAATTTTATTCTTGATTACTAATTAAAATAGCTAAAAATTAATTGAGTGAAATATTTGATTTTGATTAATTGTGACTATAAATCAATGGGAAATTTTGAGATCAATCAAATAATAATCTGGCACTTCGCATAAATTGTGATTAATTTAAAGATTGAAAATGGGTTACAATTTGAAGAATTCTAACTTTTATGAAGTATATTTAAGACATTTTAGCAATTTTTGGAAAACAAAAATTTGTTTAAGTATTTATTTGAGATATATATTTGAAAAAATGGATAGAGAAATTTTTTTTAAATAAAAGATTTTGCTAAAAAATTTATAGCCCTACATTTGTATTTTTTTTAGTGTTTTGAAAAGTTTACATATTTACAACAAAATGTATTCTTATAAATTTATTAATATAAATTAGAAGTTTATTTTACAATAATCAACAACATGAGGAATCTATTTTTATTTCATTTTAATGATTAGTGAGACGTTATTTAGGATTAGGATTTAATGAATCTTAATGTTAATGTAAAATTAACTTAGCAATTTATAAAAATGCTTCATTAACGTTAATACCATCTTTAGCACTAGTTTCAAAATATTAGATCCCATATTTTGTAGCTAATTATTAAGCTTCTTCAGTTGTAATAGATCTGTCTTGGAGATCAATTTTGTTTCCTAAATTATATAATATATTGATGATGAATACCTATTAATATTTTAATGATATTTTCACTAGCATGTTATTTAATTTAGTTCATCCATTTGTCAATATCTTTAAGAGAGTCTCTATTATTGACAGCAAAAACAAGTAAAATGCCCATAGCACCTTTGTAAAAATTTTGAGTTAAAGTCTAATATTTTTCTTGTCCAGCTGTATCCCAAATTTGCATTTTAACTACTCTATCATCCACCTATAATTTCTTAATTTTGAAATCTACTCCTAAAATTTTATAATTTTGTTTTATTTACCAATAGTACACATATATCCGGTTCTAAAATTATTTTCAGAATACCTAAGTAGAATTTAAGTCTTTCCTACTCCTGAATTACCTAACAAAAGGATCTTAATTAAATGTTCATATGGATCATGTGCTCTTTTTACTAAGGATGCCATATTGATTAAAATTAATTATTAATAGTTAAAAAAAGAATTGAAACATTATTTAGAATTCTGATGAAGGATAATTTAAAATAGTAATTAGAACTATAAAAAATATCAAATATTGAGTCGATGAAAAGTATCAAAGAGTTTCTCTTTTGTTATAGGTTTGATTAATACAGTATTAAAACCTTCATGAATACTTCTTTATTAATCTTGAATACTACAAAAAGCAGTAACTGCAATGACAGGTATAGTTCTAGTCAACTATATTTTATATTCAATTTATCTAATTCTTTAAACAGCTTCCCAACCACTCATAATTGGCATATTTATATCCATTAATATACATTTATATCCAATGCAAGTGGATTTATTGCATCGATTTGCTAATTAAACTTCTATTTTTTCAATAGCTTATTTACCATTGAAAGCAAAATCAACATCGAAAGCAAATTATTTCATAAGATGGGAAAGGATATGGATATTAAATTATTCATCATCGACAATCAATGTTTTTTTGCATTTACAAATATTAGTTTCTATATTTGCTAATTTCTCTCCTATATATGTCTTACCACTTTTCTTATAATTTAAGACACGAACTTATTGCGTACTTTATTATTCTAAAAAAGGAATAGTATGGATAAATGAATTTTATAAATTACTTTGTTCTTAATGAATTTATTCTTCATCATATTGCAACACGAAATAAAATTAAGTTCCCTCACCTAATTATGATTCAACAGAAAGATGATTTTAATGCATTGGAGCCAATAATTTGATTATCTATTTACAAACTGATAAACCTAAACCAATACCTACTGATTATTTAGACACTTTCTCATCTTCATCAGAAAGATGTAACTAATCTTTACTACATTATTAATACCTTCTTCCGTAAAATACATAGTTCATTTTCACTCATTCCTATACCAGTATCACTTATAGAAACTTATAACAAATTTGTATCTTAAAAATTAAATGAATGTACATCTTCAATTCCTTACATTGAATCTATATATTCCTTTTTCTACACTTTTATTGTAATCCCTCCCTATAAAGTAAATCTTATTGCATTAGCAATCAAATTTATTAATACTTAACACAATCTTTGTCGATCTCCTATTATTATATAAGAAACTTCTGGCAATTCAACATTTATTGATATAAATTTCCTCTCTATCTAATCTTTTAATAAATCAACACAATCCCAAATTACAGTATTTATTTCAAATTTGTCTGATTTCATAATCAGACCCTCCTCTAATATGTCTCTATAATCAAAAAAATCATAAATCTTATATAATTACAGATTTGTATAACGCAAAGCTTATTCTAATTATAATGAACAAGATTCTTATAAAAATTGTCTGTCTTAACATTATTTTATAAATCCGTAAATGGCATTCAAATTTGTAAGCAATTCATGAGAAATAGATCTCAGAATATTCTTCTTTATTGATTCGAGTTTCTTAAGTTTTGCTCTTAAGAGAATTTAATTGATTTCATGAATGAAATATATTTGCAAACCATCATCATTATCAAATAATCTACAATTTTCCAAAACATTTACTAGAAATTTCATTTTATGATTAATAGTAGGCTTTACTTTTTGAATTAAATTCAAATCTAATAAAGATTATTTGTGATTCGAATTATGATGTTCTTTGCTTTCTTTCGATAAAAGTTAATCATACGAAATTTTACGACTAGGACTCATATATATTGAAGATTTATTTAATCTGATTTGATTCTAAGATCTTTTAGGAGAATTTTATTTTCGTGTTGAATTAAACATTATTTAAGGAGAATTATTAAATTCAATCTTCATTGTTACATCTGATGTGAATTTCTTTTTTATTAAACTGTCATCTTCTTAATTCTTAAATGATTAAAAAAATTTTTATTATTATTTGTGATTTTTAGGGGGTGCTTTTGATATTTCTGCAAAAAATCGATTTTAAGATAATAATTAAGTTTTTTCTTTACAATAAGTTACATGTTTAATCTTATATTAATCTTCTAAATCAAGATCATCATCATCGAAATCAAAGACTGTCTAATCATTATTCAATTCATCCAATTATAGGTTTTATAAAAAATTTAATTAATTTCTAGCAGAATGAACAGTAGATGCTTTATCTGGTGATTAATCAGTCTCACTTTAATTTGTACTTTCTAATTTGTTAGCTAAATTGTCAAATATTTTATTTGAATAAAGTAGGAAATTTTTATCTTTATGAACAATGCACATAGCTTAAGGAGTTGAATCGATTATCATAAATAAGGATTATAAATTTTGAAAATGTTGTAAATAACAGAACTCCTTTCTCAAAATTTAAAAGATTATAAGTATGGTTGAAAGGCACAATCCTTCAATTGAAGGTAAGTTAGCAAGGAAGATGCTCTGAAAAAAAAACAATACAATTGTTAAAAATTTCATGTATAAAGTTGATTACATGCTTTGATAAATAATGGATATTGTAACATAGAGCATAAAATAGTCCTTCTCCTAGATTATATAGCAAATCCAATACATGCAATATTGTTGAATAAGAGGTAATAATTAAATGAAGAAATGTGATTCATCCGAAATGGCTTTCGAAAGTGATAGAAATAAGAAAATATGAATGCATATTTATATTGCCAAGGTTATTTAGATGTACAAGTTATTTGCAAGAATAGACAGTCTAATTACAATGAAGATGATTTAGAGTATTATAATAGGTTTGAAAGTTGTATCAGCCTATTAAAAGTGATTGTGCCATCTCCATTGTTAATATTGATCCAATTTTAAAGTTTTTAAATGCTTATAAAAAGCTCTCCTAAAAATTTGCCATTAGGGCATGATTATTATATTAAATATATATAAATATACATAAAGGATAATGTATATTTAGAAGATTGTAAATTATAATGTATAAATGCTAATCAATAATATCTTTAATTAATTTTATCTCTAACTTGCTTTTAGAGTACTTAAACTTTATATAAATAATGAAGGAAGAAGACAATAATATCAAATAAGTAACCTAATCTAAATAATGTAATCTTAGGAAGAAAACTAATTTTTTATACCACACTATATTATACCCATAAACTATGCTCCAATTTCAAATGAAATAGAGAATTATAAAATGACGATTCATCATTTAACCGAAGAGAATCACTTTTTGAGAAAGCAACTTCTAAATAATTAAGTTTCAGGCATTCTATCTTTGAATGTAGAATAATTAAAGGAGGAAGTATTTAAAATGATTGATTATCTAATGACAAATCTCAATTACCTTCCCAAAGAATAAACATTCGCATACAGAAAAACTATTCGATAGTGTACATAGAGAAGTGCACTTAAAAGAATCTATTTTCTTATATTTACTAGATATTTATAAGTAAAATTGCATTTCAAAGATGATAGGCTGAAAAAACGAAAGAAGAAATGATAAAATTCATTATTCGCAAAAGCGTGAAGTTTTAAAAGTCTACAAGTACTATATAGAAACATGAAATGAAGAAAATGAACAATGCATTCGTTTAGCAATTATTTCTATCAACTCAATATTAGTAACATTATTCAAACTTTCTAAGTAAGAATATCACATGTTATTTTATTTAGATCAATATTTATAATTAGCACTTGATGAAAATAAACACAAAATTTAAAAATATGTGAATTTCTTAGTGGAATCAATATAAAATGATTAAATTGATGTAATATTTAAAGTTATGTTATTAGGATGTGTTAAATTATAAAAGATTTCCTTGGTTGAATGAGTGGATACAATAATCTGTTTAGATTGCTAAAGATCTTTAATTTAGTAGCAATTCAAAATGTTTAGAAAACAAGAAAAAAATAAAACTCTGATTAAGAATTTAATTGGATTAATAAAAATGAATAAAAACAAATAGTTTGTATTAGCTATTATTAATATTATAATTTTTATCAATTATTCATAATAGTTGAACATATAGGACTGTCTTATTCACAATCAATTTGAGCAATTTGATAAAACATGGCAGCTAAAGTCCAAGTAGGAGTAATGTTGCCAATAAATTTAGGAGATTTAATGATTTAATTCTGTTTAATTCCATAACCATGAGTCAATAAAGAATATACATATAAAACAGAGAAATAGTTGCCATAAGAATATTTATTTTTGTTATAAATTTCATGTTATTAAATTTGTTCATAATTAAGAGAACAGTATTTAACAGCTCTAATAAAATATTCTTCTAAAGTATATTCTTCTAAATTTAAAAATTCAGCCATAAATTAAACTCCTCCTAAAGCATAAATTAATTCAGAATCAATTTCTGGTTAATAGACTCCATTAATGCCACAATTGTCATAAATACATTTGGACTTATCATTATTGAGATATTGATTAATTAATTCTAAACATTGATTAATATTTCCTGATCCAATAATAATATAAGATGAGTTGTATTTATAATAATTTCTATAACCATCAGGAAAGCAAGGAGATTTATAAATGAAATTACTTTCATCTAATTTTTTAATCTCTTTTTCAAATATGACTCTTTTGGCTTAATCTATTCCAAAATAGAGATAGGATTAAGAATATATCTTATATTAATTGTGATTAGGAATTTTTAAGTTTACTTCACTTTTGTTAAAACCTGATTAAGGTTTGAAAGCTAATTATGTAGATCCTCCTCCTAAATCAACAGTTAATGCATGTTCATTATCCGTTATTCCCAATTTACCTATCATATAGTTAATAGATAGCCACATATAAGCTCCCTTGTAATCTTATAATGATATGTAATTACTTCCTCTTAACCTGTGATTATTCTACACCAATCATCTCTATGAAATAGGAATTTACTAGATCTAAAAATATCTCTTATTGTTTTTATTATCTAAATCTAATAAAATGTTGGAATCATTCTCATTCCTGCTGTTGCTGCCAACATTATTGGTGTATATTTATGCATTGAATAAGGTACATTCTCATAAGCAAATTAAATTAAATCATTTATGTATGATTTCAATGAATCTAAATCTTTTCCAAATGAATCTATTCCTGGTTCAACCTTATATTCTAAAGTCTTTTCAGTTATATTGATATACGCCATTGTTTTATTTTCTCGGCAACTCCAAGAATAAACATAAACTCTTGTACCTGAACTTCCAGCATCGAACATTACACCATAGCATGTAGTATCTACATATTAAAACCAATTCAATGGTTAATAATGTTGATCTATTAGATATGAGATTGTAGGTGCAATCAAATATAATATAAACATTTAATTATTAAATTAAAATAGAATTATTATCATAATTTTCAAACTATTATAATCATTTTCTTAAATCTGTCAAAGATTTTACAATGTTTGTCAATCTAGCAATTTCTAAATCTTTTGCTTCTATCAAATTTTCATAAAATGCACTGCCACCAGATTATCCTGATTTTTATCTCATTGATAAATCTAATTTTGTATATTCACCTATTTAATTCTAATAATTTCTAATTTCCTATTCATAATTCAATCTCTCTTGATTCAATAATTATTCCATCTTTCTTACTTCTTATTTTAAATTACTAATTTCCTCTTTCATTTATTAATCTTATATATTATTATTTTTCTGACGTTAAGAATTTTACTATTATTATCTATCCAACTCTTTTCTATACTAAAAATTCTCATTTTGCAACAATTATAATTGTTTTTAATACTATTCTGAAGCTTCTATATTCTAGTATTTTAAAATACATATACTTCTTATTTAAATTCTTCAAAATATTCAATTCTCTATCTAAATTCGTTTACCTACAGATTTAATTGCTTACATATCTTTTAAGCTTTACTAATATCATTATAATATATATATACTCCAAATCATTATTTTTATCTTATAAATCTTGTTCCATTTATCTTAATTAATTAATCTTCAATTCCAATTAAGCCTTTAAATTTCTTGCTTCCTCCTTTAAAATTTTGTTTATCTCCGATTATTTATTCAATTTATCTTTAAACTCCTATTCCATTGCTTCAGTTTATTTTGTATATTATTTCTACAGTAAACTCAAATCATTCAATAATCTAAAAATCCTTATAAAATAATTTACTTATCATTTTCATGTTTCATCTAATTAGATTATTATTATAATTATTAATATTTATTTTATAACTAAGACAACATTTGATCACTTCCTTCATTATTATTTTCTAATTATTTTTTTATTTAATGAGCCTCTGTTAATTTGTCTTCGTAAGTTCTAATTACATCAATCTATTTTCTAGAAAAATCCTCTAATTCACTTAATGTCTTATGCAACTATTTAATCTCTGTCTCTCTTAATTATAATTAACTTGATATATGTGCTAATTCCTCTTATAAATCTTCTATTTAAACAACAGCTTCTTCATGCTATTTTTTGTTTTCTGTTTATAATTACAATAATTATTTTTTTTTTTCATCTAATTATTTTTTTAAGGTTTATTTATCTTATTCAGCCAATTAATCTTAAGTTTAACGTTATTATTTTAGTTTTTAAAAATCTTTTTCTATAACATCCAATTATTATTTATAAGTCTTATTCTCAAATTCTAGGACTGAAATTCTATCATTTTATTTTTCTATTATATCTTACTATTCCATTTACTTTGATTATTGTAAATTCAAATATTCTCTTTTTTTGTTTTCTAATTCTTTTTCTATTTATTCCATTGTCTACCTCTATTTTTTATCTTATTACTCATATAGTTTGATATTTTAATCTTACTATGTAATTGTCAACTCTAATTCCTAAATTAGATTATCCTTCTCTTCTTTTTATTATAATAATTCTTATTATGCTAATTTTAGTTTACGTGTCAATTATTCACCATCATTATGTAATCCTTAAGATAATTATTGAAGTTAAGCCAATTATTCATTTAGTTATTCATTTTCTTAGATTAATTTTTCAGTTTACTCTGAATAAAACTTTTTTAATTAATCTAATTGTTGCAACTAATTTTATCTTTATTATTTGATTTCAATTGACAATTGTTATTCAATATCAATACCATTTAAATTTACATGAATTGAATCTATTTCATTTTTACAAAATTTAAGTAATTTTAATGCTTCATTTGAATCAGCCATATTTTAAAGTTCATTTAAAATAATTGCTAATCTATTTAAACCTTCTTCCAAGATTATTTTAATTTTAGTACTTTATGATTAAATTTGTTCAAATTATGATGATTTCTTTTTTAATTAAATAGCTAAATCATTCAATCTTTATTAAACTTTAGAATTATGTTTTTCAATAGTTAATTGTAATTCTGAATCCATTAGATCATCAGGAACAATGAATATTGGTATTTCAGAATTAAATGCTCTATCCAATTCTTTAGCTCGTGTATCTTTAGCTTTTTTTACAATTGTTTATAATTATTGTAATTGATATGACAATTATTTGTTATCATTTAATTACAATTAATTTTATTGCTATTCTAATCTAACTTATTCTAATTAAATTTCAAGACCTTTTACTAAGTTTTCAACGATTTCTTCTTTATGCTAAATGATTTGAGTTAAATCACGAATAATATTTGAAACATTCAAAGATAACATCTAAACATCATCAGTCATTAATTGATCATAATCATAGTTAGATTCTTATTGATTTACATATTGTGAAAGAAAGGATTTGGTTTATTAAGATAAGGCTTAGAGTGTATTAATTAATTATTATTAAAAGCGAGGTTATTTATTTGAGCTGGAATATTTAGTAGCACTTGAATATTTTTATGCACTATTATATTATTATTTGATAGGAGATCTTAATTAGGAAGATTATTGTAATAATTTTAATTATTCTTCTTTCATTTGTAATTCATCAAGCAATATTTATTTGTCATCTTTTGATTATTTTAATTCTTTAATTAAACGATCAGCGACTTCTTATAATTCTTATGTTAATTTTTATTCATGTTGTAACATTTTTTAATAGACCACATCCTGTTAGGATTATTTGAGATATTCAATTTTAGATTACAATTATTCATTAAGTTTGATTTATTATTTTAATGTGTTAGTAATAGTTTGTTCATTTGGAGTAACATTTAAGAGAGATGCCAAATTAATGAGTAATTGATTTGATCCTTCTTAATGTTTCTTTTAGAGTACTGTATATTTATCAAATAGAGAAACTAATTTTCTACCATAACATACACAAGAGTATTGTAGTTAAGTAATAAGATCTTTATCATTTTTATATTCTTTTATGACTGGAAGTGAATCAAAAAGTTGATTAGCATAAGTTTGTATTTTCAAAAAATCGTTGTCTAATTTCATTCGTTATTTAATTAAAAATGTATTGTATTAAAGAGGATTTGTTAGAGAGATACAATAAATATATAATAATATATCAAATATCTAAATTATATATTTTCACTCTAATATCTTGATAATGTGCAGATGTAATTTCATTAATAGGTTTACCATCCAAGAATTATTATGTACTATTACTAGTAATAACTTAGTAATAGTATGTTAAATAATCTAGTAATAAGATTCCTGTTTCATTTTATTCATTGATTCTAAGTTAATGATTCAATTCTCTAATAAGTTCTTTGAGATTGGAAATATCACCTAATAAAGACGTTCCATAATAATCTTTATATTTAATATAGGTATCTCTAAAGGAATGCTTATTAAGAATGGAAATGAGTATTTAATGATTGAAATTGATAACTTTGATATTATTGATTCCTTTATCATAGGTTTCTTTAAGCTTGTAATAAATATTCCACATACTTTATTCATGATATCCATAACTTCTCTTCCAAAATAGCCCATAATCCTTTCTCTTAGTCTTGGTGATTGTAGATACTTTGTATGATCAATAAGTTAACAAGTACGATAGATGAATTTGCATTAGTTTAGGTAATTACATATAATTTCTTCCGTTTATGATTCTAAATTAGATTTAATATGATTATCATAATTACCATAATGAAAACTTTAATAAGTATGTTAAATGACTGTGGCCATTCTTTCTTTAACTTAATTAGATTTTTAATGTTTATGTGAAGTAGATCCACTTCTAGTACATTATTAAGTTTAATTGACTCTAACAACATTCATATTAGTAATAGATTTATTAAATGAGTTACTAACAAGCGCTCCTCTCATTTTATTAAGAGCAGTTGTATTTCTACGTAAGAAAAGTGGATGTTAATCTATATCAATTAGAGATAAACGTTAAGTTTCATCTACTTATAAGGCTCTCCTTAAGAAATCTTTGGATTCTTCAGATATAGGTACATTTCTATTAAAGTGTAATTATGAAACAGATTCTTAAAATTCACTTTCAGAATTAATTACCCATGGACATTAACCATATAACATTTAATAATAGACAACACCTATACTCCAAATATCACTCTTCTCAGAATATTTATTCTCTAAATAACTTTCAGGACTCATGTAGATAGGAGTACCAACCTTATAAAATACTTTTTCTTTAGGAGCCTTTATCATTTTAGAAAAACCATAATCAGCTAATTTCGGAACTGAATTCTTAATTAAAACGTTGGTTGGTTTAATATCTCTATGAATAACGCCCTTTCTAATCTATTCCTTAAATCCATTAATTATATGTCGAAGTATCTTGAATGCTTCTACTTCTGGTATGATACCTTATTATTAAATGAGTTTGCCTAAATCTCCTTAATTACAATATTCTGTAATAATATATGTATTATTATTAGTATGGTAGTAATCATGTAATTTTATTACATTTACTGATTGTATCAATTTCAACGCATTGATCTCTTAATTTATTAACTGTCTCTCTATCTCATTATTTATTGCTTTCACATCTATTACTTTTACTGCTACCACCTCTCCTGTATTCTCATCCTTACCTTTATACACCTTAGAACTGTATCCTCTTCCTATCTACTCATGCATTAAATAAGTATAATGTTCGATCTTCTTCTTTGGAATTAAGTTTTATTATGTTGGAGGCAACATTACTAAATAAATTAATCAATTATCATTATTTTTTATTATTCTTTTTAAATACTTCCATCCCATTTAAATTATGGTAAAATTCATATCTCTATTCAAAATCATTCTTAAACAAATATCTACTACTATTTTTAATTTGGTTCCAAATTTTTTACTCATCCTTATTCAAATGATCTCATCCAATTTATGTTTTCAAATTACACATTAAAAAAGTAAAATCAACAATCATTTGTATTCATCCTATACTAAATTTCTACCATTTACCTCCTGTAGCATATACCTTTCTCTTCATTTTAATTCTATTTAATTTTACTTTTTATCTAAAATACATCCTCAAATAATTAACAATCTTTAGAGATTGCATTTAACAAAGCAGAAAACCTAAAATATTAATATATATATATATAAATTAGAAATCATTTCAAGTCAAATTTGAACAAATGTATTTAAATTAATAATATAACTAAAAAAATAAATTTGATGTTAAAATGAACTAAAATATACAAATATAATATTTATTAACATCATAAAAATTTAAATACTAATATTTTCAGTCATATTGCTAATTATTATTTTATTGATAGAAGTAAAAAGATTTAAAGGAATTACAAAACTTTTAGAGATATCTAGGTGACTTTCCATATTTTATATTTTTGAATTAAAAGTAATATTTGAATTTCTATCAAGTATATATAAATAAATTATGAGTTTTTTATAAGAAGCAAATTAAATTTTAGATGCTATCTTTGATAAAATATAGAGAAGCTAGAATGATAGAATAATTAAAAATGTAAAGGGTTTGAATGAGGAAATAAAAAAGAATATATCCGAATTAGATGAAAAAGAAGCTGATTTAAATATTAAACTGATCTATTTAAAGAAGTTATTGAAATTATATTCATTTGCTGAAAATCCTAATAACCTCAAATAGGTTTGGAAATATTTCCAATTCAATATCTATTCATAATAGGATTAATTTATGGAATTGATTTAAAACCTACCTTAATTGATACAATAGCACTTATAATAGAAAATTTTGACTTTTAGTTCATTTATTAATTAGAGTATTACAGAATTATTCCCTCATTAACTTGTTTCATTTAAAATAAAACTATAAGAAGAAGAATAGAATTTATAAGAAAATGCTGATTAAGAGGATTGTGTGGGATGTATAACTTATGTTTCTCCAGAAGTATAAAATGAAAAAATCTTTAGAATAACAATGAAATTGAAAGAATTTATTAGTAAAGTTAAAAAATTAGATTAATTGATTGTTGAAGGTAATTTAGATGCTGAGATTTTAAAATTAACTTTAGATAATTAAAAGAAATAAATTACATTATGGAGTAGAGATGATTAAATTAGCTATTAGATTACAAGAAAGTATTTAATTTATTGATAATAAGATTAACTCTTGATGATGTACCTTAATTTGAGTAAAAGATTTACTTACAATAAAATATGGTAATTTAATTAACATAAAAATTTCAATTATTTGTAAAGGCTTGTTCTTATGGTAATAAAAAATCAGAAGAAATTAATTAAAATTTTACTCCTTTTTTGACAGGTTTAGAAAAAAATAAAATTATTAAGCCTATCTTAAATAAAGAGAACCAAAATTGGATAGTTATAAATAATGGATTTGAGGATGTGATATATTATCCAAATTAAATACCTTTAAAAATTTCATAATACTAAACACTTCCAAAAGGTATAGAAGTAATATTAGAAAATGATGGTGCTGGTCATTACATTGCTGTTGTAGGTAATTGTTCTTCTTTCTGGCCTAGAATTAAATGTAAGTAAAAGGGAGATTAATTATTGTAATTTATTACAAAACAAGACAATTTTAATTTAGGAATTATTTACTAAAATAATTTTAGATTATTATTAAACTCTGATTTAATTTCAGTTTGGAATGGCTCAGGATTATTTGATTTATGAAATTTATTAAATAAATTAATTTATTTATCAACTATTATTTAATAATAAATATATCAAATTTATAGGGTCTAGTATTTTAGACTTAAATATACCAAATAAGTCTTTTATCTAATTATCTTCAACATATTATGATAATTAGATATTTTTTAAAATATATTTTACTAATTAATCCATATTTTCAGAATTTTACAGAATTACAATAAGAATTGATCTAAAATCTTGCAATGAGACTGCAGCTAGATTTTGAGGGTTAAAGAACTTAAATATTCTAATTAAATACTTTAATAAAAAAGTTTATTAAGGTCTGCTCTTTAAAATGTTAACTTATAATAATCTATTTAAATAATCTAAATTGATTATAGTAAACTTTTTCTTATTCATTATGAGGATTGATGTCAAATGCTAATAAAATTCTATCCTAAACTACACTTGATAATTCAGTAAAACTTAAATATGATTCTCTTAAAATAAATTGGTATATAAAAGGATCTATATGATTATTATTTTTTTTATTTTTATCTGCATCTTTGATATCATAAATATCATTATATTATTAAGTATTTTTTACTAATACCTTAAACTCTTTTATAGTATTCATTTCTTTATATACTTCTTTCTTTGATTACCTGATCACTCTTGGATTGATAGTCAATTATTTTTAATGTTCTATAATATTGCTAATTAAGCTATTATTCATAGTTATTTCATCACATAATTAACTTTCATCAGCTCTTTTAGTATTTTATGAATCCTATTCATAAGATTTCAATGTTTTCCGATACATAGCTTAAATATTCAAAGCTCCTTAAGTAATTGTAGCTTATTTCATTATTTCTAAATCTCCCTCTGTAAAAATATTATCTAATTTGCTAAAATGAAGCAATTCTTATTTAGTAGAATCATTTAGTTCATATCTCTTTCTAGGGGTTTTAGTCAAATTCTAAAGATGAAAGGGTAATAATTTCTATAACTTTTTATCTGATTTCATGAGATCAATCATATAACTCTTATACTTGTAATTTTTATATCCTTTAACTTCAAGATATTTTGGTGTGGTTGTTAATTTCTAAATTTTAGGAAGACTAAAATGTGAAGATGAAGTATTTCGAGATATTTTACTTTAAGACTCGTTCATAAAATAGATTTATTAATGATTATTAAATACATTATATTCAAATATAACATTAATATTTATATGTTCGAGTATTTTAGTTAAATCTTAATTTTCTTTCATGTTTTTATTAAATCATAACCAAAAATCAGTATTAACAAAAAATTAAATCACTTTTATACTCTCATAAATCATTTGTTTTTATATATTATAAAGCTGAAGCAAATTCATAATCATATTTTTTACTTATTTGATTAAGTATCATTTAATATAAAATTATTAGAAAAAATATACAGCAATAACTTATAATTTTAATGTTACTTATTTAATCAATTAAATCATTCAATGTTTCAAATTCCTCCTAAAATTTTATCAATTCCTAAAATTATCAGCAATAATATTAAATAATAATATTTTCTTGAATAATCATTTCAGAATAAAATTACTTTAAATATTAAACTTAAATGAAATCTTTCCTGGAAAAATAATCTTAATCTAACTTTTTGATTAAATATAACTCCATTATGGATTATTTATATTTTAATAACTTTATTGAATTTATTACTTATAGATTTGTATAAATAAAATGATTTTTTTTTCAAGTATTTGTATGCAAATATTAAATTAAACCGGCATAAAACCATTAAATATTCATACTTTTTATAGATAATATGATTTTTACAGTATTGAATGAATTAAGAACTTAAAGATTATTCAGTATAATATATTATAAATCAGTTTAAATATTAGTCCTATATGGAAATTTAAAATAATTGAAAAATATTCTTCTTAACTATGTTATTTCAAAACTAGAAATTATAACCTAATTAGTTTAGTTTATTTTTTTATTAATTGTTTTATGATTCCTTTAATTTAACATGTTTTTCAAAATTTTTTATTGTATTTTTCAAATAGGATTAAATTCATTTTTATTAAGTATGCATATAAAAATTATATTTTACAAAAAGATAATTTTGATAGTAAATAATGAAAATTAATCCTATTGAAATATATGATTTATAAAATAATTTAAACATTAATATCCATCATTCACTTGGGATGTTAAATGATATAAATTGAGATTTTTTTGTTTTTTTATTTTTTTAAGTTTTCTACTATTCATAGTATTATTTAATTTATGAATCTTATCCAAATGTATTTTCTTAGACTTGAATTTGATTGTATTTAGGTGTAGAAGCTTACAAAACATCGACATCTGCAAACAATTATTTGATTGTTTATTCATTTGTAAATCCTTTTTAAAGTAACTAAGATGATAAAATTAATAATAGTATTTACTTGATTTATAAGTATTTATAAGGTGGTTTCTTATTATGACATTTATTTAGAGTAAATTAAAATATTCATAATTTCTCTGGAATTAGTGGTGTATCCAATGTTTTTAAGTAATATGTAGGTGGGATTAAATAAATTTTATTAATTGGAATCTTCTAATGTCATTTCTGTCATTAAAATATATTCATCTTATGTTTGAATAGCAGCAATATCTCCAAAATAAATAAAGTAATAATGTAATTCACCATCTATTTGGATTCTTTGAATTTCAATTATTAGATGATTTAAGTTTTTTTCCTTTAGTTTTAAACAAAAGACTTCACAAAAGATTTGAAGATCAATTTATATAGGTAATACAAGAATCAAATTTTTACTCCAGATTAAAAAGTAATCTAAAATTTCTGATATTGAAGGGTATATATTATTAACAGATAATTTATCATCAATAATTAAATAGTCTGGTTAGATGAAAAAGATATCATTTTAAATAATTGGCAATTTAGGTAAATTTGATTAGAGAAATTCACATTTTTAATTTAAATTACAAATAGTAGTATTATGAATAGCATTTTTTATTTGTTAAATTGAAAAGTTATTACCTAAAACAAAAGTATTGGTTTCAGATGAGAACTAAATTGCATTAATACCACTTCTAGAGTAACCATCTACAATAAAGGATGGTTTAACTTCTCTCATTCTTCTACCTATATATTATAACACTTTTTCTGGTATTAAATAACTTTATTCATCTTATTCATATTTCACATCTTTATCAATATATGATATAAACACTGATAAGGGATTCTACTCTGTTAATTTTGATTTTCTCATTGAAAAATCAACAAAAAAATTCTTTTGAGTCATCCTTACCAGCATATAGTTTTATGTATCAAAATTACCAAAAAGCTCTAAAGTGGTTTTATCTTCTTTTTTTATTGTTATTTACTTTTCTTCAATTATTTATTCTTCTTCTGAATCTAATGTGCAACATATGAAATTCCAAAATTTTTTCATATATTAATTATGTCATAATTGAAATAATTTTCATAAGCAGACTTTCAAAATATTTATGCAATTAGAAATAAGGCATTATTATAAAAGAAATGGGTTGATAAATTTATAACTAAGTAAGTAATTTTATGAAAAACAACCTCAATAAAGAAGGCCAATGAAATTAATTAAATATGATAGGAATAAGTAAGTATCCATATTCCTGAATGATATTGGAAAAAAACAAGGAATAAGAGATAAGGATTATACATATAATAAATAATCAAATCGGGTTAATATAATTCATAAATAAAATATAAGTGATCCTATAAAACCATCATGCAAATATAAATCTAAATATTGTTTTAATTTATTTAAATAATCTGATAAAAGGTGTTATAATTAAGAAAGCATAATCTCAAGTGAAAAAAAATTATTGCAATTAAATGGATTAATTAAACCTTATAAAGTTGGATAATTTAATTAAGAAGCTGAGATTATTTTAATTAAATGCTACTTATAAATAAATGAGTTTTTGAAAAAGAAAACAGATGATTGAACTTCAATACTTCCTAGAAATTAAGCTAGTACTATTAATTCCTGTTTATTAATTGAAATCAGTTTAATGAATATGAGATTTAAAGGAAGACGTTTCACATAAAGACATTATTAATTGCGATTTTGCTTTTTTTAAAAAAGAGATAATCGTGGATTATTGATGCTATTTAGTAATTTGAAATCCACAGATTATATATTGATAATTTTACTAATAGAAAAAACCCATAAAAACAATAGTTAATTTGGAATCATTGAATAGAGAAGAGATTGGATTTAAAAAATAAGTACCAATTAATTTTTGATTATCAATTTTTTACTTTCCATTTTTATCTATCAAGTGGACAATAATCTTATTCTTCAGTCCATCTAACTATACAATGTAAATGAAAATGATGATTGCATGCACCTGTAACTGGAGGACATTCATCTCCTGGTAATTTACATCTAGGACATGGTTATTCAAATGCTAATTAACATATTGTGCATCTATCTGTATCTAAACTCCATATCCATGAAGCAACTGCATTCCATTCTTTTATCTTGACTTTCATAATTTGAATTTACTATTATTATTTAATTTTTTTTAATTTTTCTAATTAGAATTAAAATTATAATTATATTATTATATTATTATAATTATCAACTCAAAGCAAGAAAACAGAAACTTATGATATCCTTATAAAGTTTATTAATTTGTAGTTATAAAAACTTTACAATATTAATAATTTTTTTCAAATATTAAAATAAAGTATAGTTATATTAGTTTTGTATTTAATAAACATAACTTTTTAGCATTCTGATTTTAGGAAATCAATTTAAATGTAATTTGATTAGAATTACTTATAATTTTATAAGAAAAATAATTTTATTTCAATTATTTTAAACCTAGATATAAAAATCAATATATCTTTAAATGAACAAAATCTTTTATCATTTAATGTTTGATGAAAAATAAGAATTATAAAGAATTATTAGTTATTGAAAGATTATAAATAAATTTAAATTATTACATATATATCTATCAATTACTAAGAATAATTTTTTTTATAACTTCTTCAGTTATTTATTATCCAATAATCAAAATTTTACTTAAGTTTGATTGATTTATACTTGGCAAATTAGTTGGAGTAATTTCAAAGATATCTTCTACTCCTTATAATGAATACATGACTTGTTCATCTTTACAAAATAGCAATCCCTTAATTCTCATTACATTTAAACCCTCTTCCCATAACATCTATCCAATTTTCATGTTCCATTCTTATTGAGTAATATTTGGAGTATGTAAATTAAGAAATAATTTTGTTATATTTCCAACTTCCTCAAAATGGATATGTTCTTAATTAAATATTTTATTATCTGCTTTATCTGCTTCAAAAACATTTTGAATATCAATTTATGCTCTTTCAGATTTAATTAATTTAGCATTAGGGTTAATTATCATTAATTATTTTTCAATGATAACCAAATCTTCTTATTTACATAAATCCTTAAAAATTAAGAAGAATTTACTTAAAAATTTAACAATAATATATCGGCATGAATTATTTGTTTTCTAAAAATTTCTAATTCGTATAGATTCTTAAATTTGTGTGATGGTATTAAACCAACAATAGTAGCTAATTCTGCTGGTAAATTTAATCCTTAATCAACCCATAATTCTTTAATCAAACTTGAAGGATCAGCTAGACCATTAGATTCAATAATTATAAATTAAATATTTGGTTTCTTTTCAATAAAATATTGAATGGCTGTCATCAATTATCCTCTTTTTATAAGTATTTATTTTACTTAGCAGAACAACAGATACAACCATTAGGTAATTCAAAAAAAGAATCAAATATATCTCCATTATTATCTACCATTAGAGGTGCTTCAATTCCCATTTCATCAGAGAATTCATTTTAAATAACAGCCACTTAATATAGATTCTGCACTTTTAAGATGTATTGTAATAAAGTAGTTTTGCCTGAACCTAAATAGCCTGTTAATAAAATAATTTTGCATTTATTAGTATTGTTCATATTAATTATTTAAGTGAATTTATTAATCACAAAAAGTTTTAGTGGATTATAGGGAACAAGCACATAAAATATATGGTAATGATTTATTTTAATTATAAATTCTTTAATCTTCAACATTCTTTTGCTTCTGAATCATAAGTAAAATACTCATAATTGACAAATTGTTCTTTTTTATTAACTGGACTATCTATTGCAGGTTCATCCAAAAACATCTTAGGATTACAAATTGTGTTACTTTATTAAAATATTTAAAGTCTAAATCGTCTTTTAACTCTGGAATGATAGGTGGTACTAATTATCGATTTTGAGCTTAATTCCAATCAATATCTGAAAAAAATGGATGTTTTTTAATTTATTATATATTAATTCTTTATTTAGGCTTATAATATAGAATATATTTACATTATTATTTAGTAATCCTGTAAGGAGACTAGAACATGATTCAGAAAACCATGGTTTCATTTCTATTTATTTTTCTGTTCTATTTCTAAACATAAGTGTTCGATCCTGACTATAAAATGGTGCAGCTCCTGTTAACATTTCATACATTAAAGCTCCTAAACTCCACCAATCACATGATTCATCATGGCCAAGTTTTTCATCAGAATAAATTTCAGGAGCAAGATATTCTGGTGTTCCTACAATTGAAAAAGAAGGTGTATCTCTATTAGCAATAATTTTAGATAATCCAAAATCAATTAATTTAATATGTCCATCAAAACATAATAAAATATTTTCTGGTTTTAAATCTCTATATAAAATTTTAGAATCATGTAAGTATTCTAAAGCTATGATTATTTCAACAGCATAAAATTAAACTTAACTTTCTTTAAATTTATAAGCTCTTCTTAAATGGAAAAATAATTCACCGCCTGCACAATAATCAATAACATAATATAATTTATGTTGAGTTTAAAATGCATAATGAAGTTTACTAATAAAAGGATGGCTTATTTTTTCTAAGATGATTCTTTCTGTCTTAGCGTATTCTATTTATTTTTTTATTTGCAAATCATATTTGTTAACAATTTTCATAGCATACAATTTTTCAGTAGAACGTTTTCTAACCAATAAGACTTTACCAAAGTTTCCTCTACCAATAGTCTTTAATAACTTAAAGTCTGTAATATTGATTTTATGAGGATCTGTTGTGAGAGCGATACTTTGTTTATAAAAAGTTACGGTTTCAGTTTAATGTTCATTGAGAGGCTTAGAATTAGTATTAGCTTATTAAGACACAACATCTTATTGACTTTCTTCATTTTTTTTAAAACAATTGAGACATTATCCCATATGTATTATATAAAATATTTTTTAATATGAACGAATTAAAGTCTCCAAAATTATTGAATAATTTAGGATAAAGAAAATAATAGAACATACAAGAATAGAATGACACCAGCCTACTTTTGTAATTATTCTAGAAGATTTAACCAGTTGAGATTATTAAAATGATTGTACAAAGAATATATATATATTTTAGGATTCTAAAAAAAAGAGTTAATCTGTGTTATATATCTATGAAGATGAATCTGAATCCAAATTTAAAGAGATTATAAAAAATGGAGTCTTAGAATATGAATAACATCAATATTAATAAGCTTTATTCTAATTTAAATAAGCAGAATAAATCCTAACTGCAATAGCAAGTCCACCAATTCAATATTAACTAATTAATAAAATCAATATCGGTACTTATGCTATATATTAAGGGTGTTTCTTTTTATGCCATAGGATGGTTAGAAAATGCTTTCACTTGTTTCGAGGATACTATCTTAATATTGAAAAAGTATATAAATCAAACAACACAAGAACGAATCCTTCTAGATACTATTAGACTTCAATGTTTTTTATAATGTTGCATAATTTTATCTGAAATCGGATAGCATCAAGAAGCATTAGCAATCACTAAAATTGCAATTAAGAAATCATTCAAGTTATTATTTGATCTTCATTCTCATTCAGAGGAATTTCCATAAAAAAAACTCTTAGAAGAGATCTTAAAGAAATCAGTTGCTCTTCCTTAATTAAAACCTAAATAATAAGCAATAATAATCACATTCCCATCATCAAAATTTTAATAATTAACTCATGAAAATCTCCTTAATGTTTTCAAAGATTGTCCCTTTTAATATATTGAAAAAGCCAATATTCTAAGCTATATTTAAATGGCTCCTCTTAATTTTGAATCCCTTCTATTTTAATCCCAAACAAACAATTAATAATTTCTTCATATATTATCACTTTTTGTAATCTCACTTTATTGCACCTCAACTGAATCCAGATTCATTGAATAAATTATTGATCCTTTATAATTTACAGAAGCTGAAAATTATTTATCAAGAGCATTAGAATTAGTTTATTTGTATTTCCCTAAAGATATGCCTCTTGTTAATCAATTATTAAATGTACATAACAGATTTCATGACATTTCTAAATAAATTATTTAAGAAGATGTTCATCAAAAACAACATGAATAAAATTATGAAATTGTTCTCTTGAAACCTATTTTTGAACCTTAAAAATGTGGATTTGTCATTCCCATCATTCGTAAATGTATATTATTTATATTATCATTAGCTAAATGTTCCTATCTAATTAAAGAAAGAGCTATTTCCCTTAAAGAACAATAATTTTAACATACTAAAGCACAAAATCTAAATATTGACACTAATACTTATGAAGGATCTAAACATTAAAATAGAAAACTTAGATCTATTTCGACTTCTAATAAAAACAAACCAAATTCACCTAAATGGGGACTCAATTAGGTTGCAGAAATCTATCTTAAAGAAAAAAATAATAATAACAATCAATAAAATGTTAATATTACAAACTTTAGATAAACTCATTTCAAAAGACCTTAAACTAAATCTAGTTAAAAATAATATTGCTTTGAAAAACCCAGATTTAATATTAATTTTTTAATCATCAATAATTTGAATCATGTATAATTACCACCAAAAAGAAAAAGAGGTACATCATTTAATTTAGAATCTATTAAACCTCCTTAAACTGCTTAAAATAGCGCAAAAGGAAACAAAGAATTACTAAAATCTTATTAAATGTAAACCAAAATTAAAAATTTAATTAAATCCTATCAAATTTGATTTTAGTTTAATTGTTCTATAATCACCATATTTATTAAATTGATTTAAATCATAATAAAAATTTTTTTTATATTTTTTTCATTTAAAAGCTAATCTGAAATTCAATCTTTGAAATAATACAATTCTAAAAATAATTAATTTGAAAGAATAAAGTCAATTAAATGACTGTTTATAAATTATTTTATACTATTTCATCTTAAAATATTTTTAAAAATTTTATAGTTTTATCTGTGGAATAATATATTTCTTTGTTTTATTTTCTTTATTAGGTACAAAATTAAGACAATATCTCTTTTTTTAATCTTTTTAGAATAGAAACACAATTTCATCTAATGGGGTTTCTTTTTATAATGATTAAAAAAAATAGCATAAAAGTAATTTTTTGTTCTTATAAGCAAAAACACATGAAATTTTTAGATAAGCAAGTTACAAAAATATTAGTTTGTTCAAAGAAGTAGATAGGTAAAACTATCATAATGGTTGTTTCTTAAGTATAAGAATATAAAATTAATTAAAAAATTTTTTTTTTTAATAGGTTTTTTTAGTATATATAATTCGTGTTATTTAATTTTCAAATATAATGAAGTCAACAAGTTTTATATATTAGTAATTAAAGAAAATAATAAGAGTTCATTTTTAGATGGAACTTGTAAGCTTATATTATATTTATAATTAACAATTAAGCAATTTGGTTGAAGAAAGGTCAATTTTAGACATTTCAAAGAGCTTCATTTAACTGAATATCTTGAAATTTATTTTCTACATTTTAGAAACAAATTAAAGTACTTTTCAAACTAGAAAGTTAAAAAAGAGAATTGAAAAGCTGAAATCTCATATATAGAAGCAAATAATAAAGAATAAACGATGATGAAAATGATAAGTCTGATAATAACATTCATCTTAGAAAGAGATTATAATCTGAAATTATCAAGAAAAAAATAATGCATGAATTGTTTTACTTACACTATATTGCAATCCTAAAGTTTAAAAGCAATTTTCGTTTACATTATAGTCTGAGAATGGAATAAAATGTAAATTGAATATGTATCGATTAATATAATTGATTTAGAAAGCACAAATTGATAATTCCAGCAATAGTTAGAGGTATGTCAAACATATTTAGTATTAATTGATGATATTTAAATATTGGAAGATATTTGTAAATAATTTATAGATTTATGATTTTGTAATTAGAAATAATGAACTTTTGATTTAAAATGATTAATCATAATTATCTGGATGAAATATTAGAAGTTAAGATTTATTTGATCAATGTGCTCTAAGTAATTACTAATAAATATAATGAGTAAATATATATTAGTTTATTATTTTTTTATAAATGCAAAGCTCAAACTTATATTTTGTATATAATTCTGGATCTGAATAATTTTGGAAGAGAAAAGATTATTAGTTAATAAATGATCTTATGTAAGGATTGCTTCAAGATTCAAGAGAGATGATAACATTATATAAAACAGGGAAAATATTAAAAAAGTTTATCGGTAGACAATATAAAACCTTTTAACAACATTTGTTTTATTTTCGAGAAGTAAAAATATAAAATTTAGTAGAAAGAATGGAGAATTGGGGGGTTTTGTTGTTTTAAAGAATGTGTATTTTAAAATAACTAAAAAAATTGCTACTTAAAATATTCCTTATGACAGTTGTCTAAGTCTAATTAGAGACCGCAGTAGAATTGATCTATATTTTAACCATTCAGCTGAGATTGAGTTATTTTTGAGAGAACTATAGAGATGTTGTATTATTGATGGGTTTGAATAACATTATTAATTGTTTCAAAACATAGGTACTGGTTCTACAGCTCAAGTATAACTTTTGAAATTAAATAAGGTGTTTTTGGCTGAAAATATTGAAGATCATTAATAATATGCAGTAAAGTAGATAGAAAAAGAATAAGCTACAGGAAGACATCGTGTATTGAGATCAAAAACATTATTAGAAGAAATATTTATGATGCGAAGTTTAGATCATCCAAACATTATGAAATTACATCAAGTATATGAATCAGAAAGTAGAATATTTAGATATATGGATAGAACATATATAATTAGTTATCAGTCTATTTGAAGGAGGCTAATTGATGGATAAAATCAAGAATTTTAATTTTATTACTAAAAGAGAGTTGGCTAAAGTATTGATTGAAACTGTTCATTATATGCATACCAAAGTATTCGATATCCAAAATTAGGGAATTATGCATCGAGATTTAAAACCATTTAATATACTTTATAAAAATAAAGATCCATAAGATTGGCAATTTGGAATTGGAGATTTTGGATTCTCAACTTCAATTAAATAATAATAACATATTCTTTATAAATGTGGTACTCCTGGTTATGTAGCACCTGAAATTATAGAATATAGAGAGAAATCTAAAATGTATGGATTATCTTGTGATGTCTTTAGTATTGGTGTCATTTTATATGAAATGTAATAATCAAATTTTATTTAATAGCTTTTTCAATATTCATCCATTCAAAAGTAAAACTAAAGATGAAACTTTAAGATAAAATGTAAATGCTCAAATCAATTTTGATGATCGTATTTGCATTCCTTAATCTCTCAAGTCTTTAATTATTTCTATGGTTAGAAAAAATCCACGACATAGATTCACTCTATAATAATGTTTAGATCATGACTTTTTTAAAGAAAACCTATCAAAATTTAATGAACTTTCATAAGAAATTTAAGAGTATAAATATAAAATATAATTTAATTTTATAGACATGAACCAAAGACTATGGAAATTAGAAACATTCGATGTCAAACTCTTTAATTTCTAAAAATTCAAAATAACAGAAGAAGAAGATAGTCTTTACCTCAAGATTTCTCTGTTACACAAGAACCCTAAATTCAACAGAGTAATAGTAATAATTATTGCTTAAGGAAAAAGCATATTAATAAAATAAAGATAATCTATGTCCTCCACTCATGAGTCTAAATTGAAGCTAGAATCCTAACAACAATTCTAATTATCCTAATAAAATTAAATCTAAATGCCATAGATAAAAATTATCTAATTAGATAAGATTTTTGAAATCTTTCTAAATGATTCACATCATATCCCAAATTCTTTTGGTTAAACATATTTAATCAAAAGGCAATATTGATAAAGATAAAGATATTTTTAAAAATATTTTATATTATTATACGATTGAATATATAAAAAATATAATTTTAATAATCAAACACTCATGTCTGAGTACGAAAGAGTCAAATTTATCTTTCCGGCATTAGAAAAATTTATTGTTATGGTATATGTTTTTTAGAATTAGGATTTAAATAGTAAAATTGCACTTGACGATCTGAAATTTACTTTTACCAACATTTTAAAAATTGATTTGTTTGCAAAAAAAATAAAATTCTCATTTAATAAAGGATTTATACAAATCGACTTAAATTCATAATAAAGTTTAAGTGGATAAGAGGCTATAAAAAATCAAAACCAAAATTAAGAAAAATAATAGATTGATATTACAGTAAAATTTATTGAAGAAGGAGCATGATATTATATTGTAATTATTTTGATTTATGCAAAAAAAATATTTTAAGAAGAACATTTTAGTATTTTTTTTTAAAATCAACTAAAATTGAATCAAAAATGAATTAAATTTAAGAATAATTTAGTTATAATTCATATCTTTAATTTAGATAATGATAGATATTCCTATAATCGATACTTTTTAATTTCTTTTTCTTAATAATTTTTATTTGTATAAACTCTTCTTTGAGAATTTGATTTTTTTTTCATCTATGAAAACTGTTATACATCATAATTTAGAAAACTCTCAATCATTAACTTAGATTGATCAAATAAATTATTTATTTCTATTAAAAATGTTCTTAAAATAACAAAATAAATCTTAATGTTATAGAAAATATTTCTATAAAAACTTATCTTAAATTAGTATAAATTAAATAATTTAAAAAAAGATTTCCATAGTAACCAAAATTTCCTTTTTAAAATTATTATTCTAAATCTTCGGATTGTTTATCAAAGATTAATTCAAATAAAATACCAATAATTATTCTATAATTGAGAAATTATAATCTTCATCTCTTAAAATTTGAAGAAAAGTAGTTTAATTATGTTTGAGCATGATACTAAAATTAATCAATACTTGAATTTTCAATTTTCTTCGAAAAAAATCATTTCTAGACTAATTTTTTAATATAATAAAGCAAAAAATTTATCTATTTTAAAAAATAATAATCTATTATAATATAAAATGATGGCATAAAATTATTTTTATCAAAATAATATTTTAAAATTTTAATATTTTAAAAAAAATGATTCCTGAGGAGAAGATTGAAACAATTTAAATGCCATCCTTAATTACAAGTTTTTCGAAAAGGAAGTAAAATATGTCCCAATCAATTTCATAATCTAATATTTTGTTACAATCAAGTAGTTAGTGTTGTGAAAAATAAGAGTAGATAATTGAAAACATACAATTAAATGAGAAAAAAAATGTAAAGAAAGTTGAAGAAGATAAAAAATAATAAATTCTTGATTATAATTTAAACACTCAACTATCATTAGAAATCAAATCAATAGTCAACACAGTAGTAATATCGAATACTTAGTAATAATATTTGCAAGGAATGGTGAGTTTAAAAGCTTTGGACATCATGTAGAATATAAATGAATAATCAAGTAGAGTTGGTGTTGATTTAGTATAAAAATAATACTTATTTAAAGTTTTGTTTAATTGATAGGAGTGGAAGTATGCATGGAGATAAGTTAACAATGGTTAAAAAAACATTAGTTTAATTGTTAGAATTTCTTGGAGATAAGGATCGACTTTAATTAATTGTATTTAATGGTTAAGCATAAAGAATTACACCTTTAAATTATGCAACAACTGAAAATAAATTATATTTTAAAGAAAAGATAGCTTCTATTAAATCTGGTGGAGATACTAAGATAGCAAATGCATTTTAATTAGCACTAGATGAATTAAAATAAAGATAAGTGATAAATGATGTTAGTTCAATATTTTTATTATCTGATGGTTAAGATTCAACTGCATTTGTAGAAATTTAAAATAGTGTTTCAGAAGTGAAAGATGTTTTCTCTATTCATTGTTTTGGTTTTGGGCGAGATAATGATACTAATATGATGACATCTATTTGTAATTTAAAGAATGGTAGTTTTTACTTTGTGTAAGAAATAGATTTGTTGGATGAATTCTTTGCTGATGCATTTGGTGGTTTGATTACTGTAATAGGTGAATAATTAGAAATTAAAGTTTCAATTTAATCAACCTCTCCTTTCGAAAATGTTTCTATTTCTAAGACTTATGGAAAAATGTGGTAAAAAATAGATAAAGACTATATTATCAAATTGCCACATATTGTTTCAGGAACTAGAAAAGATTTTGTATTTGAATTATGCTGGCCTACTTGTTAGAATATTGATGAAAAAGAAATAGAATTAAAAGTTCTTGATGTATCAATGACTTTAAAAAATCCAATTACTAAATAAGTAATATAAAAAGATGCTAGTTTGATTGTTAAAATTGTTAATTCTGATAATTCAATTATTTAAAATGAATAAGATTTGGATGTTTTAACTTAATATTACAGGGTTAAAGGAACTGAAACTATTTTAAATGCTAAATAATTATGTGATTAGGATGATTTTGATCAAGCAAAACTCTTGATATAAAGTATGCTTATAAAAATTAAACCAAATGAATTTATCTTAGCTTTATGTTAGGGAATAGTATAAGATTTAGAGTAAGCACTATAAGCATGTGAAAGAAACAGATTTTAAAATTATGGTAATAGCTAAATGATTTAGTTTGTGTCTAATAATTTTCAACAAATAGGATCCAATTCTATTTTCAATTCCCGAGGACAACAATTATCTTCTACTCAAGCTTCATACTCAAATACAATGCAATCTCTTTTGAGAAGTTAAGTTTAAGATTTTAGAATTTCATAGTAAAGTGACATATTATGATTATGAGCAAAATATAAACAAGTAGTTTTTTTTTTTTTATTTATTTTCTTTTTTCATTTTTCCTTACTTTTTTATATTATTCAAGTAATTCCAAGCAAAAATTGAAAATTTAATAAACATTATCTCTAAATGTATTTCATGTCTTCAAATATTAAAAGTTCATAATTTTGAATAAATACTCTTAATTTCTATTCTTTCTTATTGATATTTTATGTAACCAATAAATACAAAATGAAAAAAATCAATATTAAATGTTATTTTCTCTTTTATATCTTAAATCTTCAAATCTAATATTAAAAAAAAAATATTTAAAATATAGCATAAAGGCAAGGCAGAATCTAATCTATAAGAAAGATATCAATAATGATTAGAATAATATATTTATGAATTAGTATTTAATTTTTTTAGTTAATTTACAAATTTTGATAGAATTAGGAAAAATAATAGTATTTTTGTTAATAAAAATAATCAATTATTGGTTATGGATTAGTTTGAATTAAATAATAGTGATTTGAGGGATCAAATTTAAGAATTATGTGATTAAATAAAATAAGAAATATGGACTGAAGAATGTGACATTTTAGAATAGTTTGAAGAAATTTTAAAATAATTAAATGATGAAGACTAGAACAAAACTATTTAATTTATCAAAACTAATTTTCCAAATGAAAGCTATGTGTCTAAACTGGAATTAAAATTTAAAACTTAAAAAGTCCCTAATAATAATCAAGAAATTATTGATTACAAAAAAAAGTATTTAATACTTATTCAATAAAAACAAGACTGGTAATAAGTTTTATAATTATTATAATAATAAGAATTTTGTTAAGAAAATAAAATTAATACAACCATTTCAACAAATTTGCATATTGTAGGAAAATTAAAAGAATAAGTTTTTAACCTATTAGAACTATGCTAAATAACTTCAATTTATGATTATGGTTACCCTTATTTGGATATTATAAGAATTTTATTAAGTTTTATTGAAAAAAAGAATTATTTTGATGATTCAGAATAAAAATTACTAAATTCAATAATAGGTAGTTAATTAAAAGAATAAATATTGCAATTTTTATGTTATGAAGATAGTTTATTATAGAATGACTAGAATGGGATTATCAAAAATGTTATATATTCAATATAAATAGAAGGAAAAACATAGAAAGATTTTTCAGAAAAAATTTCTAAACTAACTTTCAATTAAATTTAGTTTATTTATCTTTGCACTCTTTAAACTTAAGAAAAGGTGATTAAAAATCTTTATAAATAAATATCTCTTTTGTTATATCATGAAAATTTTAAATGGGTTTAGAATAGAGAATGGAATAATCTGGATTAAAACACTCTTAAATATCCAGGATTTGAGAGCTTATATTTTAGTTTGATCTTTTATTTTTGGTAATAGTATTGTTAATTTAAATATAAAGAGTTAATTCAATTATAAACTAATTTGAGCAAACTCACAAAAGTTGAATAAAGGTAAAGATAAATCAAAAATTTCATCTCTAAAGTAAAAGAAAATAGCATATAAGATGAAATTTATCTTTTTATGATTCATCATTCTATATAATTCACATGTTCAAAAGAAGAATATTTAAATAAATAGAAGTTCATAAAATATTAAGAATTTTTACTAGAAAAATAATAAATTGTTTGTTAAATATTGCAAAGCAATATGAGAGAAATTTTGAAAACTGATTTATATTGTTCAATAAATAATTTAAGATATTTGCCATTATATAAATTAAAATAGATTATAGAGGAGTAGAATAATTTGAATTAGAATGAGTAAATTATAAAATAAAAAAATGAAATAAGTGAAAAGTCATAATTAGATGAAAACACTTTTATATTAAATAATTTATCAAAAGAATAATAGTTTTTAGCAATTTTATTATTTTAAAATAGCCAAAGTGAATTTTATAATGAAACTTAAAAGGATTTAGTATTTTAATGTCTATTTCCTTAAAATAATGATGAAATGTTTTATATAAAAGAATTAATTAATAAAAATTAGAATTTATAGTATGGAGAGATTATTATATTATTAGAACTGTTGAATAAAAAATTATTTAGAATTGATAATTTTATAATCAACCTATATAAATTAAATTAATCTTTTGATTTACTAAAGGGAGTAATTTTTTTAAGAGATGCATTTAAAAATAATTTAGTACACTTAAGATAATAAGATTTTATAAATAATTTAATTTAGTATAATTAGAAAGACTTATAATCTCTAAGAATATTATTTGGTAGGGCAAATTTTGAAAAATTGCTTTCAATTTTAATAAATAAATACCTTCTTGAATCAATTAAGAATAAACGTGATTACATGAAAGTATTATAGAACCTAATACCAATTTGTCATGGAAAATATGAAAAGAGAACTCAATTATTCAGAGTTATGTTTTTTACTTTAAGTCCTTGGTTATTAAACTATTTGATCATAATTAATAATTAAAAGAATATTACTCTTGGTATTTATAAAATAACTTTAATAATTATTTTTACTATAATCGAAAAATAAAAGGAAAGTTGGGTTAGATTCTTGCTTATTAATTTAAATGAAATAATAGATCGTGATTGTTATGATTTTAATTAGATATGGAAAGCAAAAGAAAGATAAATAAGTAGTAAACTAAATTATAAATATTAATTAATTAAATTTTTAAATTCTAAAAAACATCAAAATTTAGAATAAGAATGTAAATAATTATATGAGCTGGATTAAGGTTATTATAAAGAAAGTTTAGGTAAATTAGATTACTTTAATAATATATCTTTAAATCCAACTTACTTTCTGTAATAGGAAACATTTAATTAATGTCCTTAAAATGGAAAGTTTTCTCTTGAAGATTTTAATATATCATTAGCAGAAACAACAAAAGAATAAGAGATAAAAATAGTTTATGATTGGATGGAGAATACATCTGATATTAAAAGATTTTAGTAATTAGTTCCATTTTTTTTTAATATTATTAAGAGAGGAGAAAGTTCAAAAAAATTGTTATCAATTATTACTGAATATNGTCATAATTAGATGAAAACACTTTTATATTAAATAATTTATCAAAAGAATAATAGTTTTTAGCAATTTTATTATTTTAAAATAGCCAAAGTGAATTTTATAATGAAACTTAAAAGGATTTAGTATTTTAATGTCTATTTCCTTAAAATAATGATGAAATGTTTTATATAAAAGAATTAATTAATAAAAATTAGAATTTATAGTATGGAGAGATTATTATATTATTAGAACTGTTGAATAAAAAATTATTTAGAATTGATAATTTTATAATCAACCTATATAAATTAAATTAATCTTTTGATTTACTAAAGGGAGTAATTTTTTTAAGAGATGCATTTAAAAATAATTTAGTACACTTAAGATAATAAGATTTTATAAATAATTTAATTTAGTATAATTAGAAAGACTTATAATCTCTAAGAATATTATTTGGTAGGGCAAATTTTGAAAAATTGCTTTCAATTTTAATAAATAAATACCTTCTTGAATCAATTAAGAATAAACGTGATTACATGAAAGTATTATAGAACCTAATACCAATTTGTCATGGAAAATATGAAAAGAGAACTCAATTATTCAGAGTTATGTTTTTTACTTTAAGTCCTTGGTTATTAAACTATTTGATCATAATTAATAATTAAAAGAATATTACTCTTGGTATTTATAAAATAACTTTAATAATTATTTTTACTATAATCGAAAAATAAAAGGAAAGTTGGGTTAGATTCTTGCTTATTAATTTAAATGAAATAATAGATCGTGATTGTTATGATTTTAATTAGATATGGAAAGCAAAAGAAAGATAAATAAGTAGTAAACTAAATTATAAATATTAATTAATTAAATTTTTAAATTCTAAAAAACATCAAAATTTAGAATAAGAATGTAAATAATTATATGAGCTGGATTAAGGTTATTATAAAGAAAGTTTAGGTAAATTAGATTACTTTAATAATATATCTTTAAATCCAACTTACTTTCTGTAATAGGAAACATTTAATTAATGTCCTTAAAATGGAAAGTTTTCTCTTGAAGATTTTAATATATCATTAGCAGAAACAACAAAAGAATAAGAGATAAAAATAGTTTATGATTGGATGGAGAATACATCTGATATTAAAAGATTTTAGTAATTAGTTCCATTTTTTTTTAATATTATTAAGAGAGGAGAAAGTTCAAAAAAATTGTTATCAATTATTACTGAATATAGAAACAAGTTTTAAGTACCTTTGAAAATAGCAAATAACATGAAGGCATTGTTTTAATTACTTTACAATAATTCTAATGATGAATTATAAGTAATGTTGTTAAAATTATATATGGCAATGTATCCTATTCCTTTAGTTTTTTAAAATCCAAATTTATAAAATCTTTCTACTGAATCAGAGTTATATATATTTAATGAAAAAGTCTACTTTGTATTTTAAACTTCTTATTCAATAATTAATTTTTCTTTAAGCTCAAAATAAACATAAATTGGTAAAACAGAATTAATAAATACTTTATTTTATTAATAAGAAAAATTTGAAACTTAAGACTCTTGTTAATTAAGCAAAAATACAATTGATATAATGTTTGATATATAATTTGGTGGATCAAGAAATTTTAGTGTTGCTGATGTTCATGGTTATATCCCCCAAGATATAATAAGTAAAGTATTACCATTATTTCAAATATGGATTATTTAATTTGATACTGAAAAAGAACTTGTAGAAAATTTTAAAAAGCTTAATTAAATAAAAGAAACAATACCAAAAACTAATTCTTAGATTATTTTTATAATAAGAAATTATTAAGGAGGACTAGAAAACAATCTAATTAATGATGAAAGTAAGAAAACTTTATAAAGTATTGAAAAAGCAGGAATAAAAATACTTAAAATTATTGATCTTACTTAAAAAGGTTTAGATAAATCATAAAAAGAATTAGAACTTTAGAAGGCATAAACTTTTATCTTTACTTAAATTAACAATTTAGCTAATTCTCCTTAATAAATTAATGAGACAGATTTTTTAAACACAATATTAAGATTTGAAATATATTAAATATCTAATGAATATTAAAAAAACAAAAAGTTACTAAAAGACTTAGAAAATGAATTAAATAGATTAATACAAAAACCATTAGGATTTTATGATTCAGAAGCTTTTCCAATTAGAGCTATTGAGTTTAAGATCAAAAGTTTAAGAGAAAAGTAAATGTGTCTCATAAAATAAGATAATCAAATTACTCCTAAAGAATTATCTATTCAAAATACTGTGGAATAAGTTGACTTTAATTAAATTCCAATCTAAGTTGAAGAAATTAAATTATAAATAAAAATATTAGAAGAATCTATTATGAACACAGAATTATCGACTCTTTTAAAATTATTTTGTAAAATATTTAAGTAAAATTCATACTATAATTTATATTTATAATTTACAGATTAAATTAGAAAATTTAATGAATTAAATATATCTAAAATGGTAGAAGATAATTAGAAAATAAATGATGAATTAAAAAAATTGAAAAAAGAGAGAGATTAAATTAGAGGAAAAAAAGAAGATTAAAAATCTTAATCTTAATTAGAAAATCATTTAAATTATGATGAAAAATTAAATGAATATAAAAGAAAGCATGATGAACTTACAAAAAAATTAAAATAAAATTTAGAACATATTGGAATTAGAAATATTGGAATAGAATTATTTTGGAGAGAATTGATAGCATTTAATTAAAAAAATTTGAAAGCTTCATTAAAAATTGATCCAGTAGATAAAGTCTATGAAATAATAAAAAAAGGAGAACCATTTGAATTTTTAGATGGAGATTCTCTAAAAATAAATTCAACATTTTTACAATAACTAAAAAATAAATTTTAAAATTAAGGATAAGAAAAAGTTTTAATATTAAGTGTTTTAGGACCATAGAGTTCAGGAAAATCTACTATTTTAAATAAAATTTTTGGATGTCATTTTTGGACAAGTGTTGGTAGATGTACAAAGGGAATTTATTTAAACATATTAAAAATATAATATAAGGAATACTTTAATAATCTATTTGATTATATCTTAATACTAGATTCAGAAGGATTATAAAATCCCAATTAGGTTGATCCAGAGTTTGATAAAAAGATTGCTCTATTTATTTTAGCTATTAGTGATATTATTCTGATAAATGTTAAGGGAGATATTAATGATTCATTTAAAAATTTAGTTGAAATGTGTATATTTACTCTGATAACAATGAAGAGTAACATTTCTTCTATTAAATAATTAAGTTGGTGTTTTAATTAAAATAATGATGGTAATAAGTTTATTCCATTCTTAGAATAAATTTAAGGAATTGCAAATAATTTGAATCTAGAATATAAACATGTAGAAGGAGATGATAACAATTAAACTATAGACTATAATGAATTTCTGAATATTTCAAAGGAAAATATTTAAATTCTAGGATTTGCATCAATTGAAAAATTATGGAGAAATAAAGATAATTTAGGTAATTTTAATGATTGGAGATAATTAATAATTAATGAAACATATTCAGAAGAAGCATATATGTATGGTATAAGAATGATAAAGAATTTTATAAATAAATTTAATTCATAAACTGAAACATCATAAATGTGCAGTTTGAGCTTATTCTTATAAAATATAAATACNTTAGATAAATCATAAAAAGAATTAGAACTTTAGAAGGCATAAACTTTTATCTTTACTTAAATTAACAATTTAGCTAATTCTCCTTAATAAATTAATGAGACAGATTTTTTAAACACAATATTAAGATTTGAAATATATTAAATATCTAATGAATATTAAAAAAACAAAAAGTTACTAAAAGACTTAGAAAATGAATTAAATAGATTAATACAAAAACCATTAGGATTTTATGATTCAGAAGCTTTTCCAATTAGAGCTATTGAGTTTAAGATCAAAAGTTTAAGAGAAAAGTAAATGTGTCTCATAAAATAAGATAATCAAATTACTCCTAAAGAATTATCTATTCAAAATACTGTGGAATAAGTTGACTTTAATTAAATTCCAATCTAAGTTGAAGAAATTAAATTATAAATAAAAATATTAGAAGAATCTATTATGAACACAGAATTATCGACTCTTTTAAAATTATTTTGTAAAATATTTAAGTAAAATTCATACTATAATTTATATTTATAATTTACAGATTAAATTAGAAAATTTAATGAATTAAATATATCTAAAATGGTAGAAGATAATTAGAAAATAAATGATGAATTAAAAAAATTGAAAAAAGAGAGAGATTAAATTAGAGGAAAAAAAGAAGATTAAAAATCTTAATCTTAATTAGAAAATCATTTAAATTATGATGAAAAATTAAATGAATATAAAAGAAAGCATGATGAACTTACAAAAAAATTAAAATAAAATTTAGAACATATTGGAATTAGAAATATTGGAATAGAATTATTTTGGAGAGAATTGATAGCATTTAATTAAAAAAATTTGAAAGCTTCATTAAAAATTGATCCAGTAGATAAAGTCTATGAAATAATAAAAAAAGGAGAACCATTTGAATTTTTAGATGGAGATTCTCTAAAAATAAATTCAACATTTTTACAATAACTAAAAAATAAATTTTAAAATTAAGGATAAGAAAAAGTTTTAATATTAAGTGTTTTAGGACCATAGAGTTCAGGAAAATCTACTATTTTAAATAAAATTTTTGGATGTCATTTTTGGACAAGTGTTGGTAGATGTACAAAGGGAATTTATTTAAACATATTAAAAATATAATATAAGGAATACTTTAATAATCTATTTGATTATATCTTAATACTAGATTCAGAAGGATTATAAAATCCCAATTAGGTTGATCCAGAGTTTGATAAAAAGATTGCTCTATTTATTTTAGCTATTAGTGATATTATTCTGATAAATGTTAAGGGAGATATTAATGATTCATTTAAAAATTTAGTTGAAATGTGTATATTTACTCTGATAACAATGAAGAGTAACATTTCTTCTATTAAATAATTAAGTTGGTGTTTTAATTAAAATAATGATGGTAATAAGTTTATTCCATTCTTAGAATAAATTTAAGGAATTGCAAATAATTTGAATCTAGAATATAAACATGTAGAAGGAGATGATAACAATTAAACTATAGACTATAATGAATTTCTGAATATTTCAAAGGAAAATATTTAAATTCTAGGATTTGCATCAATTGAAAAATTATGGAGAAATAAAGATAATTTAGGTAATTTTAATGATTGGAGATAATTAATAATTAATGAAACATATTCAGAAGAAGCATATATGTATGGTATAAGAATGATAAAGAATTTTATAAATAAATTTAATTCATAAACTGAAACATCATAAATGTGCAGTTTGAGCTTATTCTTATAAAATATAAATACCAATTGGTAAACTATATGTAATTTGCCAGATTTATTAGAGTTTACAGAATTAATATCTTATAAAAAAGATTAGTTAATGAAAAGTTTGTTTGAATAAATTTATGAAGAGTAAGATTTTAAATTTAAAGATGAAATTGGAAATGAACTAGAGGAAAAAGTAAACAAGAGCTCAACAATAAATTTAAGTTTGCTTGAAAAAATCTATAATGATGAAAAAGAAAACCTTAAATTAAAATTTATTTAGATTGAAGAAAGCCTAAAAGAAAAATTACTTGAATTTAAGTAATTGAATCAAATCCCAAAAAAGATTTTTCTAAAATATTTAAAATAATTAAGTGAGAGGCTTAATACTACGAAACTAGAATCTGAAGTTATAGTATTTGAAGAAATAAAAAATAAAGAAAGAGAGTATTAAAACCAAAGAGGATTTAAATCTCTTGATAATTTTATTCTTGAGATTAGTAAAAATGAGTAAAAATTAAAGCAGTTTTAAGGCTAAGAAATTTTAATAAGAGATTAATTTGAGAAATTATGGTAATAAATTACTAATGATTCAGAGAATAAGTAAATAAAAATATTAAAAGAATATTCTGAAAAATAATATTAAGCTATTTCCTCATTTACAGAGTACAAATTGTTAACTAAAAATGAATTCGATTATATTAATTATTTTACAGAACACATAAATGGGGAAACTCCTTTTAGGAAAGAGAAAGAAGAAAAGTTTAATATTTTCAATAAGTTTTAATAAGAATTATAAATTTAAGATTAATTTAGAATAATTATAAATGCAAAAGAAACAATGAGATATGTTGAAATTTTCTAATAAAAATTGGAGAACAGAATAAGAAAAGATAAAACTAAATACAATGTAATAAAAATTAATAACTATTATTTATTTTAAATCACCATCTATTTTGTTGAGAAAGAAAAAATTAATAAATTATATTAAAGGCCAAAACATAATTAAAGATTTAGATTTGATTTTATAGAAATTTCAACAAAAATAACAACAATAATAAAATAATTAGAAAGGCACTTCAAAATATAATTGTATTAATAATCAGATCTGGTAATTGTTGATTTTAATAGAAATTTTTGATATAGATTTTGATTAAGAGTTAAGGAAATAATTATTCAATGTAATTAATAATCCCGCTAAATGGAAAATGCTATGGTCAGACTATAATGATTAAGTAGTAAACTCATTTAAGAAATTTTAAGCCAGTTTTAACTATAACTCTAATAAAATAAAAAAAACAACTCATTAGACATAAGATAATTTTCTTAAAAGTATCTAAGAGTTCAACAAAAATTTGTTAATAGAAAACTTCAAAGTTAGTTGTGGCAATGAGAAAGAAGTTGAAGAATTCTATTCCGAATTTTAAATTAATAATTTCATTATATTCAGAAAACAATTAATTATTCCTAAAACGTAAAATTAAAAATTTTATGCTTATTTAGAATATATTTAGTCTAAAAATAATTCTCATTATGCTAGCTTTTAACTAGATTTCATTAATATTTTTAAATAAGAAATGTTTGCAGTAGATGAAGAAATGCTATAAAATAAGAATTAGTAGAAAATTTCTGAATTAGATAAAATAAATAGTTGGTAAAAGATTTATTTTTCAATTTATGATTTAATTAAATCAGAGATGACGAAAAATAATTGCAAAGAGAATGAAAATAAAGATAATTCAGATAATGAAGATATTTCCTCATCTAATACCAGTTTGATTAAAATTATAATGTCTAAAATTGAGTAGGAAATAATTGAATATAATAAAGGTTTTGCTAATTTTGGTATAATATTAAATGGTATAGGCGAAAGATGCATTTATTATTATTCTATGTTAATCATTTGGAGATTTACATGTTATAAGAAATGGAAAGGAATATAATAAAGTAAAAAGAAATTCGAAGAAGTGAAATAAAATCAGTTATTGAAGTTTATAGCTGATATCAAAAAAAATAAAACTGAATAAAGTAAATTAAAAGCCCAGAATCTAATAAATAATGTATATAAGGATTTCATTTAAAAGTTTTATAAAGAAAATGAATTAGCTGTTGGTCAAGCTATAAAAGATAAAAATATGGCTTGCGTGGATTTAATTAAAATTTTAGATAAAAATATTTTGAAAGATTATAAGAAAGAGCAAGACTCTAAATAATATACTGATATATAAATATATGAATATATAACAAAATAAAGAGAGTTTATTGAAAAATATGCTTAAAACTAAGTTTAAAAAATTTAAGCAGAAGTTAATTAAACATTTGAAATTGACTTGAGAGAAAAATTAAAAACATTTTTAGGACAAATTTTAAAAAATGTAGCCATATTAGTGTCTCATACTGCTCTATAAGACCCTCCTGTAAAATCAATTGATTATTTTGATATTAGTAAGGATGACAAAAACCAAGATGTATTCTATGAAATTTTATTATTTAAATTGATACTATAATGTCTTTAAGGTAAGTAAGAAAAAAAAGGAGTATAAAATCAAAATGAATTAGAATAAGATTAAAATGTTAATATTATAGAAGAATATAAGGAAATTTTTCAAGTTTCAAATTATAAAGCAATAAATATTCCTATTTTAAACATATCTCTATTTTAAGACTCAGAATAATAAATCTAACTTTTAAAACCTTTTGCTGATGAATTATAAAATTAATTGTAAATTCATATTTCATAAATTGATAAAAAGGTGAAATTAGATTTAAGCAAATTCTAAAGTTATTCTGAATTAGATACAATAAGACTAAATATGACTGGTTGTCTTCATTCTTGTCCTATGTGTAAACGTAAATGTGATTAATCGAATTCTAGCGGTCATAAACACAAATGTTCAAATGGGCACTAATTAAGAGGTATCTATCTATTCTATATTTAAGGGATGAATGGAATATTAATTGAAAATACTCCTTCTTTATTCACATGTGATGAGATGAATGATGAAAGTTTAATTACAACTTTGGAAACACAAGTAACAAAATAATGGAAAGAAATTAGAAGGACATATGATGATTGGATTTTTATAGGTATAGGAGAAACAGAATTAGAAGAAAATAAAATAAAAATGATGAAAGTTTGGAATGAAGGAACAGGATAGATGGTATGCCAATAGTTAAGATAAATATTAAATAATCCTCTAATCTGTTTTGTCCCAAAAAATAATTATTAAGAAGTGGTTAGACACCCTAAAATTCATTATGTTTTTATAATTGATGATTCTGGTTCTATGCTAGGTAAAAGATGGATAAAAGCAAAGAAAAGTTGTTTATATTGCATGAAAGAAATATCTAAAAATAGTAATGCAAGAGTGAGTGTAATCATTTTTAACTATCAAGCTAGAATTATTGTTGACTGTGAAATAGTTGATATAGATTAATGCGAATAAAAGATTGATTATGATAGTGGAGAAACTAATTTTTGTGATGCCTTTTAAAAGGCATATGATTTGATAATCAAACATTAAAATTATGCATTCGAAAAGTAACACTTATTTATTTCAATAGAACTGAAATATTATTTTATACTGATGGAGCAGGAGAGTATCCAAAATAAGAAATTTAATAATTTACTATGTTTCCAGAGTAATAGAGAGCAAGAATATTTCTTAATTGCTGTACTGAAGATAAGAATCCTATTACTTTATAAATGATTGTTAATGAATTTAATAGTAGTCTTATTAAATCTGAGTTAAAAAGTAACTTTTTAGTAGCAGATCTAGAAAAAGCTTGGACTGAAATAGTCAGTAGAGATTATCATAAACTTAAAAGTTGATTAGTATAATTCATTAATCTTTATTCATATTAAGAATTATAATTAAAATCAAAATCAATTAATAAGTTGTGAGGATGTGAATTTTTTGAACGATTTATAATAATACAAATTTCTCTGAAATAATTTTGAGATTGGAGGTCTAAATCTAAAAACTATCATTAATCTTTTTGAGAATATTTATGTTATTAAATAAAATTCCTCTTTTGCAGAGAAATAAGAAGGAATCAATAT